TGTGGGAATACCTCTCTTACTATGCTTCCTGAGCCTGTAACTGTGTCATTAGGAATGTTCCTAAGAGTAATCTAAATTATACTTTATCCTGTTGGTCATTCGGCAGATTTAGGGCCAAAAAAAGATTTATTTTTAAATCAAACTTTCTCCAAATCCAGAACTTACAGACAGGACTAAGATCAATAAGATTTTGAAATAAATGGGCACATGCAGGACATCTGCCACAGGGAAAAGTCTTGTATTGATCCCCATCAGACTAAAGGCTTTGGTAATTGTGCCCGGTTATTTTTGAAGAAGTCACTGGAGGCTCTATTGCATTTCCTCGCACAGGAATTGTAAAGAACTAATCAATTTTTAATGGGAGTCCTACGTACATATAATTAGGTTCTGTCTGAAGTAGAATGAGATGGGTTTAAAATTTGAAGGAAATTCATTTTTTCCCATCACGTGGTTGGTCTTTGTATGATACAAATGAAAGCTGGTTAAGCACTTGATACAGGTAATGGTGCGATGATACTTTGTTTCCCCCTAAATCGATAATAACCAACAAAACATCGAAAAGTGAACAGTTCCAAATCTCCCTTAGACCGATTGAGCATGAATTTACATTTTGCTGCTTACATGAAGACTCCAAGCACCATAAGCACTTCAGCGAGCACTGTGAGTAGTAAAGCAGTTTTAGAACTGTTTGGCTTCTTACCTGTGTCCACTGGGCGCTGCTTCCAGCTTCAACTACATCCAACAAAGAGTATAGAAGGTAGTGTCAGGAAGCAGCGCCTGTAGTAGTCTTCTCAAGCTCAGTGAGATATAAGGGAGAGAGGATAGAACACAGGTATAGTGTAGTATGTTGAATAGCTGAAATAAAGAAAAATTTGCACTTACAATTTTCTGGAGCTTATATTCAGCTCCATATATATATATACGCCTGGACGGTACAATCCCCGTCTATGGATATGATGGTAGTCATCATCAAAGGCATCTTCGGGGTAAGGATGTTCTGGTGTCAGATGGTGCCAAAACCGGTATCCTCTGTGTATAGGAGGAGAAATAAAAACACAAAATAGTGCTCTCTGTATAGTTTGGAATAAAACTAGGATAAAAAGAGGAGGTATACTCACAAGCGGGGAGAAAAAGGAATATTGATCAGTATAGGAAGCGTAGGTGGAATAATCCCCACCAAGGATATCACTTCACTTGCGAGTAGTGATGGCCCGAACGGTTCGCCGAACGGTTTGCCGCGAACAGTTCGCCGCTGACTCATCATTCAGTAATCTTTGACCCTGTACCTCACAGTCAGCAGACACATTCCAGCCAATCAGCAGCAGACCCTCCCTCCCAGACCCTCTCACCTCCTGGACAGCTCACTAAGAATGCAGCTTCAAAATGGATGCTGTCCAGGACGTGGGAGGGTCTGGGAGGGAGGGTCTGCTGCTGATTGGCTGGAATGTGTCTGCTGACTGTGAGGTACAGGGTCAAAGTTTACTCAATGATGAGTCCACGGCGAACCGTTCGTGGCGAACCGTTTGCGAACCGTTCGCGAACCGTTCGGGACATCACTACTTGCGAGTCCTCAAGTTCTTGATGATAAAATTATGGTGTTTAAAAGAATAGGCGGGGAGGCTCCAAAATAGCTTAAATTCGCTATATTTATTGGAGACAAATAAAATAAAACAATATGGCAAAAAGGCTGTATAAAACACTAACGCGTTTCACCTGTTAGCAAGGCTTTTTCAAAGTGTTACAGCATACAAGGCCTATCCTGTTTAAATAGCATTGCAATAACTGACATCATTCTAATTAGTGAAATCATAGATCATGTGACCAAACATCCAGATAAAATTCAACAATAGCAATAAAAAAAAAAAAAAAAGAGAGAGATTACATATGTACTTAGGATCTTAATAATATAACAGTAAGATATGGAGAAGAACACTTTTATTTTTGAAATAAAATAAAAGAAGTTAAAAAGAAAAGGATAGCTTAAAAGGGACACTAGAGTCACCCAGACCACTTCAGCTCAATGAAGTGGTCTGGGTGCCAGGTCCCTCTATTGTTTACCCTGCCTGTTGTAAAGAGAAACTGCTATGTTTACATTTGGGGTTAAGCCAGCCTCAAGTGGCTGTCTTCCGGACAGCGACTAGAGGCGCATCTGCGACGCTGGAGGCATATTATGCCTCCATCACGCAGAGCGTCCATAGGAAAGCATTGAAAAAGGATAGCTTAAAAGGGACACTATAGTCACCCAGACCACTTCAGCTCAATGAAGTGGTCTGGGTGCCAGGTCCCTCTATTGTTTACCCTGCCTGTTGTAAAGAGAAACTGCTATGTTTACATTTGGGGTTAAGCCAGCCTCAAGTGGCTGTCTTCCGGACAGCGACTAGAGGCGCATCTGCGACGCTGGAGGCATATTATGCCTCCATCACGCAGAGCGTCCATAGGAAAGCATTGAAAAATGCTTTCCTATGGACACTTTGAATGTGCACACGGCACGGGGGAGGAGAGGTAAGGGAGCTAACGTCGGCGGGGGAGGAGAGGTAAGGGAGCCCGGCGGTGGGAGAAGGTGAGTAACTGAAGGGGTTTTAACCCCTTCAGCACCATGGGAGGGGGAACCTGAGGGAGGGGACACCCTCAGGGTACTATAGTGTCTACTATAGTGATCCTTTAAGAAGGAGCTTGAAGCTCCTGCTTGGGACGTTCCATTAGCTTTCATGAGCTAAACCCTATAATGCATGTCTAGATCATTAGCTAAATGCATCAGATGACCGCTCTCAGCCAATGCACTAAGCCTTGCACCGCTGACTTTAACTCAGACACAGAGCATTCGGTCCATTCCAGATATATCGGAGGAAGGTACTGACGACTGGCATACCCCAGGTAAAAAGTTAAAATAATAGTGTGACTTCTTACAACAGGGAAAACCAGGGCACTCCTGGTATTATAACCTACAGTATGCTGTAGTGGTTATGGTGTTTAGAGTGTTCATTTAACTGGCAATGTATTGAATTGCATTTGGTATTTTTTTTTTAATCCTCAGGCCCTTTGTATATGTATCCTTGTCACCTGTGTCCCCCCAGGGTATTTTGGCTACTATAGTAAAGGTATATCCCCACTTCTGTGTGCATGCCCTGCTGTTATTCTTTTCTCAACAATCAAATGCCCAGTAAGCAACACTGGATTTAGCTATTAACTTAGCTCTGAGAAAGAATTATATATATATATATATTTACTGATGAATAACATATTTATTGACAATGAATTATTGTTGTTTGACAACTCAGTTCTTAAATCTAACTCACTGGATGCTAAATGGGTGGACAAGAAGTTACTTTGGTACCAGTTTACAATCAGAAATGAATGGTACTTTATTTTATAATGTTGGCATCAGGAATGCCTGTTAAAGGGACACAATAGGCATCAAAACAACTTTAGCTTAATGAATCAGTTTCGGTGTATAGATCATGCCTCTAGGGTTGCCACCTTTTTTGGGAAAAAATACCGGCCATGTTAATTTGAATAATTCATTAAATATGCGTGCCATCACAGGACAAGACTTACATAAAAGAATGCAAACATTTGGAAGGAGAAAATTCCCCAAATCACTAATAAAATATTTACAATGTTTGTACTTTGTCTGACTGTGTGTATATTATTGTGTATGTGAGGCAGTGTGTGCATATACTGTAGTGTTGTAGTGTGTGTATAGCAGTGTGTTGTTGTCTAAATGTGTGTATACAAACACACACGCAGACTGCTAAATACACACACATACACAGACTGCTGAATGCATACAGAGACTGCTGAATACACACACAGACTGCTAAATATGCAGAGACTGCTCAATACATACACACAGACTGCTGAATACGCATACACAGACCGCTGAATATACACACACGGACCGCTGAATACATGTGTGACTTCTGCGGTTTGTTCCTGTTATTCCTCCGGTACACACAGACTGCTGAAAACACACAGCTGCATACACACACACACACACACACACACATATACCTACTCTCATGACTCAGGTCCTGCTGCCATTCTTCCATATGGTTGTCCTGTAGCTCCTGCTGCTCCCATCTGGACTCTTTTAGTGGAGAGGGCAAGGACAAGCTGGAACATCCCATCTCAGGCCTCTCCACACAGCCAAGCACCAACGAGTTTTAGCATGGCCTTAAGAGCGCTGCATATGCTGGTGGCATCAACTGTATTGTTGCTATATTTGCAATACAGGCACTGGCCACACAGCATCAAATACCAGGTGTGCCGGTAAAATACCGGCCAGATGGCAACCCGCCCAGACTAACTGCTTGATTCTATACCTCTTAGGGGTTTAATCAATTCAGTTTCTCTTGATGCAACCCTAGTCACACCTCCTCTGACTGGAAACAAAATGGTTTCCTTTTCAATTTAGAAATTTTCAATCTCACGCTCCATGAATTGAACTTTAATCACACACAGCAGGCTCCTGTGTGTGATTATCAGAGCAGGAGATATGAAATTCCAAATTAAACAGACTGTGCAATAAAGGAAGTGTAAACATTAGATGACTCTTTACAGGAAGTGTTTAGGACGGCTGTGTAAGTCGCATGCAGGGAGTTGTTTAAATTGGTGACTATAGTGTCCCTTTAATAATTTAAATTAAAGGCTAGCATAAGGCATGCCTGGCTGGATATGGATTTATTTCCACTTTTTATTATCACTGATGCTCTGTTAGCAATATATTACCAGACGCCAGTCTGATTCATGATCTCCACTGGTTATAATGGGTATAAAAAACCTTTTAATTGCAGTTTTATCTGCCAATTAGAATAGAATAAGTACTGTTTTCCAAGTGTCTATATTGTTAGTGTAGTATAGGGGACAAGACAGCCAGCAGCGCGGTTGGAGGAGGTTTGTCCCTCCGCTCCCTCCGTCCTCCTCCTCTCCCAGTGTTTATTCCCTAGGGAGGTGCAGTGCTGCCTGCTGACCGGAAGAGGGCTCTTCCAGCATTGTTGTGACGTCTCCTCGGACATTCCTTCCCTTTCCGGTGGGCGGGGTTTCGCTCCCGGTCGGCTCCGTGATTCCGATCCCCAGGAAGAGGGACAGACAGACAGACTGACACAGTCAGACAGACAGACAGGGAGCGAGCTGGGGGGGGCGGCCATGTTAGCCGCCGGTATCGCTGTGCGCGGACACTGAGCGGGGAGCCTGCGGTCAGTGTGCAGCCTGGAGCAGCCCGTGTGAGGGCGGGGTGGGGGGCACAGCCCGGTACATGGACCCCCGGGGCCTGCACCTATCGGGAGAATAGGGAGACCACCATCACCACTGCGCACACAGAGAGAGGCCCCAGCAATCACCACCACCACTGCGCACACAGAGAGAGGCCCCAGCAATCACCACCACCATCACCACTGCGCACACAGAGAGAGAGGCCCCAGCAATCACCATCACCATCACCACTGCGCACACAGAGAGAGAGGCCCCAGCAATCACCATCACCACTGCGCACACAGAGAGAGGCCCCAGCAATCACCACCACCATCACCACTGCGCACACATACAGGCAGGGTCCTGGGACACAAGCAGAGGTTGTGAGTGGGGGCCACATAGGGTCTAGGTTCTCACCTATAGGCAGAGGCTGTGCGTGGGGGCCACAAGGACCTGGTATTGACCTATAGGCAGAGTGGGGGGGGGGCATGTAGGGACCTGGTATTGACCTATAGGCATAGGCTGTGATTGGGGGCCACAGGGACCTGGTATTGACCTATAGGCTGTGAGTGGGGGCCACAGGGACCTGCTACTCCCCTAGAGGCAGAGCCTGTAAGTGGGGGCCACACAGGGACCTGGTACTCGCCTATAGGCAGAGGCTGTGAGTGGGGGGCCACACAGGGACCTGGTACTCGCCTATAGGCAGAGGCTGAAAGTGGGGGCCACACAAGGACCTGGTACTCGCCTATAGGCAGAGGCTGAAAGTGGGGGCCACACAGGGACCTGGTACTCCCTTATAGGCAGAGGCTGTAAGTGGGGGCCACACAGCTGGTACTCCCCTATAGGCAGTGGCTGTGAGTGGGGGCCACACAGGGTCCTGGTATTCATACACTGAGATGTCGGCCAAGGTACGGCTGAAGAAGCTGGAGCAGCTGCTCCTGGATGGACCCCAGAGGAATGAAGGAGCCATAAGTGTGGAGACCTTGCTGGATGTGCTCATCTGCCTGTACACGGAGTGCAGCACGTCCACGCTGCGCAGGGATAAATATGTCAGCGAGTTCCTGGAGTGGGGTAAGTGGACATGGCGCCCTGTGGGGTGTGAGGGATGGGGTTGTCTTTATAGATGGGGGAGGCTTGGTTGATAAGATGTTGGTATAGCCAGCGCTACTGGGAAAATGGAATGATGGATGATATCAGAAAGGTCTTGGCATGTAGGGTGAGGACATCATGGAGACAAGGTAAGGAGCAGGGCACTGGTCCTAGGCAAGCAGGACATTGTGCTGGCAAGTTGACAAGGAGCATTCAGGTACAGCACCAGCTTTGGGCAAATGGATTAATGCTTGATTTGCCAGGGCCACTGTTTTCTTGAGCTCATATCACTTATTCGTGCAGATGGAGAGAAATTGAAGGTTGCTGTTCTGCAGGATTCGTCCATGACGTTTCAACTTTTCGTTCACACCATCAGCGTGAAGAAGTGAAATTTGTTCAGGAAAACATGGCAACCCTCAGCTGTGTGCTAGCCATGGACATGATGTGCCCCTTAGCACCATGCTGGTAATGGGGAGTGGACCAATAAGACAGTTTAAACTTGGCTGAATGGTATAGTGAATATCGTAGATGGAAATGGAAAATGGGTCAGTGTCAATATGGGGAGAGCAGTTAAGTTCCCCTGAATTCCAAAAAAGTAACACAAAATACATGAGATTTTGTCAGGTGAAAAACACCATCCTAGATTGTAAGCTCATTTGACAGAACACTCTTCACTTCTTGTTTCTGTTGATATTATTTCATTTGTTACTTTGCTTTTTTTCCCATTGTAAAATTTTAATGTGATGTGGATTAATGACCCTATAAAAACGAGTAATGCTTTAGAATATCTGTGCCAAAAACGGCCCACATGTGGAACACTATGATAATCTAGGAAAGTCTGGCACTTTTTAAGAGATACAGCGAAAACAGTTTGGCTTCACTGCCGTTAGTGTAGCTCAGCAGTGTCATGTAATCTTGAAAAGGTTATTGTCAGAAGTCATTGGGCCAGCAGGGTGGAGTCTGATAAACCAGCCAGGGGCCAGTGAAGGAAATGGTTTAGTCTACTGGATGCTGTACTGAATGCTAATCTAATAGGCCTGTGACTATTACGTAGAGCAGAACACGTGCGCCCATACTATTCAATATACCTAATCAGTTTCTCTTTTTTCACAAATCTTTTCATATACCATCGTGTCTAATGCATCATTGCTCTGATCAAGATTTTGTCCTCCTAACAAGATAAAAATGGTTCTTGCTGTTTGAATACAGTTTCTTGGTGTTGTGCTGTACTGAAGAGATTAGGTCCAGATGTTAAAAATGCATGTTTTTAAAGCATGGTGATTGCACTATTAGTAAATAATTTTGTTGGAAGCATGATAACATTTCTTATTGCTGGTGCTTACTTATCGTAAATTATCAATTCTAGTCTGAGTGTTATCTTTGGAGTAAGTTAACACATCTATCCTAATCCAACGAAGCTGGAATATCTTGTTTTCTCAAAAAGTGGATATCATAAGGGAAGATAAAGGAGGTTTTATGGTTTCTCACTTGGGGTGTGACAATTAATTACTCACTGTTGTGGTTACAGTATTGTTACTGTCTAGTGCACAATGTGGCATATACCATATTTGACTTCCTGATACACTGTGTATTTGGCATATATTGCATGTCTAACTTGGGTAATATACACAAGTGAACAACCGCTAAAGAGAAAATAGATCTATAAACAGCTGAATAAACAAACCCATGACTTGAACCCTCTTAATAGCAAGGATTCCTAGGCCAGCCGCTTGTCAGATTTGAATAAGAGTGATTGCAATTTGCAACTGCCTTTAAAAGGAGCCATTCATATGTAGTCCAAATGTAGCATTTTCACTTCATTTAGGGTTCCGTATTCATTCACATGATCATGTTATACCCATTTAAGGCAATCCTACTGGTTTTATTTTAGTGATTTATAAGAAAGTAATGATTGTATTGTGAGGATTAAACTCAATGTGGAGTTTCCCAGTTGGTTTTATTTTTTTTATAGTAAGTAGAGTACTGTCAATTCGGCTACTTGGCTAAGCTCAAGAATCAGAGGGTATGTGTAGCACATGACTCTTTTAGTGTACTGTAACAGTGGTTGTCCTTCAGCTTACACAATCTTTAACCCAAACATGCCTAAAAGGTACTATGTTAGTAGCATCTGAGGCATTCAGTATGGGTTTGTTTGTTTTTTACTCTGTAAGACAAACTTATTTTTTTTTTTCTCTGGTTAATGTTCTCTACTAATAATTTTATTTACCCCTAAATAGTTTTTTTTATTACTTTGTTAATGTGGTAGTAATTTCACAGAAAGTGGCAGTGAGTTCTGTAATATATCTATAACCTTCTGCTGTAATTGTATGGACAGCGTCGATGTCTCTGTAGGTCCTTATTGCTTTTTGGTATTTTATTCTTGTGTAGGGCTGGCATTGCAAACTCCATTAACATAAATAAGCTGATCTCTAATAAATATGACATGTGGTTTGCCATTCATGTGAGTCCATGGTATCACATGACCTTTTCCATGTATTTCCTCTTCCTGCCCATCCTGTTTCTGATGGCATCCTCTGTTTTGTGGAATGTGTTTAAGCTTTATAACTCAGCGGCTGCATGTATGACAGCTAGGTCTATAAAATATACTACAGGAAGCCTGTGGTTTAAACACTTTCCTTGCACTAAGTAATCCCTTATCTCAGTGCATACTGGAGAAAACCTAGTAATGAGAAATGTATCTAGAATGTTTCGTTTTCACAATACTCATATAACTTTGTCTTTTGAATGCAATCTTTGCAATTTGTGACTTAATGCAGGGCTTGACAAATTTGCTTGGAATCTAGGAGCCAGGTTTTTCAATGTCAAAAATACAATTCTAAAAGGGACACTATAGTCAACAGAACCACTACAGCTCAATATGGTTGTTCTGGTGTCAATAGCCTGTCCCTGCACACTTTTCATTGTAAACCCTGCCTTTTAAAATACAGTGTTTACATTGTATCCTAGTAACACTTGTAGTGACAGTCACTCAGATGGCATCTAGAGGTGCATCCTGGGTCAGTGCTGCTGCACCTAGGTTCAGCGTCTCCACACTCGGTCTAGAGGTGGTGAACGTTCCCCATAGAGATGCATTGAGTTAATGCATCTCTATGAGGAGATGCTGATTGGTGCAGTGCGGCATGGGGAAGGAAGGCTAGTAAAAAACCCTTTCCCATGTGATTCATGGTGGACGGGTCACCTAAACAGAAACACTCACTGACAGACACACACTCAATCACCGTCGCTGCAACAATCACACACATTTTGTCATACACATTCATGAGACCACCCAACCTCCCTACATTTTGGACAGCTGCAGTGGTTCGGCTTTCCCTGGGATCCATTGGGGCTTCTGAAATTTCACTGCTCTGCTCTCTAGAGCACTGTTTAGCGATGCCGAGGCCAGAATAACTTCTTATTCCGGCTCCTGGTATCAATTGAGGGCGCACAAGGGAGCAGAGCAGGGAGGTTACAGCTCCCTCGCGTGCCTGCCCTTCTGTCTCAATCTTTCAGGAGTCTCCCGCCTGTGCTTACACCCATGTCTCCCTCAGCAGGCCGACTGCCCGCATGCCCATGCTCTTCATGAGGCCAACAAATCACAGGCGTCAGGTCAAAAATCCTAGTTCCCATGGTAACCTGGTGCCTAGGATTTGTTGTGTCCTGACTTAAAGGAATGCTATTGTTTTAAATAGAAACCTGTATTTCTAATGCTATAGTTGCCCTGTCCCTAGTTGGTTCCAGCCCACCTACTTTCCAATAAAATCAATATAAATTTAATAAACGTTTGGGGACTTGATATGCTTGCACTGTGAGCGCATTCATGCTTCGCTATAGAAAAGCATTGTATTAAGTGCTTTCCTATGGACTTCCATGTCATGTGACAGTTTATTGCTGTGGAAACGCCTCTAATTGCTATCAAGACATCCACAAAAGATGGAATGTGATGTAAACATTGCAGTTTTCAAAAAAATAAAAAAAATTGCAATGTTTTACATTGCAGGATTAAAGGGACACAGCCACTGCACCCAGACCACATCATTGAGATCAAATGGTCTGAATTACGTTAGTGTCCATTTAACTCGGTGTACATAGATTGTCTAGGAATGCTCTAACTTTGTAAAAAGGCCAGGATAGTCTCCTCTCTGCAGCCACTCTGTCTTCTGCGAAATAATCCATCACGGTTATCTATGTCTAATACAATGTTTCTAATAGAAAATCATAGAGGACATGGAGCGCATGCACAATAATTGCTGCACTCAGAGAGAAGCATTTCTGTATTTATCATCATGCTTTGCGTGACGATGGACACATTGGCCTTTGTAAATTGATGTGTATCCAGTGCCTTTAAGATGGCTAGCTGCTAGAGGCATGTTTTAGGTAAAATGTAAACGTTGCCATTTTTCTGATAAAAGGGGCAGTATCTGCACCATAAACACTGTTAAGATGTAGGACGTTTGGCGTTTTCATTGTCCCTTCAATAGTTGAGCAAGGTTCTTTTCTTCTGTAAGAGTTTGAAATATTTTGTTTTTTATGAAAACAGTGTGTGTTTTGGTGTTTGAATATATATTACTGGTTTATTTAACTAAAGCCATGGATGTAAATACAGTTAATGAGTTAAACTGTTAATGAGATAAACATTTAGGATAGAAGTTGTTTTGGACAGGTTAATCAATAAAGTCCGTTGGAATCCTCTGTCCAAAAAACAAGCCAGAGGCAGGAAATTTTATTTCCTGTTTATATGGCTAAGAATAAGTTATGCTGCTTGGAGCTGGCTGGAAAAAGGAAGGTGTAAACAGAAATTTCAACTAGAGCTTGCACATTTAGAAACGTCTACTTTAAAAAAAATAAAAAAAATAAAAATAATTTTAATTAAAAGAACTTTGGGTCTTAATATTCTCTAGTCCCTAAACAGCCCGTGAGTTTATTCATTAAACAAACTAACATTTGTTAGAAAGCTTGATGAAAGTATTTTTATATGGAGGTAAGCAGAACCTCTTTACATAGAGATTTATTTAAAATTTCTCCTTACTTTACAACATTCAATTTGTCAGGATTTTCATTGTCATAATAAAGCTTAAGGGGCATGTGTGTATATGTGCGTATAATTGTTGAATAATGAATGATTGACAATGAGCTAAGGTGGCGTTCCCCAGTTGCAAGATAATGGTTCTGTATATTTTATTTTTCACACTCCACGAATACATCTTTGTTAAATGCAGGAGGGGATTCATAAGCATAATATTAAACTTTCTGGGACATTATAGTTGCCCTTTAAGAAAGTAGAAACTGCCACTTGATTAAAAGGGTAGCTAGCATTTTAGGAAGCATTGCTGACCAGTTTCTTTAATCTGATCAGCCTTGTCTACAATTTTGTAACCGTTAAAAGTCCCTAAAGTGGCAAGTGCCAGGTGGAGTTATACCAGTTGCAAAGGCATTATCTTAATTTCCCTGCCCAGTTACCAACACATTCTGTCTTATGCAACTTTAATGCCATTTCCCAGTGGCTCATTTTAAAAGGTGTGTGTGTGTGTGTGTGTGCGCACATTTAATTTTATTTAGAATTTACATAATATCATGATTTGCATATAAATTGGACAGTTTTGCTATATTCTTCGGAATTCTTATTTTCTTTCTGAAGTGCAGCACATGAAGTGTTAATATAAAATAAATAAGTTCACTAATGAGAAATCCCAAACTGCTTTGATAAGTTTACAGGCTTCCCTCTTGCAGCCTATAAATATTTCAAGACAGCATTTTTCATGTGCTGCCCTTCTGTGCCGTATAACATGACTTATGACTAGGAGAACAAAAGATTTGACAATCATATTTGCAAAATGTGCCTATGTAAACCCCAAACCAAAGACGGTCAATGAGTAGATCATATTGTTTTTATTACGTGTCTCTCCAAAGACTCCACATCTCAGTTCAGCTATTTTGACCAAACCATTGCAATTCTATTTTGAATTCCGTACAACTGTGTTTACTGAATTACTCCAAAATCATTATTCAGTAAATTCCATTTTATAGTGAATTGGAATCTGGATTGCAAAATTGAGGCCGGGGTATCTGATCTGAAAAGATTCTCCAGTACAGCTATAAACACGGCTTAGTTATTTTGGTTTTTCCATTCAGACTTTAGTTCAATGCAAGTCTGAATTCAAGATGGCTTGAAACCTAGCTCACCTGGAGATATTTAGCTGTTTTTACTCTTTTTTTTGGTCTTACTGTCACACTTCCTTGCTAAATTCTCAAAAGGTCATCATTAACAAATTATCCTGCCTGAATTTTTTTCAGTTTGCAAATTTTGTGGTAGCCCAGGGGTTAATAAATAAAAAAAATGACTTGTAATAAATTTGCAGGTGACTTTAATATAGTGGTGGTGGTGGTGGTGTTTTTTTTTTTTTTGGTATGTGTGTTTATTCATTTTTGTAGAAATGCTTCTATGTGTTGGTTTCAGTAACAAAGAAAATCAATATTTGAAATGGACGGTGTAGAATTGTCAATGTTATGCAATATAGCATGTGCTAAATAAATATTCACCTCTCATGATATAGTGGGAAAAAACAAAAAATGTGCCCACGAAAACGGTGTATTTTGATGAAAGTAAAGCTTTTTTTTTTTTTTGTATCAGTGATAAAACCAGTGATGTACCGTAATATGCATATTGTTATTGAGTTCTAAGCAGTGTTTTAGTGAGTGAATCTACTGAGGGTCCTGTGTGAGTAAATTAATGCATAGCACACCCAATGACACTTTGCGTTTTGAACCAAGGTGTTACGATGCCCATGCACTCCATACGCATTCATCCTAGACAAGTTAGTTGAAAACAATTGGATTGTTTAACGTTTCTTTCAAATTCCATATAAATCAAAGAAATGTGTTCATTATTATTTTATGCACCTAGCATCATATAATTGCAGTTTGTTGGTGCAAAGTGTGTTGGTTTGCTCTATCTAGTTGCCATCTTAAGGATTTTATTTCTCTTCAAACCATGTTTGGTAATTAAAATCAGTGTACCTTTTTATTTTTTTTATTTTTTTATTTTTTTAATAAATACATAAATTCCCTCCCGTATGATTCATATTGCATTTGGGATGTCTTCGGTGGATGCTTTTATCCGGATGTGTCTCTGGAGCCTTTGTGCGTGTCTCTATGGTATTTCCCAGCTTGCTCAGGTGTAATCAATGTATGTGTGCATTCTCGGAGATATTGAGTGCTTGTAGGATTATTTGGTGCAAAAGAGACCTAATTAGACAGAGGGGATACATTGTCTTGGGTAATTAAACCTGGAACTTGATTGAATTATTAGTTTTTATTTGGTGTTATGGTGGTATGTATGGGGGGAAAATGGCTTAAGAAAGGGATTTATTTTCTAATCACATCTTAGACATTCTAATGTATGGTGGGTTAGACGACATTTTGACTATTTTATTTTTTATTGCTGGATGTTTCCTTGTTTTACCTGTCGAGTAGTGCATTAGATTGTATCTAATCATGCTTACAGAATTGGTGCTATGCTGACATTTTAGCAGTGTATTGTCAGAGTTCAATACCCGGGACACAGATGCAGTATTGCACTGTTGCCATTTGTTACCTCTGTCTGTAAGTTGCACGTTTGCTGTGTTGCAAAGAGAACGCTGAGAGAGTAGACTTTGTTGACAGGATTGGCTCGTATCGTGCTAGTAGATGATAGGAACAAAGTGATATTGGGGAGAGACATATCAAAGTGTCCTACAAAATAAAAATGCTGAAAAAATGTAAAATGGAAGGAGTCCCCAATGGAATGTGCCTGCAGTTTGCATGGTAATTGCCCCAATGTAAAGTACTTTAGAACAGTTTGATAAATCTCTGCATTAGCTCTTCAATTAATGCACTACAATATGCAACGGGTTTAGCAAAGACACAAATTAACACCCCGATAACTCTCTCGTTTTCTATATGTATAACCACCTTTGTTCCAACATTGAGGAGGAGGTAACATCAAAAGAAAAGTGTGAAAAAAAACAAAACAATTGGAGCTATGCAGGCCTACCTTTGTGAATTAGCGCAATCACCGTAGAAACCAGTTGCTAATGTAGCTTATATAGGTTTCTGCTTCACTTTTCGAACCCTGCCAATGAGGTGCTAAGCAATATTTTCTTAGAGAAAAACACAAATCTATTGAGGTCTTAAAGGAACTCTCCACTCTCCTGTCTGCTGCCTTTGCAAACCCTCCTGTTCTGACCCTGCCCAGAATTTGTTGCTGTCCAATCGCAGACTGCCCAGTTCAGTTCAATGAGAATTCTTTGCAAGGCAGGTGCTCTGAGCAATATCTGCCTCTTGAGTTTTGCTCCCCTGAGAACCAAACCCGTAAATAACAGGACAGATTGTCTGTTTAAAACTATGGGTGTAGCCAGTTTAATTGAGAATCATGCCAATTTCTATTGTAATCTCCACATTTTGCAAAATGGAAAACAAAATACGACACTCTAAACACAAAGCTTTTCAGCAGCAAAAGTGCATAAGGCGTCTGGAGTGTGCCTTTCAAAGCTAACATCATGGAGGATACCTGAGATAATTGAGTTTGGCCAGTTAATTGAAATGGTTTTCTTTTCAGTATAAATTGACTACAGCTGAAATAGTTTTTTGTTTTTTTTTAATATTTAATAAGCCTAATGCATTCTAAGTGCAGAGCACTTTAGTGGTTAGGGTCACACAAATATACCGGTATGTTGTCTGTATATAATGATTTGTGCATTCAGGCATTGAATCCTGTAATGCATGACAGGGACTCCAATCCCAAGACAATACTGGGTCCCCTCATACACCAGATTAGTGGACAGATCCAGATAGGTAAAAAAAGATGGAGACAGGAAGAGTTACGAGACAAATATTCAGATATTTATGCAGTATCGATCAAGGATGTTATCAGGGTCTTCATTTATTTTGCCGTTTTGGGTGCTTGTGTTGTGGATAATGTTTATTATAGGAACACACCAAACACCATAACCACTGCATCACTCCCACAATTGTAAGTATAATACTTTCAGGGCTGTTATTCACTACAATGACTATTCAAAGTTGACTTTCAAATTTTAAGTTTAATGTAACCAAACTGGAAAAACCCTCGAAAGTCAACTACAATGTGCTTCCAGTTTAGCAATTTGGCCATAAAAGTGAAATTCATTTTTAATTCTCACTTGAGTAAATAACTCTGTTAGATGTCTTTCTCTGGTAACTGCTACCTTCCTCCACTACTGCAGACAGAGAGCCAGAAGGTACTAAAAAGAAGACAGGGGGCGGCTGTATGGGGTATGGTGGTTGGTGCGTTCCTTTAAATATTCAGCATCCAGTTGCAGTCAGTAAGAGCAATTAAACATTCTCTGAAGTTGGTAGCAATGTAGGACATGCAAGGCCTTTGGCAGCTAGAAGTTGGCACAACATATATTTTCGCTTCCTGTAATTGTAAAAGCTGGATTTGCTTGGTTTGCCTATGAGAATTGTTCGTTTTGAACATTGTAGCAGTGGTTGTCAGTAATGATGCAACCAATTGTAGGAAGCCAGATTTACATCTGATTAATCTATTATATTGGCATGCTAACACGTAAAGGAAAACTGATCACTTTGCATTAAAACTGATCACTTTGCATTAAATATCTATTTTCAAAACTTATCCTTGCCAACCTTAATTCTGTGTGGTAGGCTTTCTTTAAGTCCCCTTTTACTAAAAAGCGCAGCTTATCCATCCAAATACTACTCCTGTTATTAAGAGCTAGTTGGTGTTCAAAAACACTGAAATAATGACAGGGCATCTAAAAAATATAATCTGGATGTTTCAGACTTTCATATTGTGCTTGGTGTTAGCAGGTGAAGCTGTTTTTCTGACTAAAGATGGCTGGCCGCACTGCAAGTGTAAGGAAATTGCATAGGAAGAGTTAAAGGGACACTCCAGGCACCCAGACCACTTCTGCCCATTGGAGTGGTCTGGGTGCCAACTCCCACTACCCTTAACTCTGCAAGTGTAATTATTGCAGTTTTCATAAACTGCACTATTTACCTTGCAGGGTTAACTCCTCCTCTAGTGGCTGTCTACTAGAGGGCACTTCCGTGTTTATAGCACATGAAAAGTGTGCTATAGCGTTGCTGGACGTCCTCACGCATCGCTGAAATCCCCATATGAATTGCCACGCATGCGTATTAGGTCTCCCCCTGCCGGGGCCGCGCATGCTCAGTAGGTCTCCCCCGCCAGATGATGTCGGAGGGGGAGGGGCGGACCCGGACCCAGCGCCGAAGGACATTGGCGCTGGATACAGGTAAGTCACTGAAGGGGTTTTAACCCCCTCAGCAATTTGGGATGAGGGGTGGGAGGGAGAGAGTTAACCTGTTTCTCTAAACAAACAGAGCTGAGTTTAATATTCATTGGGTGGGAGTTGTGAGGACTTTCAGCCACTCTGCGCTTGTCTTAAACAGGTCACTAGTGCAGTAATGGCTGCCAAGTATCTAGTGGAAAAATTCTGTGTATGCAACTATTTGTTGCATGTACCATGTGTTTTTTTTCCTGGACTTTGCTCACCAAATAATGGAAATAAAAATTAAATAAAGAATTTTAAAATAATACGTTCTACAGCTTTTAGTTGGCTATAAAATGAAAATCACAGTGAGAAGCACGCAAGCGCCTCTAGCGGCTGTCAACGAGACAGCCACTAGAGGCTGGATTAACCCTAATATAAACATAGCAGTTTCTCTGAAACTGCTATGTTTATAGAAAAAAAGGTTAAACCTAGCTGGACCAGGCACCCAGACCACTTCATTAAGCTGAAGTGGTCTGGGTGCCTATAGTGGTCCTTTAAGTAGAAATAAAAAGATAAATGTACGTACATTTATATATTTTTTAAAACACCCTCCTTTTCGAAAAAAATATTCTTTAATTGCGTGAAAACTGGTGGGCGGTAAGGAAATTTTTTCAACCAAAAAGATGCATTAGTGGGCAGTAGGTAGAAAAAGGTTGACTACCACTGGTCTAGCTATACCAATTCATACCAACAGTGGGAACTGTGATTGGCTGAAAGCGGTCAGCAGACACACTCAACCAATCACAACCACCTATTGCTGCTTAGGCTAATGCATCTTCAGCCCAAATCGCACAGATGGAAAAGAGCTGCTGGGGACGCTTTTAGTGTTAAACTATTAAAAGCAGTATAATACTATACTACACTATAACCACTTCAGTTAAACAAAGCAGTTAGAGTCACCCTTTATTGCTTGATGAGATGCAGACATGTCCTTATAATTTCCCTCAGTAGCTGATGTATGTTTTGTCTGTTCAGTTACATTGTCTCTTGTTTGGAGGATGGTTGTAAAATACAGTGGTTTCATATATTATTTTCACAGGATTTTCAAAAAAAACAAAAAAGGGGGGGTGCGGGGGGGAACAGTTGAAAAGAGAACCAGCAACCAGTTTTAATCTTGTTCTTGTTTTTTTGTAGTTAATTATTTTAGCATTGTATTTCCTTTGGGGGGGGAAAAAAATATATTTTAAATTGTGTTTTCTGTCTACATTTTCATGTTTTTTTTGTGTTAACTTATTTCTGCTAATCATTTTATTTTTTATTCTTGCTCTATGTAGTTTTATATTCTCCCTTTTTGTTTTATCCTATATCATGGGCAACAGACAAAATAAGCAGGTGTAGAAAATCAAATTTAACACTTCATGCAATTTTATTGATTTTTTTTTTTTTCAATTTTAATTTGTTTAGTTTCGATGCTGCTGACATTGTACCATAAACCAGTAAAACGGATATAGATTTTCCTTAAATTTGAACTTTCATGTTGCTATTTGAGGTTTTATGATGCGTTTAGCTTGCTAAAGGAACATTGATAGTTACATGGTTTTGTCAGACAACTATTTAAATGTGTTAAAATCAGTTGTCTTTGGCCAACTGAACATATTAATGTGAATCACATATTAGAGTAATATTCGCCCCTCATGCAAATGGCTTATTTTCTTATGATTCTCTCAGCATAACTATGTTAAGTCATGTTCAATTTCCTGGTAAATTATAACAGTAGTTTTTCTAGAATAGGTATCATGGGAAAGGTGATTTGCATGAAATGCCCTTCTTGTGCCATTTTAAGACATAGCTTATCAGTGAAACTATATTATATTAATTTAACCTTCAAGTATATAAGCACAGAACCAAATATACAAATAAACGTGAACGTTCTTTATTTGCTGAATTCAGAAATACTCCACAATTGTGACTATCGTAGGCTTATTTTGCTCAAATGGACATCATCTTTTCAATGATTCTGTTTATACTTTAAAAGGAAGAATATCTCTTAAAATGATTTTGTGAAATCAAGAATGTGCTCCTATAATGAACTACTAGCACCTTTGTGTTTTTTTTTTTTTTTTTTGTGTATTGACTTTTTTGTTTTTGGCTCCTAATTAGTTGGTTTGGCTTCTAATTTCTTTGTATGAATTAGTCTAGCTCCAAAGAATGTAGACCGTGGGGGTATTGGTCATATTCATTTTAGATTTATTATAACATCGTTTGTGGTTGTTCTGCATAACGTTTTGCTCTGTGTTTTGTTTAATACTGAATACTCGGTCACTTCTCTGTAAAGTACACTATTAAATAAAAACATTATAATTCACCTATAACTTTTTTTTTTTTTTTCATGTGGTTATTTTCTTTTTAAATGTATATTAAATATTTAGGAAGTAATATCACTATGCGATTCAGTTTGGGCATAATCCGTGCAAATGAGGAGGAGAACAGAATCTTTGTTACTCTTTCTCCTCTTCTATTAATTATGTTGAGAGGCAGAAAAGGGAAAAATGTATAAAAATAACTGATTGGGAGCAAATACGGAAGGCACCCGGCTCTAAGATAGATGTGTGGATGTCTTCGTTTTTCATCCAGATATCCTAAGAACATAATAAATGTGATGAACTGGGTATTATAAATCCCGAGGTGTTACAGTCGTTCTTTAAATGTAACTGCTTGTCTCTCCATTAAACAGTTCTGCTACCTCCACCTTTTCTAGACGTGTTAATAAGAAACCATGCGTATTCAATATGCACCTTGTCCAACTGCATGTGCTGCTGAGTTTGTCTGCTCCTTATTAAACAATAAATGTCAAAGGTTTGCTTCCACCAAAGTGATTGCTTCCTTTTCCTGTTTGTCATACTTCCTGGGAAATCTCCTTACAAATTGCACAACTAGAGACGGAGAGAATGCATTCCAGAACATTGGGCCAATCAGCATTTTGTGTGGGTAGAAATGCAACTAACCCATAACAGCATATTTAAATATTTAGGAGGCTCTGATTTCTAGAGGTAGGAATCCGAAAGTCCCTCTAAGTCTTAGACATCTGGTAGACAGGTCGATGTTCTTATTGAGGAATAATCAATTATGTCATGCCATAAGTCAAGGATCCCTGTAACAAATCAAGATTTTATGGTACTCCTGCAATGATTTCATCATAATGAGATTTAGTTTTAAGAACATTAAAAATAAATCGTCTACTTTAATTTAAAGTAAAATAAGCTGAAACAATTGTTTCCATATCCCTTGTTTGATGTGGTATATTTTGATTGCCAATAGGTAATTTATTTTAAATAAAATAAAGTAAAGAAAAATATATGCATGAGTGTGTTTAAAGGCACAGTTCTTAAAACTGGAATATGTATAAAATGCTTCCTGAAAAGAGACAGAATAGAATTTGATGAAAATAATTTTTTGATGCCCCATTAATTCCTTTTTGCACAATTATTTTTGTTTGCATCTTTATAATGCATTAAAAGATGAATCAGTTACAGCGGGAGTGACCCTTAAAGGGACACTCCAGTGCCAGGAAAACACTCCCCTCTCCCTCCCACCCCCCATCCCAGGTTGCTGAAGGGGTTTAAACCCCTTCAGTGACTTACTGGAGTCCAGCACCGATGTCCCTTCGGCGCTGGTCCAGGGTCCGCCCACACTCCTCCCCCGCCAACGTCATCCGGCAGGGGAGACCGATTGCGCATGCGCGGCCGCCGACGGGGTGAGACCACATGCGCGGCAATGCCGCACACGCGCATTCAACCTCCCCATAGGAAAGCATTGAAAAATGCTTTCAATGCTTCCCCATGGGGATTTTAGAAAGCTTGAGGTCCTCACATAGCGTGAGGACGTCCAGTGACGCTATAGCACAGAAAATCTGTGCTAGAAACCCGGAACTGCCCTCTAGACAGCCACTAGAGGAGGAGTTAACCCTGCAAGGTAAATATTACAGTTTATGAAAAGTGCAATATTTACAGTTGCAGTGTTAAGGGTTATGGGAGTTGGCACCCAGACCACTCCAATGGGCCACTCCTTGTGCCTTTTAAAGGAACACTGTAGGTGTCCTCCCCAAAATCCTTTTATTTAACTGATTAGAAGGCTTGGAAGCGTGGCTTCAAGCCCCGACTCCAACCCCTCTGTGTATGGGTATGAGAGCACACATGCGCAATGCCGTCACGGTGGGCCAAAGAGAATCATTGACCACAATGATTCTATATGAAGGAATCTTAGTAGTGTTGTGGCAAATGCCATGCATGTCCCTACATTCCCCAGTCATCCTCTATGAGGAACATTGGATTGGCCTGTCATCCAGGAGGCACACCATCAGCCTCCTGGACACCGCAACCTGAGGAGGAGAAAAGGTGAGTAATTTAGGTATTTTAAATTCTTTCAGACTTTTTGGGTATCTTGGTTAGGATAAGATTATAGGAATTATATCTGGATCCTATAGTGTACCTACTCGCATAAAGGTGCACTCCATACACCTAAAGCAACTCCCCCCCCATATACCCTGAAGGAAAAAATGCAGAAAACAAATGCATGTATTTTTCTATGGGGGTATATTTACTAAATTGTTAGAATAAATCACTGCAGTGTTACCTTAATGTAAGGAAACATTGCAGCAAAGAAAGATGTAGAAAATGGCATATTTTCCTTGCATGAATAGACAGTCTTTTTATTTATTGCTGTTATAGAATAATGTAAATTGCAATGGCGGAGGAGCCACTTTCATTATTGCACATCAGCTAGAATCTGAAAGTGCAGTGGTCTCTTATCTGCAATGGAATCATGATTGTGCTTTTTTGCAGCGTAAAGGAATGCTATAGTGTTGGGAATACAAAGCGAGGTGCCTGTAATGTCCCTTTAAGGGTTAATGATTGATTAATACTGTATATTCTTGTGACCCTTTTTGGGGGAATACTCTCTAAGCAGCAATGGCTGTAATATATTACATTAAAATGTTTAGTGGATTTTATAATGCATTATCCACAGAAACCAAAGGAAGTCACTTATGGAGAGAGCACACATTTAACTTTCTCGCCTTCTGCTAAAATGAACCATAGACAAGTAAAGCACTCCCGAGTACAGCTGCATGCATGTGTGTATTGGGTTACTGTAACAAATCAGTTTAAAACCCGTGAGGGTTTAGCTACTGACCAGCTCCTGTCAGCAGAAGACAAAATTGTATTAACAGCAAGCCTTTAACATTGGTAGCAGGCAGTCATGTATGGTGCTTGTCAATGCAATCCACTTAGGTGCTATAAACCTCTAGTCAGCTCAAGAACTTGGGGGTGTGGTCACAGTGGTTCTTTAAGACAACCCAGAATCTTCCTGGAATGATTCTGGAATGGCACCATTCTGGTCCTTGCTTTTACAACACAGGACTTTCTTGTCCAAGTCTCTTTAAAGCCATAAAGAGTGCAGATTAAAGGGAAACTGTTGTGCTTGGAATACGTTTTGTCTCTTTCCTGATCCAAATGCCGATGGTGGGGGATAAAAAATGCTCATGCACAGCGAGCGCTGTGATCAGTTAGGCCTTTACCATAGGAAAGCATTGAATCAATGCTTTCCTATGTGGCTTTAGCTGACGCAAAGCGTGAGGATGTCCAGTGTCAGTAGACCAAAAGTTCCCTAAGGACTCGAAAGCACCTCTCGTGGCTGTCTGGTAGACAGACACTAGAGGTGGAGTTTACCCTGTAATGTAATTATTGCTGTTTCTCAATAACTGCAATAATTACAATTACAGGGTTAAGAGGACAGGGCCACAGCACCCAGATCACTTTAATGAGATGAAGTGCGCTGGGTGCCTATAGTGTCCCTTTAAATGTAGCACCATTTGTTTATTGACATGTAAGAAGTAGTGTTCTGCTAACAAAACATTTTTTTTCTAGTGTTCTAACATCTTATTATATATTAAGTAATCATCTCTTTAAAATGTTTAGTCTGATTGCAATAGGAGTGAAACCATTTTCACCAATTGTTACACTTCAAACCCAATGAATTATTTTTTAAAAAAATTTTTTTAAATGTAGTGTTATGTGATAGGTGTGCCTCCCTTGCAGCGTTCACCCACAGTGAGTGTGTGTATTTTTGGGTTTGTGTAGAGGGGATGTAGTTGAGGAAATACTTGATGCACAGGTCTGTACTATGGTATAATGACCGGGAAAGAGAGGAAACCAGAAAAAAATTCTCCATGTGCAGCTGCTGCATAGGAAGCAAACAGGATGCCGACACGTTTTACCAGGAAGTGGCTGTGTCTAACTTTAAAATGAATTGAACACTAGTGATGGCATGCGAAGTGTTCAGGCTGACAATTATTTGTAGAATGGCGAAACCACATCAGTATGTTCCAATCATTTGTGTAGATCTAGATGTGTCCCTTGTATATGTTCAATTTACTTATGTGGATATATGTATATATATATATATATATATATATATATCTCGTAATGTGTAAGTACAGTGCAAGGCATGTGGATAATTTTAAGCAGCCCTTCATCATGCTGTGGTTATGGTGCGAGGAGTGTTCTGGCACAAGCTTCCTACCCTTCAGTTAGCTCACCTGAGCTAAGGCCTCATTGGCTGAGCGCGTCAGCTGATCGCTTTGTCAGTGAGCTAAGCATTGCACGGCAGGACTTGGCTCAGGCAGGTAGCTTCTGGTTCTATTTGAGACTGTAGTGGATGCAGGTAGCAGCAACTAATGGACCAGAGTAAGATGTCAAACTTTCACAAAACAATCTTACTACTTGTGATGAATGAGTGGCTATACTATTGGCACCATAACCACTACAGCGCTTTGTGTTCCTTTAACTATTATAATGCTGGACTTGGGGAATTTGATTCCTAAATCAAGCTGAAACCTTTTATGTTTCCACTGTGTAGATCACTGGTAATGAATACCTCTCCAGCTTCTCTGCTTCAGACTGTATCCAGGGATGGGGTGATTGATTGGCGTTAAACTTTTTATCTGTGTTAGAGTATTTTCTAAGTCTGTGCAGATTTACAGCATTTTATTTAAGCTAAGGATGAGCACTAAGGAGCACACATTCCTACAAGTGCTCCACAAACATGTTTGTCACACGCTTAACAATAAAACTTCACCCCTCCTTCGATTTCAATGTTGTATACCATAGCAGGGTGTGCCTGAAATGTACATGTCATCTATTGACATTTAAAGAGTAGAATGGCCAGACTGTTCAGCCACACCCACGACATGAGGAAATTAAGATCAGAAAATGTTTTCTCATAATTGTATTATTGGTGTAGGAGACGCATCAGAGGGCATATAAAGCGTAAGTCTAATGTTAAAAAAAAAAAAAAAAAAAAATCACAGGTAACTAAGGGCCCATGACGCTATGAATTCTGACACAAATAAAGAAAAGCGTGCACGTGTTCATTGATATCTTGTAGCTGCAGAAAAAAATCCCCTGTTGACTTTCCCTTTTAAAAGTTAAGTATAGCTGGTTGAAAAAGGACTGTAATAAATATTTAAAGTTTACTGTCAAATTGCGTGAGCACTTCAGAGTATTCTTTTTGTAAGGGATTAAAGGAACACTATAGCGTTAGATATACAAAGAGTACCATAGTTAACTTGCGTGTTCTCCCTTTCAGCGCCCGTCTGTGCTGGGGAGCTTCGATAAAGAAAGCACTGGGAGGCTAGTGCAAAGTGTATGTACGGCATATACCACAGCCATCATGCTGCAGGGTTAATACCACTTTATGAAGATGAAGTATTCTGGGTGCCTGTAGTTTCCCTTTAAGAACGAGCGTTGCAGATATAAAGCTTTAATCCTTTCTTGCTCCCTTTATACGTAGGACACATTTGCTGGATATTTTAATCTCTAGACAACAAAGTATTCCCATTGTTTCAGTTTGCCCCGCATCAAATTTGTAATACCTTCCTGTTTTGTGGAATTGGCAGCAAAACCTATTGCAGCAGTTATGCCACCCTCGCTGGGTGCATAGTATAATGTTTAGACCAAACCTTTTAAAGAGATGTTCTAAGCACCATAACCACTGCAGTGGGCTGTAGCCCTTGATATCCACCTGTGGGAAATAGTAAAGCTATTTTTAAAAAGGTTTGACACTTACCTGGGTTACCCAGGTGACTGAGGACTAGCATCTATCCATCTTAAAGGAACAGTCCACTGCCCAAATACAAACTTAATAAAAATCACTGTTTAGTAGATATGACTTTTAATTATGCATTTATTTTCATTGGGGGTAAATCTAAAAACCGCTTGCAAAACCTGCAAATCTTTTGTCAGCAGCCTTTGCAAACCCTCTCCCTCTAACCCGCCCAGACTTTCTGTTGCTGTCCAATCACAGACTTCAATGCAGCTCAATGAGTAGTCTTTGCAAGGTGGGTGCTGTGGTGCAATTCATTTTTAATGTCCCTCACAAAGTCTTATTCTAAAATATGCATGTAAAATCTTCCATTAAATTGCTGGAACTTTAAGGTGTCAATTGACCTGTGCTAATGTGTTAAACTGGGGATAATGTTTTCCCTTTCTATTTATCCTATTATACTGAGGGCTGCTGGGGATGGTTGTATCTCCATGTCTGCATTACTGAAAAACTTAATTTGGAAATCAATAGCAGATGGTACTTTTTTATACGATTATATCATCTCAAGTCATGCTAGATGGAATTCTTCGTTCTTTTACTAATTTAGCTGTGCATTTCCCATATCAACGCCCTCCTACACACTTCCGTGATGGTGAAAAGACCTTCTGCAAACTGGGAATATCTTGTCCAGAGACCTTGTGCTCCTCTCTGTAACATAGGAATTGTTGGTGAAAGGAGACACTGCTAGTGCCAGTCCAGGGTTGTTCACTATGCCATCCTAGTGTTTTTACTTTGTTTAGATCTGAAAGTCGAAATGAATCGGGTAGCCTGTAAAGCTGGGTTTGATAGTTCAGTTATTTAATTTTTTTTTTTTAATTGGAATGTTCCCTAAACTGTAGATTACTAAGACCGCTTTTTAAAAATGTTTTTTTTTTTAAAAAACACTGATGGTGTTTAAATAAATTAAACTATATTCCAACACCAGGAGAGTATCCTCACTGCAGCTCTGCGCCTCCTCCTGTGTTGGCATTATTACTGATGCCTTGCATCCATTATTATTGTTATTATTAGTATGTATATAGAGCCCACTAATTCCGCAGCGCTTTACAATATTATGAAAGCGGGGGACATTTACAATACATGGATGAGGGCCCTGCTGAAACGAGCTTACAGTCTAAAGGGGGTGGGGTACAAATACACAACAGGGCAGCAAGGTTTTCAACCACCAAACAAGGTGGAAAAGTATCAGAGCTGGAGGTGAGAGTGGAATGTGACTCTTAAGGAGAGCAAGAGACAGATGTTTCTCATAGTGAAGCATTGGCACTCACCAGCAATGCATTGCATAGAGAAGCACTCACTCCTGCCTTGAACTATAGCTCAAAGAAAGTAAGTAGGGCAACCATTCCGGATGTCTGTGTTACGAATGGGATTTATAAAAGTACTGATTTCTCTTGAAATGAGTCTGAGTGTCTATGGGTGAAACTGTCCAACTTTTGGCAGCTTTGCTAGTAAAACCCGTTCCCAGTGCTAGTTGGCATCCAGGCTCCGACAGGTTTGCACTTGATAAGCAGTGCAGCTGAGGAGAGCCCCAATTTTGTCAAAGGAGCACTCATAAACTTGTTGTACTATAACCACTTAAATAGCTGTAGTGGTTATGGTGCTCAGAGTGCACATTTTTTCTTTTTCAATTCTTTGTTTAAAGGACCACAAAAACAATGACGCTTAAATCAATGGCAAAGTGTACGATCAGCCGTCCCATCCAGTTTTAGCAGGAAGAGAAAATAAATGTAAGAAACAAAAACCAGATAGATCACAGTAAGAATTTAGATACCTGCACGCCATTGATTATATATGCCGACAACAATAACTTGAACCTTTCTTTGCTCATATAACAAGGTATCAAAGATATTTCGCATCATACGGATGTGGAGAGTGCATCTTTAATGTTTGAGCTCCCAGATATTCAGTGCAATATGCTGTATTAGCTGTTACATTTATACTGCTGTGATTTAAATGTAAATGTTTTGTAAATTCCCCCCCCCCCCGTGATAAGTGAATATTTCCATAAGTGCAGTGGTCTGTATAGCGTCTGCACTGGGTATAATGATATGTGTGTGTATAAGCCATTTCAGGCAATTTTCTAATGTGTGTCTGTTTCATATCCATAGCAAAACCGTTTACAAATCTGCTAAAAGGAATGCAGCTTCATAGGGAAGACTTTGAAATCATAAAAGTTATCGGAAGGGGGGCGTTTGGAGAGGTAAGAGGCATTATTTCATTATCTTTTGTATTCTAAAACTTTTTTTTTTTTTTTTTGCATACCAATAAGTAGTCCTCAATGTCTGCATGCAATTCATAATTTAAAGGGAACTTATCATGTTTTAAATTTATAAGAGCACTCAAGGCCAAAAAAATAAATCCAATCCCTGTGATGAATGAAGTCGGACACTATCTTCCTTTTGATGGGATTTTGAAAGCAGCGCGTCATTTCACATACTAATGCTTTTCAGAGTACTTCTCGTGTTGCGTTCTCTGCCATCACCTGTTCACTAAACAAGCCCAGATTTAACCTTAAAGAGGAAACGTCTTTTCTTCCTGCACCGCTGAATAATGATTTAAAATCCCCATTCTGGACATTTACTTCTTTTGTAAGGCTGTTAAGGCACAGTTTGGCATAATGTAAATCAGTTGCCTTGCATGTACTTCATAGAAGAAATGTGCAGACGAACATGCATTATGGTAATATGGTGGCAGAATATAGCACATATTGACAAGATGTTAATACTGGCACAAGTGCAACAAAGACATGTGTTTTATATGCACTATGGCTGCATATTGCACCTCTTCCATTGTGTTGATTGGGGCAAAAGAATCCAAACTGTCAGCAACTCAAAGTCTTGTTAGTTATCTAGCACTGCTCATTGGATACACAAATATCTATCCATCCTGTTTTACTTTTACTTCTGTGGTTAGTTGTTATCTTGTTAAAGTGGCACTGTCATGCCGAACTTACCTTTCTTTTATCAATTCCTCTCCTCTCCCTCTGTCAGGACCTGTTCTTCATTTTTTTCCTGTCTGCTCTAGTTTTCTTTAAAACATAAGATAAAGTAGGGACTACTTTGTTTTATGTAGGTTTCCTACGCCTGACCATCTGTGTACTTTGTTTCCGGTGATCAAAGCAATTTTCCCACAAGTCTTACCTTTCCTCCGTGATCTCGCAGCTGCTTAGTAGATAGCTCCCTAATTCCCACGGGACCAATTTAGGTCTTTCAGCCTTTTGGTAGATAGCTCTCTAATACCGTGGGAATTAGGGAGCTATCTAGTAAGCAGCTGCAAGATGCAGCCGCAGTAAGAATAGGAATTGCGTCCTGCATAATAAGCTTGTAAACATTATTGAACCAAAAAAGCAAATAGCACTTGCACTCAGTCACACATTAGGTGCAGGTATCTGGGTCACCTCTAAAGACTTAAAATCAAATAATAAAAAATACCAAAATGTTAAAGTTAGTTTATTGATACAGCATAGTAATATAGGAAAGAATGCTGATCTCTCTTCTGTAAAGATAAGCGTATATCACAATTCAAATGGGTAGTCCACCATAGTTAAAGTGCTAAGTGCCAAATCACCATAAATACTATAACCATGTACAACTAGTCTAAAGTGCAAACAATTACAAATCTACAATACTGCCTGCCAACAATCCTATGCAAAAAGCAGATTACTTGGTTAAATAGAGGGCACACAGGTATCAGTGATCTGTGAGACACAGTTCTTGAGGTATGCTCTAAGAGTATAGTGATCTGTCCCAATCCTGAATATGTTATTGTAAATTATAGGTTTGTTCTGCACTTTAACTATGGTCGACTAGCCATTTGAATTGTGATATACGCTTATCTTTACATAGGAGAGATCAGCATTCTTTCCTATATTACTATGTTGTGTCAATAAACTTTTTAAACAAATTTTCTGTAAGCTTGAGTGCGGTATCATTCTGCTATTTTGATGTAAACATTATTGTTGTCTGTTTCTTTAAGAAAACAGTTTGCCCAAGTACTTGACTCGGTGGCGTAGGATAGACCGAGACAGACACATGCAGCTGATGCCACTCGGGGAAAGCTTGAAATTGAGCATTATAAATTAGTAAACCAAGCCATCCATACTGGGTAATAACAAGCCTGCAGTTTGATGATCTATGGTTAGCCACACTAAGCACTGCCATGGTCGATCTTCTTGGCTGCCTGTAGAAGCACTCGAGGTGGGGGACTCGGATGATGCTTTGCTGTTCGTCCGTCTTGAGACCTGGTCTCCCTGACAATATTAATTTGCAATCCGATAACCTTTAATACTCTAGTATATACAAGCCTTTTGGAATAAGAAAAGCGTCTCCGAAGTACAAACATTTGTGTCACTTGCGGGTTGTGTAGTGACTTAAAGAGCAAACTTATTTTTTTTTACAAAAATTGCAGAATTCACCTGTTTTTTTTTTTGTTTTTTTTTAACGAGCACTTTAAGCAATTTTATTACCATAGCTACTTTTTCTCTCGAATACGTTTCCGAATGCTTACCTTGTGCTTTCTGCCTTGAATGTGGCCATTGATTTATAGATGATCAGCCTACCACAAATATCTATTTACTATTCCATTGCCTTCGCAACCTGTGTGGACTAAGGCACATTTACATGAGAGAAATATCCAAGTCACGCCGTCAGCATGTTATAAACGTCACATTTAATTGAAGCGTCACTCAGTAGACATACATTCTTCTAGACGAATTTAGCTTCAATGAATTTCAAACAGTTGCACCTCGGTAAAACCACTGAATAATTGCATACTGAGATAGCCTTGCAATTACAAATGCTTTCTGTCTTTTCTACTGTAATTTCAACACCATTTGTTTGTGTGTCCATGGCTTCACAACCACATACATTGGCCTAGTAAGTTGTCAAGGTAGATTGATGAGTACACAATGCAAAATAGTACAGGATATTACACTTTAACCTATGCCTAGGGATCTAGATGCCACTGACTCTGGGAGCTGGAAGGGAGGCTGCCGCTATGCTGTTTGTCCGATCTGTAAAATACTGGCTAAGTGGCTATGTAGTAACACTGTAGTGCCACATTATGTGTTAGCTTGCAATAGATTTTAATATATCACTAATGTAGAATTACTAGAAGCAGGTGTCACTGCTATGCCAAACACGAGAGTGGAGGGAGTTTAAACTAGTGTTGTAAGTTGGTATTTATGGTTTTTTTTTTTGTTTTTTTTCCCTGTCAACTTTTTCTATTTTTTTTTTATGGTACTGCTTTTAAAGTGTGCATGCAGCAAGAAATTTAAAGTGACACATCCAAGACTTTGTTTTGGATGTTAAGTGACTGGTGTAGTGGATACACACTATATGATGACATCTTCACAATCTGCAAGGAGCATGTAGATTGTATATATTTAGAAACATTTTTTTAAGTTTAAACAATATGGTATTATAACTCTTCTGATAAGAAAGAGATGGTGCCACTGCTGCTGGCCAATCCCTTTGAACCAAGCGTATAAATATTGAAGTTATTGTCTTCTCGTTTACAGGACCTTGCATTCTCCCTGAATTTATTTCTCGTTTGTCTATAATCATATTTGTGTTGACTGTAGGCTTTTTGTCTCTCCATATCTGTAACCTTTTTATTGTAAGTGTAGTACCTTCTTGTGCCTTGTACATTTGTACGCAAGGTAAAGGGCTACAGGCTTTGCTTTGTCCTATCTCAGCATCCTGTACTTCGCACCCGAATGCATTTGTGACATGTTGTCAAGTGTAAATATCGCTACTTATTTTCAGAATAGTCAAATATTTTGTCAATCGGTGTTGTGTACGATGAATCTTAATGTTGAAGGTATGCATGCACGTTACACTCCCACCACAAGATTATCTTCATCAGTTCTGTACATTTAATAATAACCTCACTAGTATTATATTAAAGTTAAATTCTCGCAAAATCCTTATTAGTAACTAAAATGATCAGTGGGTTTTGCCATTTTATTATTGTTTTTAAATCTATTATCTATCATAGTATGAATGGCTGTCCTATCACAGCCAACACATACTATGCACTGAATTGTCCATACGCGTTGCTGCAGCTGTGTATATGAACAGCATTATGGAATGACAAGGTGCAGCTGTCTGAATGTACATGAGCACACCTGCAGCATCTTTTGGGAGTGCTGCAGAGGTAAGTGTTTCTTTTTTTACTAACTTACCTCTATTGCATTATTCGTTGGCAGCATTTACTGGGGTGAGGGAATGAGGGTCTGTCGTATCTGACAGATTTTAGTTTTATTTATTTTTTTTGTTTTAGTTTTTTTTATTTAATTTTTTTTTTAGAAAGCTTTTCTCCACAGTCAATATAAGGTTGTAGGAAAAGAAATATACTAAAGATTTCCTTTTAGTATTGGGAGTTGAGCATCATTACTGCAGTCCTTATTATTGCAAAACAATTTAATTCTGTAATAAGATTTCCATTGTTTTTTTTTTTTGGTTTTTTTTTTCTAGGTTGCAGTGGTTCGAATGAAAAGTACAGAACGGATTTATGCCATGAAAATCCTGAACAAATGGGAAATGCTAAAAAGAGCAGAAGTAAGTGCCCCCTATTACTCAAGAAATGTGAGATTTTTTTTGTTTTTAATTTTTTTAAAGAAAAAAAAAATTACTTCTCTTTCCTGCACCTCAAAATCTCTGAAGCTTTAGGGAGTGATTCATGGAAAGCATTGACCTATTTTGTGACAGTTACCCTTCCAGGCATAGTCTATGTACACATTGTCACTTATGGTCTGTCCTAGTTTTGATGGAGAGGCTGCCTGTTCATTCTATTTCCAGCTCCGACTGAGCACACATCGGGTTCATTCTAAATGTCTTGAACTTTAGGAGGGGGTATGCCTTTTCTGTTTCAGTGGAGAAATGTAAAAAATAATAAAAATGTGAGAAACCTGCTTGAAAAGATATATATAATATGTGTGTGTGTGTGTGTGTGTGTGTGTGTGTGTGTCTATATATATATATATATATATATATATATATATATATATATATATATATATATATATATATATATATATATATATATTTGGTCTAGACAGTATTGGGGCTAAGATGTACAAGATTGCCTGTGGAATCAGTCTTTGCGACTTGATTCCACTAACAGCCCAGCTTATGAGTTGCCTGCAGTGCATTCTGGTTAATACACCTATGAGCTGCGTGCTAGGTTAGATTAAATAAAAACTGAAATAGTTTTTGGTTGGCAAATTGTATATCAGCAAGAGCTGCAAGTTTGACATTTGGCTCACTTTGATGCAGAACGCTAATGGCACAGATTGGGCTCGTAGTAATTTGTACCTAAAATAATCGGTCTGATTGTATTCTTTCCGTCTTTGTTTCTTGCCATCCAGACAGCTTGTTTTCGAGAGGAGAGAAATGTGCTGGTAAATGGCGATTGTCAGTGGATTACCGCCTTACACTATGCTTTCCAAGATGAAAACTACTTGGTACGTTTCATTATATTTTATGTATTTTGGTCAATTAAAGAGACACTGCCTATTATCGAATTTTGGCATAAAGCTAGTGGCTAATGGAAAGTTAGATAGGGTTTGTGCTGATCATGTTGTGTTTTTTTATTTTTTTATTTCTCCTGTTAAGTTGTCTTTAAAATTACATCTTGTGCAACACAGCCACGTGGTGTAACCCGTTGCGGGTGCATGCGCATGTAAAGCCATATGGCAGCATTTCCCAAACAAACATGCAGCATTTTCCAAGCAAATAGTTAAGTGCACCCAATGTGCAAGAGAAGGAAAGATCTGCTGCAGAAGTGTGTTATGTACTTCCCTTCGCTGCACAATTTAGTAGCGTTTACTGTACTGAAGTGACCGTTCCTCTCTGCAGTGTTTGAGCAAGTGGCAGCAGGTAAGTTTTAATGTAACTGCTTCCAAAGCATAGAAATGTATGATTTATCACCACAATAAATCACATCTTTACTGCTTCGGAGGTGTTGTATTTTAAAGTGAACCTGTCATGACAGATTAACTGTAAGAGGAACTACCACTTCTCGGAATTTTGATGGTTCCTCATTGCCTTAACCCAGTAAATGCTATTAAACTCTTATTGGGATGAGGAGTGCAGCCTAGATAAGTATAAAACAAGCCAATATGTGTTCCAGGCAATGTACTAACCCCATGATGCTCAGGGCAAATTATTAGAAAATGTCATACAAGCACCCACTTACTCCAGCATTACTTAAACAGTGATATCACGCGGCGCAGATTGATTTAAATTTGTCTACATTGTACGTTGCAACAATGACTTTGTCACATTACATTTTATTAAAATTTAGCAAACTGACAAGTTTCTTAGCATTGTTGTTGTCGTCCCCCTTCTTTTTGCTGTTCTGTAAAATTCAATAATTCCATAAACTTGTGTTGCATTTAAGGGACCATGTAGTCATTTCATCTATGTGAGTTGGTTATAGTGCCTGGAGTCCACGTTCAAGCAGTTTAACAATAAATAAGGGTCCCTGGCCACCCACAATGTGGCTAAGGAAGATATTACTGGGGACTCTATTTTAGTATTAAAACATAAAAACACGAATAATAAGATGAAGCAGATATGGTGCCTACAGTGTCCCTTTAAAAGAGAAACCAAGCAACAAATAACCAGGAATACTTGCTTTTCTTTTCATTTTATGTGTAGTACCTGGTCATGGATTATTACGTAGGAGGGGACCTATTAACGCTTCTCAGTAAATTTGAAGACCGGCTCCCTGAAGATATGTCGAGGTTTTATCTCGCAGAAATGGTGCTTGCTATACATTCCATTCATCAACTGCATTATGTGCACAGGTAACCATCCATTTATTCTTTCCACTCACATAACATTGAGCAAGCCTCAATGTTTTGTTTTGTTTTTTAGAAAGAATTTGAGCAATACTATTCATATAATCTCACATGTTAAAATTAGTTGGGGTATATTGGGGACTCTATGGTATGGCCATAACCACATATTTTTTTTTTTGTTGAGATAGGTGTTTTTAAATAACCTCTAGAAATTTGGAACCGTGTTTCATATGTTAACACTGATTCCATTTTATGTCTCGTGCATGAATTTAAAGAATCTTAAATATTGCTGCTTTTTTCATTTTAAATTTTTTTTTTTTTTATGATTGCCTGTCTTGCTCCCAAATCAAACACATGCTGTTTGTCACTGATTCGATCTATACATAAGAGTTCTACCATCAGATTTGTAATGGTACCTAAGGTTATATCTCATAGGCGGTGAGATTTATATGTAATTAAACAATTTCTAGGTAATTAAATGATCCCATTTATCAATTTAAATTCAAGTCTAGCCTGCCCCTGAATGAGATCACTGTCAGCCAGACATAGTTCATGAAGAGGCACAGAAAATCTTTCCAGTGGTTTTTGTGTGTTTTTCCTCTATGAAATGCTGATGAGTGTGGGTGAGGCAAGATTTCCTGGCAGTAACGTGAAACTGGTGTGTGGCAGGTATTGTGCTTCCTCGTTATTTACCAGCAGAGATTTATCACGGCTTCTGACATACATTCCTAATAAAACACAATGCAGACATCTTAAAGAGACAGCCAAGCCTCGTTTTAGAAGCAGTTACATTGTGTTCTAAGCAAGAAATAAAGCTCTGACTGCCTTTACTATAGCGAAACACTTTTCGAACACTAAGGAACACTGAAAATATAAAATTGCAAAGATACGTTCAGATTGCCCTGGCACAGCAAACATGTTTTCTTTTTACATATTACGTACATGTTCATGAATGCAATGTAAGTACATCAATAATTCACTATTTAAAGTGATGTTAAGTTTGGTTTCTCTAGGCTGAAGTTGGGGGTAGGGAGGGGAGTGTGCCATAAACGTGTGTTTTTCTTCTTCAAAAGCCTGTTATAGATTTATTTCATTAGGATTGGCATGTAATGGCTATTATTGTATGCGTTTTACCGTCCATTTAGGATACTCACAACATCCATAACTAGGAGTTTTACACAAAGTATGTCAGCTATTTACATTGATGTATTGGGTATCGGTAATGACTCCCATATGTCTGGTTACATCCGATAAATGAATGGACTGCTTGCTGCTAAAACCGTTACCATCATCCTATAGGATTCCGTTTATTTGATATAGTTTAGATGTCTCTTGTGTTTTCAGGCAGTAAGGCCTGCTGCCAGTGATACTGCTCACCCACCATACAACACTGCTGTGGGCTAGTTGTTGTATAATCAATTCATGATAGCCCATGGCGACATATTGTAGGAATAAATTACATTTCTGTTCAGAATACTTGCATTCATCCCAAGGGTATGTTATTTTGCCAGATTAAATTACTATAAATTCTCTTTAGTTTATAGCTGTTTATATATCATTATAACATTATTATTATTATTATTATTGGCATTTATATAGAAGTAAAGAAATCACAAGAGACGAGTGGTAATGAATTACAGGGGGAGACTGAAATGTAAACACAGAGATCTCATAGAGGTGAACCTTTCTTAAAGTGTTACCTTTCAATAGACGTGCAGGTCTTTGTGGATGTAGTGTAGGCCAATGCTGTGGAAGGGATTGTTCTGAAACATTTTCGTGGGTTTTCCATTCTTCAAATAAACGGTGTTTGTTAGTTTTTTTTTTTGTTTTTTGTGTTAAAACATCCAAGACTTTTCTAGTCTAGAGTATACCCGTAGGTATAAATCCATAACATATTAATTTGTTGTCTTTTAATTTATAAACTCTTATTAGAATGAAAAAAGTGTAACTATAACTTTGTTGGGGGGTTGTTAGTATAAATGGAATGTATTTGTTTGTTTATTTTATTTTTTACTACATTGACATACTGCATCTGGCACTGTTATTGCCCTTCTGCGGTGAAATTCATTTCTGCAACGGTGCTATATTTTATTCTCATCCCACATAAAAATAATCTAGATGTAATGCTAAGAAAACTCATGGCAAAGCAATTCTACAGACACTCATTTCAAGCAATGTTTACGTTAAAATCAGATTGTCGTCCCCCCTTGGTATACATGTATTAATCAAGTCTAAATATACAATCTCTCTGCCAAGGAATGCTATATTTACATGAAATATACAAATCGTTTTTTTTTTCTTATTATCAAGGGGAATACCAATGCTGTAGACAAACTGCATTTCACACTAGTAAATAATACTATTGCAGAGTAATATAATGATATAGAATTGTAGAAACAATTTTTCAGTTACTGCGTCTGAGCCAGTTTTTCATGTTCCCTATAGTTTTCATTAGTATGTTCTAATGTTTAATATAATAATTTAGGAATATTTAATGGTCTACTATAGAAATTATATTTGGAACCAGTAAATGAAAACTAGTTTGAGATGTGAGTGGGAAGCTGTTAAAAGCATTGTTATTGCAGACATATAATCAGGTGTGAATGCATGCTAGTTGAGTCTGTCTGCCAGAACTGAGCTGTTAAAATGATTTGTGTATACCAGGCTTCCTCAAATTCCGTCCCTCCAGATGTTGCTGAATTACAACTCCCATGATTTTAGGAATGAAATAGGCTGAGAAACATGGGAGTTGTAGTTCAGAAACATCTGGAGGGCCGGAGTTTGGGGAAACCTGGTGTATAGGCTGAAATGTCCAGTGATTGTTTTGAAGTATGCACTGGTGTTGCAATTTACAAAGGTCGTCTCAACCCTAGATCTTGTAAATGAAGTCTGTTTGAAGCATGTGTCAAACAGTTAAATCAGGACACTTGTTATTTCTGCACTAACTTGCCATTGGACATGGCAAGACCTCCAGTGTATCTTGCTGGCCACCCTGACACGTGCCAATCTTTAAGATTTCTTGAGCACAAAAACGGCTGTTCTGTTAACGTCATGTCATAGTGTCATTGGATACCTCTTTAAATGTAAATGAAGTTTATTTCAAAAACTGTTTACAATTATTTTCTTTTCATGAGCCACGCTTATTTATTTTAAAAATACCTTTGCCGTTCCTGTCTTTGTTTTACATTTCTTCTTATCATAATAGCGTTGCTTTCTATGCATGGCGCTGTTTTATTCATGGGGGCGAGCAGGGTGTTTGCTCAGACGAGCATGCTATAGAATGCAGATGTGCACAGCCACTCACTGTTGATTGTTTCTTTGCAGAGATATAAAGCCAGATAATGTTCTCTTGGACATGAACGGCCACATCCGCCTCGCTGATTTCGGATCATGTTTAAAGATGAACGATGATGGAACCGTAAGTACTGACTGTTTTATGCTTCTGCATTGATCTGCATGCATTATACATATTTTTGTAGCAGTGTGGCTTTCAGCGTAACGAAATGCAGCAAGTAGTGTAAAAACTGTATTTCAAATGCAGAGTAAGCGGAGAAGGTATTATTAGGCTGTGGCTAAGTGGAGGGACTGAGCACCCCCTTTTGGCCAGCAGGACTAGTACACTGTCTTGTTTGTGTTCTAAAGTTCGTCAGCTTTGCAGGACAGGGATCAGCCCTTCTCGTTACACGTATTTACTTCACATTGCCGCATCAGCAGTAATGCATTTGGTACTATATATGCTACAAATATTTTTATACGTGTGTTTTTACTAGCAAGATCACCCAGCATTTTCCTCATTGCTTCCTTCGGTGGGGGAATTGGGAGATCTTTAGATCACAAATAGTTTGGGAACAGACCGTATAAGCAAAAAGGAAAGGGGGGTGGGGGGGAGGGGGTTGGAAAGCATTAAAACAACCATAAAAAGATGTTTGCTGCAATACGACATATTTTTTTTCTTTTCTCTGTAAATGTTTATTGCATGGTTTCTTTTTAAATGAAAGATAAAGGAACCATGATTACAATTCATCACAAACATGCCCTCCATCTATGAGCTCCCTCCTGTGCTGCAAAGTGTGTGTGTGCAGCGTTTTAAGCTAGAAATACATAAAAAATGCAATAGAAAATGTTTATTTGACATGGCATTTATAAAATGGAAAGAGGTACACTTTAATATACAATACAGAATATAAAATAATTGGGGACTTGGCCTGACTACCAAGCAAGACGTGCGCCATCTCACAGAGCTCCAATGACCATTTATAAATCTATGTATATGTTCAAGTGAAGATGTTTTGTGCATTTCCCCGGTAATCTTGTTGCAACTGTTATTTATTTATTTGCGTGTGTCTGAGGCCTGAGTAACCCTATTCTGGGATTTTGCAGTTGAATTGGTAGCCATATGCACAGATTTTAATGGTATAGTACAGGTACTGCTTTTACTAGAGCTCTGACCTTCCCATTATCGTCCATTGATCTCACCACTAGACCCTCTTCATTAAATCCCTTAGGCACTATGCCTGCTCCCTCTAATGCACGTTTATTACCACACCTGTGTTTGCTTACCCAGCAAGCCATGCAGCAGGACTCACCCTCACTCCAGGCTTTAAACTCACGTTTTTCCTATTCATAGTTTACCCCGCCCTGGTTAGGAATAAACTGATGTATCTTACCCGACCATCATGAGGAGGCCTTAATGGGTCTCCTTCAAATTTGGGAGCTCCCTCTTCCTACAGCCTTTCCTTCTACTTTACACTTCAGGCTTTGTGGCCCAGCTCCCTGGTGATATGTAACTTATATAGCCGTCTTGTGGTTTTTCTTACAGCATTTTACCATTTTATTATAGTTTCCGCATCTGATATAGTTACAAATGTGTTAAGTTTCTTACTCTTCTATGATCAGAGAATATTGTGCTTGTCTGCTTGTGTCTGAATGTACATGTGTAGCTGGCACTGTTTGTCTTTGTGTGTCAGAGTATAACCTTGTAGGGGGTGAATATGTTTGTCTCTGAGAGAGTATCTATGATTCCAGGAAGGCCTGCAAAAAAGGGCTTTGTAAAGGGCTTTGTTAATATCCAGAATTAAAAGAAAATATAACGTGTTAATGACAGGTTGTTTTATTGCAATCCTCTTCAGTAATTTCTGTCATTTAATTTTCTCCTTGCTTTTTGTTAAGGTGCAATCCTCGGTAGCTGTTGGGACACCTGACTACATTTCCCCTGAGATTCTGCAAGCTATGGAGGACGGAATGGGGAAGTATGGACCAGAGTGTGACTGGTGGTCGTTGGGTGTCTGCATGTATGAAATGTTATACGGGGAAACCCCTTTCTACGCAGAGTCTCTTGTGGAAACGTATGGAAAGATCATGAATCATGAAGTGAGTATTTTTCGGTGCCTTAAGAGGCGTTGGATTGTTTGCACCCGAGCTAGAGAAAGTACTGTTTTTTGTTTGTTTGTTTTCCGTCTTTACAAAGTTCTTTTGTGCTTTAAAAAAAAAAACTTTTATTTATACACTAGACAGTGCAGCAAAACGGATTTTATGTCAGAGCAGGTGTATTGTACTAGATTACAAATATTGCTGTGTAAAATCTAAATAGGAGTTTTCATTGCAAATGCTTGTTTTTAAACTATCATTCGACACTGGTTTTTCCATCCGGCTTAATGTTTGACATAGATTAGGCCTTTACTACATACATAGTACTGGGGAGATTTGTTTTTCTGCTCCATATAAAATAAATACAATATAAATCCATTGACTTATACAGCAGTTGCACTCGCCTATATGAAGAATGGACTTGTTAACCAGGTCTGAACTACATCCACCTTTTTTGTAACATAAAATCAGAATAGAGACTACTGATTAGTTTAGCCTCTTCCTGGTTTGAGAAGGGAAGGCTCTCTGCTGCCACTGCTTGTTTGTGCAAGCATGGCAGCTGTCGCAGGTACTTCAAAGGTTAGTTTTCTAACAACCAAAGAAAACATTTTGTATAGTTATTTTTTGTGTGTGTGTGCGCGCATGATCTGTAAGATGCATTTTTACTGAAAAACAAAAAATAAAGTGGCTCCCTTGTGTGCAAAGACTGAAAAGAAAAACGAAATATATAAAATTCTATCATAAAGAATTAAATGCTAATGGACCTCTTCAACATGTAATCTATTTTTTTAATTTATTTTTTAACTCAAAGTAAAAATTAGGTGGCAATTTTCTTCTAACTTAGGTTTTTTACGTGTTGAGCACATAGCCAAACACCTCCCCCTCTTGCCTGTTAATAACTGTAATAATTCAAGTGTTGATGGATAGCTTGCACTTTCTCCTCCACAATTAGACCATTTCAGAGATCAGTAATTACACTGGACTTTATTTTTTATTAGATTTGTATGAAACGTCAACTTATGTCCTGCAATTAAAGATTGGTTTCCACTTATGGCCGTTACAAATTGAAGCTTTATTTAGAAAGGCAGGAGGGTTTAGCTGTGTGCTTTACTGCTTTCCTAAACCTGTACTATTTTGAGATTGTTGGGCAGGAACGATCAGAGAATGAAATATATTGCAAACCCATACATAGTCCAGGATAGGAGACCCACTTTGAAAATGTGCTGGTTTATGGATGTGTAAGATAACTGGACCTTTGAGAGGGGGGAAGCAAAGATGGCCTGAACTGATCTTACTTAAAGGAATCACTGTTGTGGTACTCACTGTTAGTTACCACAATCCTCGCCCTCGGACAGTGCCCCTACTTGTTAGGCTGGAAATTATCACAGGGTCTTAGAGACCCTTCTCTTCTGCTGGACATATAGGATCAGGAACACATGTTTATTATTAGTGTTAAAAAAATTTCGGTGGGCATCCCCCCTTTAATACCCATAAAAATGTATATTGCTCACCTTTATTCCAGCGCCACGCAAGTCTACCAGCACTGGCCCTGCCGCAGATCCGCCTCCTTGGCTGACATCATCAATTCTCACTAAAATTAGGTTGGACGAGATCGTCACTTCTGATGATTCCAGCCAAAGTGGTGGGCCAAGGATGGAGCCAAATCAATGAATCTCTATGGGGAAAACTCAGCATCTCCACGCAGAGCGTGGCGACACTAAATGTCAGTGCTGCACACTGAGCAGCACTGCCCCAGGAAGTACCATCTGAGAAGTGGCTACTGGAGGTGTCCCTATGCTGTAATGTAAACACTGCCTATTCTCTGAAAAAGTGTTTACTGCAAAAAGCCTGCAGGGACTGATTAGATTCACCAGAACAACTACATTAAGCTGTAGTTGTTATGGTGACTATTGCGTCCCTTTAATCATTGTTTTACCCCTAAAAAGATTTTCTTTATTACTTCAGCCCCTTTACCCTCTTAACTGGCTGTAGAGCCACAGGTTGTGTAAATAAACTCCTGCTACCGTGAGACCATGGCTTGTCAAGGCTATATGATTAGACTTGCCAGGAAATGCCGTATGCATGTTTGTTGACAAGACCGCAATTGTAAATTTTCTTTCCTTGTCAATACTTAATGTACTAAAAAAAAGTTCCTTATTGCAGTGTAAGATCATTTGTTCTGGCTTCTGCAATTTAAAAAGAGCTCTGCTGCCATTAGAAGTGATTACAAACTGTAATTTCATTTTCTCTGGGCAGTACTTATTGAAGATAGGCAACGGCTCATTCTCCATTAAAAAAAACACTTGGAAAGACGCACCAGGTGGGAGATGTCAGGGAACTCCAGGAACCATAATCACTTTAGCAAGCTACAGTGGTTATGGTTCTCTGAGTGTTACTAGTTTTCTTATAACATGTAATTTATTTTTTTTTCTTGCTTTTTATTCTAGGAAAGGTTTCAGTTTCCCTCGCATATTGCCGATGTATCTGAATTTGCCAAGGATCTTATCCAGAGGCTAATCTGCAGCAGGGAGCGCAGATTAGGACAGAATGGAATCGATGACTTTAAAACACACCCTTTTTTCGAAGGAATCGATTGGGAAAATATCAGGAACCTGGAAGCACCTTACATTCCTGACGTCAGCAGTCCTTCGGATACTTCAAACTTTGACGTTGATGATGACATCCTTAGAAACCCTGTAAGATTTTTTTATTATTAATGCCTGTACTTTAATCTACTGGAATAATCATATTAAGTGAACGGTGTGAAGTTTCGATAGCTGCCCGACTGGTCTATTTACATTTTCATAGAAATTGCGGTGCGGTTTACCATCTTGAAGTGTACCGTATCAAACTTTTATTCTTTAAGGCAAATATTGGACTTGAATTAAATTTTTTATTTAATATGCTACTATAAATATCAGCTACATTAAAATATATTTGGTATACGTAAATGAGGCATGGTGCCAAAGTGTTTTAATTTCTAGTCCTCCACTGACCCTTTCTTCCTTTTTAGTAGCATAAAAATCTTTGCGACTTTTAATTCCTTTCTCATTGACCTTCTCAAGGCGCCATTATTATTCTACAGCAAACTCCGTTTTGCACGTTCTTTCACATATTTTTGAGTCTTCCAAATATATATACAGTATAATAATAAATCATAAGATTAGTAACGAGCAGTCTATAAAATTATTAATATAACGTGGAAAAAAAAATTAAGATAAAATAATATGGGGTGAAAATAATAAGAAAAATAAATGATAAAATAATTTCACATGTACAATCATCCAAAAAAGGTTACATATTCAGTTCTGCGCATTCTTTTTGCATTTTTCACTGTCTGATTTAGTCCAATATAATAATGCTGTATTTTAAGAGCTTAGTTAGGCTGGCGGAACTTTGTACAGTCAGTCTTTAAATCTCTTGTCTTTGATTGGCTCTAATAACACTGCGGAGGTGCACATTATTTATACATCTATAATCTAAGCAAGTGGAGTAGTGTTAAGCTGGTTACATGATAGTATATCTAATAATGCTAAATGATACTTGGTGGCTGCTCTATGGAATCGCTGGAAGTTTTTTTTTTTTTGAAACCTGTTTTAGTTTCTCTTGTTGATGATTTTTATTTTTTTACGCAGGAAATGGTCCCACCCAGTACTCACAGTGGATTTTCAGGATTCCATCTACCATTCGTGGGGTTTACGTACACAACAGACAGGTAAAATCTGTACCAAAAACATGGTTTAGAACAGGGGTGCCCAAAAGGTAGATCCCCAAATGTTGTAGAACTTAAACTACCATGATGATTTTCATGCCCTTTTGCATTGTTTTAAAACACCTGGGGATCTAACTTCTGGGCTCCTCTGGTTTAGAATCTATAAATGTGTATAAAGATTCATTCTGTCCAGTGATCGTATGTGGAATGTATTTGTTTTAATAAGTCCCTTAATTTCTCCCCAGTAAAGCTGAGCAGCTGTGAGTACAGTGGGCTTAGCTGAGATGTGAAAACTACACAGCTGTGCACAGCCTCGGAGGAAAAGAATGGTCCTGTGTTGAACAGTGACATATTCAGAAAATAGTTTAAAATGGCAGCACAGGCAAGGGAAAGTATTGGGAAGGGGAATATTTACATGAAAGCTCAATATGGATAACAGAAAAAAAAACTCCTTAAACTGATGGCACAAACCTTTCATGTTTAGTTAATTCAGTGCTCTACAAAGGAACCAAACTCCAAAATAAACGTCCACTCTAAGCAAACATAACCACTACACCTCTTTGCATTGGTTATGGAATAAAGAGTCTTTGAACGTCATCCTCTTGTCTGTAACACCACTTTTTAAAAGTTTGTCAAAAATGGAGGCTTTCTCAGTACCTAAAACTCTGTTTGTGGCCATTCTAATGCAACTTCACCTTGGCCATACACCATTGGAGGGCAGTAATAGGCTAACCTACATTAATAAAAATGCCTTTTTGTTTAATATTTTTTATTTACCTGGTATCCACGTTAGCGGTTCAGTCCCTCTCAAGCCTCATGTCTAACAATGTTTGAGACAAGGAAATCAAAACATTGTTATGCCCCTTTAAACACTACCCGACTGTGGATGTCTGTTGTATTTTTTCCTTACGTAAAAGGTTAGCTTACCCATGTGTTTCATGGAATAATAATTTTAATAAATATTTTGTGCTTGTCCATCCGGACACCAGGAAAGCTACGGCAGTAACATAGTAAAATTTCAAAGTTGCCCGTAGTGGTACATTTTTTTTCCCTCTCTCAAAGTGACTTGACATCAAAGTCCCTAACAATGTAAAATTCCAATTTCAAATTGTGAGACAGATCGACTTATGATGGCTATGTCCAATAGGTAAACTTCCAGATGTTGATAAACTACAACTTTGATGCTATGAAGATTCACGGAGCTGGTGGGCAGACTTTTGGCCAACCTTGAATTTGTATTTTTATGTCACATTGGCTGGGAGCTGGGGCTAGTGATCAGCAAGTCTAGTGCAGCCGAGTTATCTGTTTAACAGATAATTCTGTATGAGAAACTGTGGGGAAAAAATGGAGCACATGTGTAGACTTCACTTTCTTAGATATCTGTACAAAGTACTGCTTCTCTCCCTGTCTTATTTTTAGCTTTTATAGCTGTATTATAAATTCTAGTTGCTGTATTCTGAAACATAGCTGAGATAAGGACCAATAAACAGAAAAATGTGGAACTACATTCAGGGACAAAATATTTAGTAGTAGTAAATAATGTTCCCAAGCGTCCATATGGCTAGAGCCTTGCGTGTCAAGGAGTAATCCCATAATGGTCGTTGGGACACCTTGCTGTTAATGTAGAGACACAAATCTCATGATAATTTGCCAGCCAAACAAAGCCCAGCTTTGTGGGAGTTGTAGCTGTGTAACAATTGGAGGGTTGCCTCTTGGCTGACCCTTGCATGTGGATCCATAATAATCGTATTTGGTGAAAACCAGGAGTAGTACTCACTATACTTTTAATTTGTGATTTTTACAGAATAAACTATGTGTTGAACACAGTGATTTTTTTTTTATTTTTTTTGGTGTGTGTGTGTGTGTGTGTGTGTGTGTGTGTGTGTGTGTGTGTGTGTGTGTGTGTGTATATATATATATATATATATATATATATATATATATATATATATTATTTTTTTTTAACCAATATTCATAACTAACAAACATATCTACATACACCTCTAAACAAGGTCATTGTATTATGTACTTACCCGAAGTTTGATTCCACTGCCGCCAAGATCCTTGCCACAGTAGGTGCGCCTGCATGTACCATTTTGTGTGGGGATGGCAATAACCAAAGCATTATGGGATGATTCACACAGTTTTTGTGGCAAGCACATGTTTAGATGTCCACTACAACAAATAGATTTCTGGATTATATTATGTTGCCCTGTGGTAAAGGATGAAGAAAGACCTCTATAAGTTGTATTACCAGCACAAGGTGTATTTTATTCCCTAAGAAGCTGCACTGGACAGTGATTTGTAGAATTTTGTTTATTATAATTATACTTTCAAGCCTATGCACATAAAACATTGGTTACTCTAGCTGTTATGGATTGTTTACCATAAATCTTAACCAGGCAGCCTGATGGATCCATGGGATTATTATTAATTAAGTTCAGGTGTTAATTGTAGGTTTACCTTTGGCATGGTAGATCTCATTGGCTATGTTTCCAAACTTGGGCTGCTTGCCTGGGAAATGGGGACCAATCCTTGGCAAAAGTTAATTTTTCTGTGTTGCCATAATGACACAGCATCCTTAATTTGACAAGTCATTCTATGATACAATAATACCCCCATACATCCAAACATTTCATTTCTTTTCTTCCAGTTGTTTTTCTGATAGAGGCTCCTTGAAGGAAATCATTCATTCTAATGCTGTGACCAAAGATGAGGATGTTCAGCGTGGTCTGGAGAACAGCCTGCAGATTGACGCATATGAACGTCGAATCAGACGTCTTGAGCAGGAGAAACTGGAACTAAACCGGAAATTACAAGGTCAGTAACTGGGGGCTTTCAAAGTTTGAGGTAAATAATTGAAAAGAGAGATTTTCCTATGTTAATTTACTTTTTTTTTTTTTTTTTTTTTAACCAGAATCCACACAGGCTGTTCAGTCTCTCCAAGGTTCCTCTCGAACAACCGGGACGCTAAATAGAGACAAGGAAATCCGAAAACTGAATGATGAAATCGAGCGGTTAAAAAATAAATTATCCGGTATATATATTTTTTTATTTTTTTTTATTAAAGATGATTTCCATTGATGTGCTCGCGTTTATGGGTTATTTTATGGGGATTAAGTTTGTTGTGTGTTTTTTTTTTTTTTATTCTGTTCTACTTATATGCTTGGAGTTGACAAATGTCTACAGGATTTATAAAGTAAAAGCATTTTAGTTGAAAATAAACTTGTTGTGAAATATTTTGTTTGGACCATGTGTGATTAATTTTGATTTCAGATTCAAACCGGATAGAGAGGCAGCTTGAAGATGCAGTTTCGGTAAGGCAACAACTTGAAGACTCAACAAGCAAAATGAAAGGACTTGAGAAACAGCAGAGGGCCTTAAAACAAGAGCGGGATGACCTCTACAAGGTATGTACCTAGATGACAAAACACCTGCTCACGATAGGCTCTTAGGTGTGAAAAAAGATCTAGGCACTCCAATGCTTTAGGGCACATTTATTGGAACCAGCAGAACAACACAACAAACAAAAAAAAAAAGCTGTGTTGTTCTGCTGGTTCCAATAAATGTGCCCTAAAGCATTAGAGTACTTGGACCTTCGTCTGTCATACCTATGTTCTGATGTGCGAGTGCTGGCCCCTGGTTTAGCAAAGAATCTCATTGGCTTGTGGATTGAGTGCAATTACTATCACCTGCTAATGAAAGGTGTGCAGATGGCCTGTCATGTTTTCCCCCCTGTCCATGATATCTGAAATATTTTATCTGTCAGAGACAGGCGTAAGGTTTTCCAGTATTCAGCCATGGTTTTTTTTTTTTTAATGTTGGGTTTTTTTTAACATTTTTGACCAAAAAAAGAAAAAAAAAATACACACACAAAAAAACAAAACAAACACAATCAAGTAATGTACTGGTACATTAGGGATTGTCCATGTAAATTTTGAAATGTCAGTACCTGAACTAATTCTATCAGGGTCTTTAAATTCTTCAGCAATCTTCTTTATTTATTTTATTTATTCATGTTACTATTTTTCTCAACAATCATTATCTCTGTCGGATTTAATGCCCCTGGGCCATCTTGTTAAACACCTTGTCCTCATATAAAGGTTCACTAGCTAAAAGGTTAGATCATAAACTTAATGCTAGATTATTTTGTAACATAGTAATCCTTTTTTTTTTTTTCTTCTTTCTTTTGTAAATAAACATATAATATACTTTCAATAATTATTACCAATCACCTGTAATAGTTGTAATAGTAACATCCCCATGATGTACTTGCAAACCAGAGAATATATGAATGTACCGTTCCTGGTTAAACACTTTATTATCATCTGGCTAAGAAACCTATATAAAATAGTAAACAACGTCTCTCATGGCTTGACGGCCTCCTAGAACAAAGCATTGCACACTGCACATTGTGGAGATTGTGAGGAAAGGGCTGAGCACACACCTCTTCCTTCGTGACATACAAGGTCACCTAGGGCAGGGTGGCTGAGCAGAGGAAGGGAGAGGTGCTGTCAGGTAACACAAAATGCTTGATGGCACTTTTTGTGCTTGTTACGGCTTTTGGAAATGTTGAGTGTAGATTGATATATTGGTGTCATTGGGTGAGCATTCATCAGATGGCTGAGGGACTTGTGATAATACACAGTGCACGACATCACAAATACCAAAGGGTTAAACCGATTTTCTTTCTTTTATCACTCGCTATCTAATAGCAAGGAAACTTTGTTTGCACTGGGCTGTGCCTTCACTGAGCACATTGTGTGCACTTCCAGTCCTGTAGGAACTAGCATTGTGTCATACAATTACTGGCTTGTCTGTGTTTGGCCCCATTACAAAACCTTTATTCTAAATAGCTGCTCGGTATATGTTCTTTGTTCCACTTGTTAAGTGTTTCGCACCTTTTGACATCAGCTGTCTACTTTGTTTTTGTATAACTGCTGCATCCACTGGTATACTGTAGTAAGATTGTGCCTCCTTTCTGTTGCTTTACGCCAGGCTCTTTTATGTTTCTTGTCCTGTTTATTTTACATGAATATTACTTAGCTAATTTTGCTATTTTATCGGATGACCACACCTTTAATAAACTTTAATAAATATAAAACATTTTTTTTTTTTTTTTTTTAAAGATAAAAAGTGCAGATTTCACTAGAAATTTTGACTTTTATAATTGAAACTTGTTACACCCCCACCCTGTGCCTGTCAATCAGTCAACCAGTCCTGTTACTTCCTGGTTTGGTTAGCTCAGTGGAGCTAAACTCAAGAGGCAGCAATTGCACAGTGCACCAACCTTGCAAAACCTCTAATTGAGCTGCATCAGCAAGTCTGTGATTGGACAGCCACAGAAAGTCTGGGTGGGGTTAGAAGGGGAGGGCTTGCAAAGACTGCAGACTAGATATTTGCAGCTTTTAAAACATTTTATTTATTATATGATAATGCATAAATAAATGCATGCAGGTTTTTATTGTGGATATATCTACAAATTAGTGTTTTAAATTATTTTTATTTGGGCGGTGGAGTGTCCCTTTAACTAAGCTTCTTCCTTTTCCTCCACTAAAGCAACTGACTGATGCTCAAGAGAGGTTAAAGTCTCAGACAAAGGAGCTCAAAGATGCCCACCAACAGAGAAAGCTGGCCCTGCAGGAGTTTTCCGATCTCAACGAAAAGATGGCGGAACTGCGCTCCCAGAAGCAAAAGCTAACCCGTCAGCTGAGAGACAAAGAGGAAGAGCTAGAAGTGGTCATGCAAAAAATTGATTCCATGCGCCAGGAAATTCGCAGATCGGAAAAGGCTAGAAAAGAGGTGATATTACTGTGCTGCTAAAATCCACTTTGAACTGACTTGTCTAAGCACAAACTCTTATTGCAGAGTATAGTGTTACATAGTAATCCTACTTTAATAAACGCTTTGGGACTGTGCCATCATTCTAAACGTGTATTGAGATTTCTGTGTTGGCTGACCCTGTTGTGTTGTTTATGGATTCCAGCTGTGTCCTATCTAGTGTTCAGGGGATTAATAAATGTCCTCTGTGTAATACTTGTCCAAAAGGCTGTCGTATATGTTGTTGTAACTTAAATGCATTGAGTGAGTTCCTTTTACATCCCAGTTCTTCTGCCTCACAAATCAAGGACACAGTAACATGGATTTAGCTTGAATGCAATTTCAAAGAAAAACGTTATTGTACTATAGTTACAAGTTACTTCATTTTATATGTTTGAATGCAGTTTCAACTCACAAAGAGGAAAGTCTAACCTTCCTGTTAGAACAATGCATTGTATTAATTTCTAGATTTTACATTTTAAATATGAATTCTTTCTCGTCTCCGGTTATACCTATTGATTGAGAGGCTTGCAGTACTTGGCTTAAAATAAGTTGTGACAAAATAATATTTTGGTGGTGGGGGGAGGGGGGCATATTTCTCTTTATTGGCCCTCTTTAATAATTTGAGAGAGCACAGTAATGTGCTTATTATAGTTCTTGGTTTTTAAAAAAAACTTTTTTTCTTCTTTCTAATGACAGTTGGAAGCACAGCTGGAAGATGCCAGTGCGGAGGCATCAAAGGAACGCAAACTGCGGGAACACAGTGAACTTTTTTCAAAACAGTTGGAAAGTGAACTGGAAGCTCTTAAGGTAGGAATACGTAATTGCTAGCAATAAAATAATAATTCTGCATATATATATATATGTATATATGTAATTAGAGATAACATCTTAAATAATAGGTTTTGTTTTATTTGTTTGCGCCCGTTATATAATTCTCCAAAGCTATTTTCTTCTGTGCCAGGATATTTGTAACCTTGTGATCAACTGATTTTTATCAACTAAATGATGTAATTGTATCGGGGGCTGACCAGAATTCCCAAAGAGCTGGCCTTGAACCCTGTTCTCTTATCCTGTGCCTGGATGCATCTACTGAAACTTCCTCAAGTACAAGGAAGTTTCTAATGTTTCCTGATGAACATTTCTTTTAAGTTCAGAGAGCATTGTTTGCTAACCAAGTGTTTGCCAGTAGACATCCTCCTGGACTCTCGATTAATTCACCATTATCTTTTCCACTCCTAAATTTGATGCTGTATGATAGTGTATGATAGTAACTGTAATCAATTATTGGGTTGCAGAATAGACTATCCAATACATTAGTAACATTACCATGGAAAGTTGTTTGACTATTTATGGGGGGGGGAGCATGGCACTTCAGACACCTTAACCATTACAGCTAGCTGGTGCTTGGAACATTCGTTTAATATCGTTCTTTATTTCCTACATTTCTCAGACAAAATCACAGTAGATAAAGACCCTGGTTGACATTAGTATGAGTTTTTACAGCATCGTAAATGTACCGTGATACTCTTTACAATTCCCACCTGCCGTTACTTGCAAAACACACCTCACCTCCGCTAACTTTAGATTATGATCTCAGAAGACAGGTGTGGAGTTCATTGTATAGGAACATTTCTCAAGTGTGTCCTCCAGCATTGTCACATGATACGACTATCCTAAAGAACCCCAGAAAAATCAATCTGTCTGCTTTTCCATGCCCACCAGAGCTTGACTGTGCCCACACTGATAGCCGTAGAGGAAAAAAGTCCAATTCCGCAATATTGGCATTTGAATCGTGATACTATAACAACTGTCTGATATTACCTTTTCTTTTACTTCTTTTTATTATCCCTTTTAGTTAAAACAGGGAGGTCGCACACCTGTAGTTGCTTTGGAGCACCAACAAGAACTCTCAAAAGTCAAATCTGAGCTGGAAAAAAAAGTCTTGTACTTTGAGGAGGAACTGTTGAGGCGCGAAACATCTCATTCTTTAGAACTTAAAAACTTAAAGAAGGGGATCCATGACTCTGAGAGTCAGCAGCTTGCTTTGCAAAAAGAAATCCTCATTTTAAAAGACAAACTCGAGAAAGCAAAGCGAGAGAGGTGAGTGACAGTCCATTCTTAAACTCTGCTTTCCTGATCCATATTTGTATTAACTAGTCCCTCTCTCTGTGTCCACCAGGCAAAGTGAGCTGGACGAGGCTGTAGGTACCGTGAAGGATAAATATGAGCGTGAGCGAGGAATTCTTTTTGAAGAAAATAAAAAGCTCTCTGTGGAATCAGAACGGGTATGTTATGTTTATTGGCCTTAGGTTTTCAAACTGTAATCTTCTTCTGAATTGTCCTAGCTGTGAATTTGTAATGGTTAAAAGTGGACTTATTCACAGACACATGAATGTCTAGATCTGCTACAGGTACGTTACGAAATATCACCTATATATTGCTCTAGGTAAAATGGTAATATTTCAATCAAGCGAGTCTGAATATATTTTTTTTCTCTTTATAAATTTCGTAGAATTTCTTCAGATACTATATATAGAGTAATTTGTTCCATTTGAGTATAAAATACATTTAAAATTTACTTTTTTTTGTTTTATTATTTTACATAAAGATACAGTTTAAGTAGATTCTGTGACATTAAAGAATGTCATAAATGGAAATCAGAAATCATTTAAAAAAAAAAAAAAATCCTTTTGTTTTCATTTTTATTTGTAATTATTTTTTTTTCTCCAAGCTCTCCTCTTTTGTGGATAAATTACGTTCCCAAAACAGGCAAATGGAGGATGAACTTCAAGATCTGATGGCCAAAAAGGAATCTGTTGCACATTGGGAAGCCCAGATTGCTGAAATTATTCAGTGGTAGGTTTCAAGAACTGAAAAGCATCTAAAATAATTGTGATTTATTAACCTAACTCATTTAACGGACCACTCTGGGCACCATAACAACGACTAATGGTTTAACCCCAAAGTGTGCAAAACTGTCTGATTACTGTGCCCCTATAATTCCTATGCAGGTTGAAAGCTTCATTCAGGAAGCCTCAGACCTCTACCAGGCTTTACGTAGCTCCCCTTTCACTGACTTTGGATGCTCTGATGTCTGGAGTGTCACTTTAATAGCGTTGCTTTATGTATTGCTGTATACGTTTATAAGCAAGTTGACATGAGTGTGTCATTCAATGAAGCGAGACCGACCATCCCATCAGCTTTCAGCATGCACCTGCCAAGGGTCCTTGATTATTTGTCTTTTTAGTGGACCATCACAATGGTACTGCTGAACTAGGATACATTTAAAACCTTAATATTTTTGTGCCGTCACTCTGAATTAAGAATAAGGTTTGAGTATAAAGAGACCGTCAGACACTGAAACATCCCTTAAAGGGACACTATTGTCTTAATGTAGCGGTTCTGATGTCTATAGCATTTCTCCTCAGACTCTGCAATGTAAACAATACCTTTTCAGAGAAATGGCAGTGTTTATATTGCTGGCTAGTAACACCTCTAGTGACTGTCACTCAGATGGGCACTAGATGTGCTTCCTGTGTCAGTGCTGCAGAGTGTGCAGCACGGGTGTTAAGCTGAACATTCGCCTTAGAGATGCATTGGTTCAATGCATCTTTATGAGAAGATGCTGATTGGAGCAGTGCAGCATTTTGCCGCACATGCACATTAGCCTCCCAGAGCATTAGATTGGCTGAGATCATCAAGTTTGATCTCAGCCACAGAGGCAGGGCCAGCCGCATTGAAACTGGCATGACATGGGAGAAAAGGTACCTTTAATACCTTTCCCATGCAATCTAAGGGAGGGCGAGAACCCTCATAGGTAGTTTAATACTGTTGTCGGGAATTCATGTTTGTGTTCCTTTAAGTGATTAAAGGATAAGAGTTCCTGTATGGCTAATGTTAAATCAGTGCATATTGGCCGTCTGTCATCAGCAGTCACAACGTGGTGGCACGGCTCTCCCATTCATGCGGGACAAGTCCTTCCCGCCTCCTCCAGTGAGGGCTTTGGCTTAAAGTAGCAAATTGCATTTTGCAGCAACAGAAAGAATTTGCTAAGTTTTGCAGTCCCTAAAAAATATGCCTACAAGCACAGACTGGGATCTGTCTTAAAAGTGCACCTTTTTATGCCAATCAATCACCAATTTTCTTCTTCAGGGACTTTCGAGCATTGTGAGGCTCAGGTCCAATAGGGTATCAGTGAGATCAGAAAGTAATTTAAGTACATTTCATTGTGGAGATTTATCACTTTTTGATCGCACAATATAGAGATGTCTGCTGCATTGCAAGTACATTGGTAGTAATGATCGTAATGGCAATAATCACTTTTGTTTTGTCCTATAAGCACTGTATCAAAACATAAAGTCTGGTTGTTACGTGGTAGTAATTTTAACCCCTTAAGGACCAAACTTCTGGAATAAAAGGGAATCATGACATGTCACACATGTCATGTGTCCTTAAGGGGTTAAAGATCTTTATTTTTATGATTTTTGATTAAAGTGTTTTCTCAGAAAACTCTTAAAGCAGAAAAAAAATCCCGTGTAAACTGCATCTATTGTATCTTTTTATATTTATTTTTATAATTGGAGGGGGCGCGGAAAAGATAGCATAACTTTGTAAATACCGCAAGCATTATGTAGAAGTGTGGGGAATGTGAAATAGCCAAATGAATGACTCTATGGTGTAGGCCTGTAATGAGAGGTGGTCTCCCATCTCTGGTTAAGGAACTTCACCTAAGGATACCACCCCCATCACATTGAGGCATAAATTGGATTTACTGCTCTGGTTTTTGATGCCAAATCTTTCATGATCAGTTTTTTTTTTTAAAGTCTCCACGGCAACTTACATTTTGTTTGGGAATTATTTTTATCTATCAAACTGCGATTAGATAGGCACATTATAAACCAATAAAGGAAATAAGATTAGTTATTTATGACTTTTTAAATTTACAATTGAAAGTGACATTCCACGTTGCAGAGAATTGCTGTTCCTGAATTCTATAGATAAATATTGTAACATATGCAGATTGTTATATGAAAATCAATTAATAACATTTAAAAATGCTGCATTTCTCCTAAATCCCCAGACTTTATATATTCTCCAATGCTCATTGTCATACCAGGTAGTGACTCAACCAATCATTAAGCTCATTGAATTATAATGTTATTTAGTTTTAGATCGAGCCAGCAGATTCAACAATATGATATAAATGTATACTGTAACTCGCAAATAGGTACACACTGAAAAGGATCTAACTTTCATTAAGGGGACACTATAGTCTCAAAAATAACTACAGCTCATTGTAGTTGTTTTGGGGAGTATAGTCAGTCCCTGCAGGCATTTTCAAGTAAAAACTGTCTTTTCATAGATTCAATGTATTTCTATGAGTAGATGCTGATTGGCCAGGATGGTGTCTGACCCTGCCCTGCCTTGCCTCATTTGAGATCTCAGCCAATCCAGTGCCTTCCCTTTGCAAAGCATTGAATTTGCTGAAATCATCTGTTCTGATGTCAGCTAAAGAGGTGGATTGGGGCGGATCCGTGAAGAGTTAAAAATAAGGTAAGCCACCTAAATGGTAGTGGTTCAGAGCTTTCATTAAACTAAAGCCATTGTTTTGCTATTGGGAACAGGCATATTAGTTGATATTTGATGTATTTATCTCTAATTTTATTTATCTGTAATAAAAATATATATATATATATAATACAACATAAAGTTCTCAACTCCTGAATCCTTATTGTTTTCTGTAGGGTAAGTGATGAAAAAGACGCTCGGGGCTATCTACAAGCTTTAGCATCAAAAATGACAGAAGAACTTGAATCTTTGAGGAGCTCCAGTCTGGGATCACGGACCTTGGTATGTTGTGTATTTGTACTATACTGTTACGTCACTTAAAATATTCTGAGCTGAAAAGAGATGTGATATTTTACTCAACCTTGTTCCTCCAATGGGTTAAATACTTTGTGACCTTGTGGTCATTTTATACATTTTCAATGATGTGATTTTTGACAACGATTTTTGTTCCTCCCCACCCCTTTCTGTTTTACCACTGTTTTATAAAAGACTCATTTTTGCCTTTAAGCAAAACACATTTATGATGCGTAGATAAGAATTCAAGTATCATAAATATGTATAGCTTTAATTTTAATGAATTTTTTTTAAAGAGGAAAAAAACAACAACGAATGGTTGCACTTTAAACAAAATGCTGTCTGAAGCACATGAATCTTTTAAATAGAATACAATTAAAGTAAGATGCGCAAAAGAGTGAATAATGTTTTTCTTGATGAAGTTAGCTCAGATTTTTACATTTGTTTGTTTTAATTTGAGGTCATAACCATTTCATTTCTAGTAACAGATTTTATATTCTGATTGTTGCTTTAGCCTGACCTCTCATATCCACAAGGCTTGACCCCATATCATTCTGATAGGCTGGTGAGTTATTCCTGTGGTCCCAGCTGGCTCTCTGCAGTGTACCACGTCACTGCGATTTGCTTTGGTGATTGTAAATTTGGTGGTGGGAAGCTATTCAAGCATTATATCACTATTCAACAAAACCGTCAATAAATGTATGTGCTTCAAAGCTAAACTAAGATTTCTCTCTTCTTAATCGGATTTATTTATTTGTTCTTCTGGTTTGGGTTGTTATGGCTAAACACATGTTGGAGAACTCTAAAAGCACGATAATCACTTTCTGCTGGTGCAAAGGTTTTGCAGAAACGTAATCAATATGTGGTTTCTATAAATCATATTGTTGCCTTTATTGATTTATGTTGTTTTTGTTTTCCTTAATTATTTGTATGCTTTGCTGCATTACTTCATGGGCAAAGAAATGATAATCCAGTTTTTGCGCGCTGCATTTCTTTAGTGTTCAGCCACCACGGGGAATGTACATTTTAACCAATAAGTATCAGAGATTAGCCGTCACTGCTCTTTGCTGGGATGTTGAAATGTATACACTCTCAGTACAAGAGGCAGTTGCCTAACTTCTTATCAATAAAGTTCAGACCTAACATTTGTAATCTCATTTCCTGCTCACAATATCGTTAACCCTATCTGTAACAATATAAATGACTCTACAGTATTTGTCACTGCCCTCCCCCTGCTAAAATCTCCTGCGTCCAACGCTTCAAGTATCAGCAATTCTTTGAGAGAGATGTTTGCTAGGCTGCCATGGTTTCCATGTTTTTGTTTAACATGCCGTGACAAATAATTTTACAAAAACTTTTTAAACCACGTAGTAAACATTTTTTTTCTTCTGTGAGCAAACATCAGATTTTTATAGGTTTATTACATTTATACTGATTCTGTTAGATATGTTTATAGCCTATTCTGCAGCATTGTCCATTAAATAAGCACGTACAACACATAGTGATAAAATTAAAAGGGAGCTTTAGTGTTAATATGGGAGTTCTAGCTTGGGGGCTGTCCAAATACTGTCCCGCAGGATCTCCTGATTGCCTTCCAGGGGTATACGACCTGTGCACATTGCAAAGCCATACAATTACACGGTTTCATTCCTTTCTGCTGGGACTGTATCTGATTGAGGGAAAAGTAATATTAGGACATGTCACTGGTGACAAGTCCACCATTCTGGAATGCTAATATGTGAGCGGGCTTGTCCAGCCTGAGACATGGTGTGTGAGTAGGGTGGAGAGACCGTAAGGGGGCGAGAGAGTGCGTGTAGTGCAAGGAAAACTAGAGAGTGTAGGAGTGGGTGGAAAGCAAGGTTAACGGATGGGGAGAGGGTTTGGAAAAAAATGTAGAGCGCAAAAAGTCAGGAATTGGGTAGATCAATGAAGAGGTGGGTGGAGCCATGGAGAGTGTTACGCGCATGCACAAGAGGTGTGAAACGCAGTTGTAAAGTGGGACATGGCATAGGATATTAGAATATGGGAATTATTCACGTGAGACATGGACTTTAGAAAGGCAGAAACAAAGGTGTTTGAAGCTTGAATGGAGGGGTGGGATGGAGAAATGGCATAAAGGGAGAGAGAAGGTAATGGAGGGTCAACTATAGGGGAGAGAGCACAGAAGAAAGGTTGATGTCCGTGATGGAACAGGTTTGAGAGTGCATGGAACAAGGTGCAGATGGGAGAGCAGATTACATGCGATTTTAAGGGTTGAGTTTAAATAAAGACAATAGATCTGGAGCCTGAGAGTTTAATACCAGGGCTAAAAGGTTAAGAGTTGGGGGTTCAGTCTTTGATTATGGGTACTGTGGTTGAGAAGTCTGGGTAATCGACAGAAAACCTTTCCACTGAGAATAACCATGAATATGGAGGGGGATATACCTGCACAGTGACAGGTGGGGAGGATCTGTCAATAGAAGTCTTTACCACAAGAGTGAGGAAAGATACTCCTAATGTTGAATTATTTATTGGCTGAGAGTGCTCAACTCACTCTCAGCCAAAAGAATAAACGGCAGAACGAGCAGAGTTGCGCTAACTGAATGTAATTCAGCCGGCGTGAGAGTCGGTATAGCACACGGCGCGACCCAAGTAAGAAGCAACGGATTGATCCTGACATAACTGCCACTACAGTGGGCTGCAGTGGGTATAATGCTCATAGTAGCCCTCTATGCGTGCCAACAGAATGAGATTATAAAAATGTGGATAAACTGTTCAGTTATGTGCACCAATCACTGGTTTGGCACTTTAAAACTAGTTAAGGAGAATTTTACTAAGCGGGTCGGCATTTCAGGAACGATGTGAAACCATTTTATCAGACTGTAGAGGTGCTAACGATTATATTTTATGACACAATGCCCCGGTCACAAATTGCTTCTGTTAAAGGTAGGGAGAAAAACCTTTTTGTTTCTGTGTGCGCTTGTTGCAGGACCCACTCTGGAAGGTGCGACGCAGCCAGAAGCTCGACATGTCTGCGCGACTGGAGCTGCAGTCTGCTCTGGACGCAGAAATAAGAGCCAAGCAAGTGGTACAAGAGGAGCTGAGGAAAGCAAAGGAAGCAAATGTTTCATTTGAAAGGTACACCCTGTGTTTGAGGTTTTATAATGTACAGCTGCAGGGAAAGCCTATACGCTTATAATGCACTGTGGGGTTAAATTATTTTACTGTGAAATTAAGAAGGAATGTTTACCCCCGTGGTAGATCATGTTTAGCATATTGTGTTTTTAGATAAATAAAAAAAATTTAAAAAAAGATTCTGAATTATTGAAAGCATTAACATTCCTCTTACCTACCCTAATGATCTCTCCCCTTCTGCGAAATTTAATGATTGCCAAGTGCCCAGATGAATGTGCATTACCTTTATATAAATATCTAAACCGTTTGCTTTCGACCTAAAACAGACATATCAGAAAATAGCAATGGTTGCCTTATGCCTAGAGCCATTATTACGCAATCTTAAAGGAACACTATAGTCACCTAAACAACTTAAGCTAAATAAAGCAGTTTTAGTGTATAGATCATTCCCCTGCAATTTCACTGCTCAATTCACTGCCATTTAGGAGTTAAATCACTTTGTTTCTGTCTATGCAGCCCTTGTCACACTTCCCCTGGCTCTGATTGACACACCCTGCATGGAAAAAAACAACTGGTTTTACTTTCAATCAGATTTAATTTACCTTTAATAATTGTATCTCTTTCTCTGTAAATTGAACTTCAATCACATACAGGAGGCTCTTGCAGGGTCTAGCAAGCTATTAACATTGCAGGGGATAAGAAAATCTAAAAGAGAACTTGCAACAAAGGAAAGAAACTTTAGATGATTCTCTAAAAGAAGTATTTAGGGAGGCTGTGTAAGTCACATGCAGGGAGGTGTGACTAGGGTTCATAAAAAAAAAAAAGAAGAAAAAAAATGTGAGTTATACTCCTAAATGGCAGACATTTGAGCAGTGAGACTGCAGGCGTATGATCTATAAACTAAAACTGCTTGATTAAAGGACCACTATAGTGCCCTGAGGGTGCCCCCACCCTCAGGGTCCCATTCCCGCCGGGCTCTAGGGGGTGGAAGGGGTTAAACTTACCTCTTTCTCCAGCGCCGGGCGGGGGACTCTCCGCCTCCTTTCCTCCTCGGCTGAATGCGCATGCACGGCAAGAGCCGCGCGCGCGTTCAGCCAGTCTCATAGGAAAGCATTCACAATGCTTTCCTATGGACGCTGACGTCCACTGTGATTTTCACAGTGAGAAGCACGCAAACGCCTCTAGCGGCTGTCAATGAGACAGCAACTAGAGGCTGGATTAACCCTAATATAAACATAGCAGTTTCTCTGAAACTGCTATGTTTTTATAGAAAAAAAGGGTTAAACCTAGCTGGACCAGGCACCCAGACCACTTCATTAAGCTGAAGTGGACTGGGTACCTATAGTGGTCATTTAAGCTATAGTTGTATTGGTGACTAAGCTTTTTCACTAATCCATTTCCCTTTCCTGATCATAGTTTATGTTGGGCCCCTTCAGTCTCGATAAAAACATAATTGTATCTTGCAGGGTTATTCACTAAAGGGAACATCGTTGGAAAATTAAAGGGATTTTTACTCCAATTACCATAACACTTCAGTGATTTGGAGTGGGCACGGTGACTGGAGTCTGTGGACTCACTATGAAACACTGTACATACATTGTCTAACCCCTCTGCTACTGGTGGTGTAACTCCACCTCTGGTGTTGTCATTGGCAATCGCACAACAGTTCCAGGCTGGCCCACGTCAATTTTGTGCATATTCCTATGTACAGAATTGCATTAGCTGAGAGCAGTTCCTGCTTTTAGAACTCTGCAAAATGTGGATGTCTCTGGTGGCCATCCTGTTTTGTTAATAGGTCTCTCTTTAAAGTGATGTTGCTTATGGCATGAAATGACTTTATCACTGTTAATATTTACAAACTCTTTGTAGCAAACTGAGAGAAGCAGAATCGAAAAACCAAGAGCTGCAAGAGGATGTAAGAAGCTTGAAGAAAAAGCTGGAAGAAAAACTAAAAGATGATAGCGGTGCGTTTAGCGAACACTTGCTGTGATTTCCATTGGTATTTCATAATCCAGTGTGCCATTCTCTTTACTTTGGCTCTGCTTTCTTCCAGGATTGAAACTTCCTGACTTTCAAGAGTCAATATTTGAATATTTTAACACCTCTCCACTGCCTCATGACCTTTCGCTGAGAGTGAGTATACTTTGTCATGTTTGTCTCCAATCCGCTAGCTTATGTTGGTGTAAACGTTGATAGGAGCAATGATCCTTATCAGTTCTGATGGAGCAGTGATAGTGAAATATTAGAATTAGAAGCCAGTTAGAATTATTGAAGAGCCAGTCTGTTCTTTGGGTACCCTCCCCCCTTCGGAGCCACAGTTGTACTATATTCTTAGAGATCGCGGTAAAATGCTCACAATACGGCACTAGCATGGATTTATTTAGAGGCGATGACTGCCTGGCTCCTGGTTTTGGGGACAGTCATTCTTTGGGAAATCCTATTATTTTTCGTAGTAGATCTGCATGCCTAAAGATCATACATTCCCTAAAGGCTAACCTCACAGAATACATTGAGCTCAACTGTCTTGGATCTACAGAGTTACAATAGGTTTGTTCCTGCCATCCTAAGTTTCTCCTCCTGTTATCTGACCCCAGGTAGCTGGGTGCAAGCACATCAGTGAATGTGTTTCCATCTATGCAAACAAGTTGCTCACATGGCACTTTGCTTATGTGCATGCTTAGGTAGCTCGTTAACCGGTAGTGTGGTCATTCCTCATCCCTGTGTCAAGCACAATATATACCTCCTTCCTGATCTGGGATATGCCGGTACCTATATAATAATTCTAATACCAGTACTGCACTGTCTGGATCTGAACCAGTAAATGTCTAGCAGCTCTGTGATCAGCATGCATCTTTTTGACCATTGCCCCTGGCAGTGGAGAGCATAGATAAATGCCATTAATTCATCTATTTCCCAGAAATAAAAGGGCTTTCTGTTTTAGTCACTAGGATCATGAATTGTCCAGATTTTAGACCGCCCAGTTGCTTATGCTCTGCAAGCCTTATGGGACCTGTAGTTCTTCATTAATACAGGCTTTTCTGTTGGTACTGAAAGAGTTAAACCCTTTCTTTCTACACAGCAGACTACTGTGCATTATTATCTGTGATGGCATTGACAGGCCTAAATTAGAGTGTGTTTATTTTAGTACGCTACCCCCCTCTCCAACCATCACTGAGTATCCATTATGATCTGACTGTCTGTATCGATTGCCTCTCTGAACAGTATGTATATGTGGGTTTTAAGTGCTTTTTTTGTGTCCCTCGTGTTTGTCACCACAAAGGAACCAGTCTCTTCTCCGTCTAGATCCTCACTGCTAGCCTTTTGGGAAGATGTAAGTCCTCTTTCATAGCTTTTAAAACCAGATATCAAACCTCCATCCCGTAACTTATATCCTTGTCCTGTTCTAGTCCTATACAGTGTGTTGTCATAGACTAACCTCTAAACTATAGGTTGATTTTATTAAAATTCAGATTTTTCTCAATAACCTACTACAAGCCAATAATAGGTTCCATGTTACCTTCATTTTCACCCTCTTTTAATTGAACCATTTTTTTGCCATAGGAGTCTACTTCATTGGCCCTTTTGGAAGACAAGAGGGAATTAACTTGCTTTTTGCCATTTATATGTAGACAGGAGCTGGTCCTTGTGTAGCTCTTTTTTAATTTGACATTTATAGGCTTTGATTTAAAAAAATGCGCATTTTGACGCTTTACATTTCACCCCACTTTAGAGAGAACATTCTTTATGTTCGTACGGTAGGCTTGTACCCTTATGAGGCCGGTACAAGAAGAGTTAACATTATCACTCTGATTACATGCAGCCAAGTGAATGTAAAATAGTTTCCAGATTACTTTTACATATGTTTGGCATAATAAGCATCATCTCTTGTTATTTGTTTTAGAGTAATTACATCCCTGTGTTTGTCTTTGTGATTAGAAGTATGAATGTGTTTGGAATTTCAATTTTGCAAAACATTTATTGAACATTTCAAAAAAAAAAAAAATAATCCCTCATCAAATTGCCTTATTTTGATCATTCCCGGCCTCTTAAGTAAGATATCTGTGTCTCGGGGCCAAAAATTGACTTTCTCACACTAAAGCCTTGACTTAATAAGCTGTCCAAATCATTCCATACTGTTAGAAAAACTTAATAAATGATTTCTCTACAGAAGTCACCATTGAAGTCTATGGGAGTTTCTGTCGATAAATCATTTGTAATGTTTTTCTAACAATAATGAATCATTTTGAAAGCTTATTAAATTGATGGCTAAATGTTTATCCGCTTCAAGCTATATATAGCTTTATAAAATTGTTACTCAACAAAGATAAGCAGCCGTGATACTTTTCTTCAACTGAGAAGTGGCTGAGATATCCCAGCCGATCCCTAATCTCATGATAGAATTTATTTTTATTGTTTACCTATTTTACAGCACTACAGAATCTGTTGGCACTATATAAATAATTGTAATTGTTTAGAAGCCAATATTTAAAATGGACCTGCCTTGATATGTTCTGTCCAACTCTGTTTATCATTTTTCTTCAAAATAATTCCCTGTTAGTATATTGGGGATGTAATTTATCTCTATGGGACTCTGTTAATGAAGGTTTTGTAAGTCCCAGTCAGAATGCTGACCAGCTCCAGTGTTGTATCTCTCCTGTTTTTAATCCCAGATCCCCATTTCGGGCTCTCCCATCCTTTGAGTGCCCAAAGCTTATAATATGTGCGTATGTCTTAGGGACACATATTAAGTGAAATGAACGTTATCCTCTGAAGTGAACGTGCCATATGATTGCACAATATTTAATCTACACATCAAAATGTTTGCAAAGTCATTAATGGAAATGTCTTGCCTTTGGCTATGTCCTGGCATCTATCCATACAAAACCCCTGTGATAATATTTACAAAGCACGCAGTCACACACTGTGCATCATGAGTTCTTTACAAATACATAGATATGTAAATGACAAATAACATGCTCAAACACAGTCCTCTGAGAGAGAAATTATATTTTATGTAATTAATATAAACTTTATTCTATCAATTCTTCCTGGGATGTGCAGGGGGGGGGTCACACGTGCTACTATTTCAATCCCAGAATGTTTTTTCACCAGCACTTTGAGTGTGGTAGCAGTACCTCCATAAACATTTAATCTGTATGTTTGTTAGTAATTTAACAAACACAATGGAGGAGATATGTAAGAATGTGAAAAATAGAAAAGTTGTGCAGTATCATTAAAAAAATTAAATAAAATGGAGCAATCGCCGTGGAAACCAATTGAATCAAAAGAAAACATTATTTTCTATCTGGTTTGCTTCACCGTTGGAAAGTGGCGCCCCCTTTCTCTTACAGACTTTTCTAAATCTCCCTAATGTATAGATGGATTGTTACAGTCCCATTGCGTGGCAGGTGCAATTATTAGTGTGACTGCTCAGGTTTTGGGAGACTGAACTTTATAAACAGACCTGTGCAGATAAGTACAAACTTGCTTCTCCCACTCTCCTAACATATACTTTATCTATATTACAGTAAGTACAACCTTTAGCTCTGCATTACCAATGCATTGACTTCATCAATAATGAATAGAGAGAGAGAGAGGAAGTTTATTAATTCCTCCCCAGGCTGCACACAAGTTTGATAATGTGCTTGGCCAAAACGTGGAAGGCAGACCCAGCTCTGAAGGCTCAGATCAATGCAGAGATCAGGATGGAGAAGCTGACAGCTGCTATCAATATAATCAATGACCACTTCTTGAAAATATGGAATTGGTTCCAAAGGGTTTGACTCTTAACTTGTGGTGTAGTCAGGGGAGGGTGTTCACCAGGAGTGCATCCGGCCTTTGGTTCTTTCTCTTTCTTTTATCTCACAATCTCGTCTCTCAATTTCCGCTTCGTAGTTCAGTGACACAACTATCTCTAGCTGGTTATCGAGATCGGTGACAATATTTCACGGGACTGGAATTTGTCCTTTATTCTCCTGCCACCTTTGGGGGTGTCTCCTCTTTTGTACTCTGTTGGTACTATTTCCTGTATTACATTAAAATCTCAATAAAAACAATGAAGTAAACAAATCACTACATGCTGATATACAGCACTGCTTGCTTCACAAATAATAGTACGTGTTCTAGCCAGGTCTTGGCCTTACGACAAAGTTTGAGTTTTGCCTTTCTTTTTCAGCTCGTGAGATTTCTACTTTAAAAACATGTAACGTTGGCCAATGGACCATGCGCTTTATATTCGTGTTTTATTACTTCTTTTTGTGATCACTGTTTTGTTTGTTTTACAGACTAGCACTATTATTGAACACGATATCCCTTCTTTTAAATCTGATGTTTCCCCGTCATTATCTGTTCCATCAGCTTTGGAACAACATCAAGAGGCAAGTAATTGTTTGAATTAAAGCCTTCCTTGTTTTAAAAAAAAAAAAAAAGTACAATCTAGTCATTAATACAGGAGTAGCCAGTAGCATGTATAGGTTTTTATTGTATGTGTATATGTCTTACTCATGAAGTAACACATTGCAGAACCTGTTTTACAGACTGCACAAAATGTTCTGTAAATTAAGTGAAATATCATCAGAAAAAAAAGTGTATCTCTTAATGGATTCATTTTACAATAGTTAAAGGGACGCTCTAAACAGAAAAAATTAAGTTTATCTTTAATCTAGTGCCGAAATAGCTCCTCTTCTAAGCCTGATCTGCTCTTGTAGATGTCATCAGGCCACAGGAAGTAGCTTGGTAAACATTCTCACAGAGAAGCATTGATGACATAGAGCACACGTGTCTTAGAATTAAGAAGCTATGAATTATCTCGGCACACTATGCATTCTAACCTACTCACTGGTTTAAATTTGGTTAAGAATTACACTTCCTGGCTCTGATTGACATGACTGCAACACATAGCTACAAGCTCCACTTTAAGGAGAGCTTAAGAGTGAATTAAACCCTCACATTTCAGGGACATAATTTAAAATGTACAGTGTTCATGTTGTGTAGAATGTAACTCTAAAATAAGCTACCTCATTTAAGAGAGCTGTTATTTCTGTAGTAGGAAGGCATGGATTCCTAGAAAGCACATGGTGCACATAGCAGATGCCAATAATTCAGAGAGAAAACACACTTAGTTCCATTTGGTTTTGGAGACCTTTCACAAAGGGTTGAGTTTGCGTGAGACATACCTAGCATGCATTGTAGAAAGCAAGCTCACTGACCAGCTCTGGTAGTTACTTAAAATGTAAAAGGAATTAAAGAGGGGTGAGCTTAGACTGAATAAGACTTTGTAGAGCCGGTTGAAAACTTTCTGAGGCACTGGTTGGACGAACAGACATGTAGTTGTAACCAGACAAGTTGGACACACAAGAACAGAGAGGTTGAGGGCCCTGCTCAATGAGCTTGCATGCTAGAGGGAGTGGGATAAAATGACACAAAAAGCTAAGGATAGTATTAGACTAGTGACAGTTGTAGAAGAGGAATCAGTTGGGAGCTATTAACAGTTTAATTGATACGCTTTTATGAAGAAGTGGGTTTTTAACGATTTTTTGAAGGAGTGGAGACTGGGTGAGCATCCAATGGAGGAGGGAAGGGAGTTCCACAGGAACGGTGCAGCCCTCGAGAAATCTTGAAGGCGAGCATCAGAGGTGGGAACTCAAGTCACATGTATTTTTTTTCCCCATAAAAATTGTGAATATACTTGGTAAATATACAAACGCTATTCGGACTCCCATTAAATATGCCTACTTCAAAGTGTGTTTTTATTTTATTAGTGGGGATGTTTTGTCTTTACCTTGCATAAACATATTCGCATATTACTTAAAAACTTTTATTATTTTCCTTTGTTATTTTAGGAGCCGACACCATCTTTAAAACCTGTCCCTTCTCCCACTTTCACACCAATCTCCATCTCGGTCCCAAAGGTAAGGTTTTTGGATTTCTATAGGTAATGCTTTCTATATAATGACTGGAGTAGAAGTCGCTCTGTGTCAGCACACTAAATGTTCATTTATTGGCGTTTTCCATGTATTTTATCCCCACTGTCTAGTGTACACAATGCGCCTGCATTTCTATGATTTTGAACGGTTAATCTTTGAATACTCGTATAATTTAGTAACATATGTTTAAAGGCCCTTGTGGGAAAATATCTGTTAGTGTTTTACTATATATTTTTTTATTACCTAGGATAATTGTTTCTTTTATGTTGGGAATTGTATTTTACAGCTCAAAGTAGTCTCTCCTGGGTAAATTCAATGCTTCTGTGTAACAGTGTTGAATTGGTTAAGGCTGCAGGTTAAATATTTTAGTAATCTTCCAGTCTGCTTACGCTTAGGGACTAGTGATGGTGTATATTTAATTTCTTTACACACAGTCATTTTAGGACATCACAGAAAATCTTGTCTTTTTTTTGCACTGTAAGCTAAATATAACCAGGAAAATATGTCCATTCCAGCATTGTGGGCCATGAAAATCTCAGTCCTCATAAGGATTACAACCTGGAAGTGACTCAAGACCATTATAAATAAAATGTATGTAACCACTGCCAGCCCCAAAATGCAACAAAGGCTGCCTGAAGAACATGGCAGCACCTTGTATCTGACAACATTGGTTACTCCATATGTTGCTGATTAAAGTTTCTCACCTAGCTGAAAGGTTATAGTGTTTTTGTATATTTTTATTTTCTCCCCTGTGAGTCGAGGAGTGCCGTGTGTTCCAATCTTTCTGCCGATGACACGTTTAGCACTCTTCTGTTTCAGATGCCAGGAAGTAGCATGAACGCTTATCCTTCCACAACATGTGAAATGGCACCACTTAATGTTTCACAAGATCTGCGTTTTAACCTCGATCGTTCTATAATCAGAAAGTCTGTTCCAGCATTTCTCAACCTTCTTTCATATTATAGATGAGAGATTTCCAGCCACACACACTGCACAGTTACAGGATTATTCACTAAAGTCAAAATTCAAAGTCGGTTTTAAATTGAAGGCCAGAGTAGCCGAACTGAGAGCATAGCTGTTATTTGGCTATTTTGACCTTAAATTTGAAATTCTCCTTTTGTTAAAAATTTAAAATAATTCTGTTTTTATATATAAACCAGAAAATGTTTGCAGCATCCTAAGAGATAACTTGTGCTATAGTTTTATTGTTCACCTCTATTAAATACATTTTTTTAATGTTTTGTTTAAAAGAAAATGATATTTACTTGTAACATGGTGTGATGTGTACGGTGTTCTTCAGTCGTAGTGGAATTCTGATAATGTCTATTGCCTCCTGCTGAACTTTAAACTCACCAACAGTATTTTATTTCAGCCTAAAGCCCATCAGCTTGTAATAAAGTCCTTCTTGAGCCCGACACAGTGTTCCCACTGCACATCGCTTATGGTTGGATTAGTCCGGCAAGGTTACGCTTGTGAAGGTATGTGTGTACAAATATTGTGTATGCCCAAGACTTGACATGAATGATTATTATTTTTTTTAAGGTTCATTCCAGGACACATAACTACCAGTGATTTGACTATAACATGTTGTTTTTTTATTTTATTTTTTAAGTTTTTATTTTGTTTTTATAAATCAAACAATTGTGGTTGGGGGATACAGAAAATAAGGGGGGGGTTGATTCACCAGTTACATAACCATCAAACGAAGTTACCATACTCTGCATCGTAATATACATCATGGTCTAATGGGAGGTTTACAAGCTACAGCAAGTATATATCGGGACTTGCGCCTTCAAGGGTAGAAGCCGTTTGTGAATCAAGTTACACAAACGCACCAGGGTTGCCTCTTCAACCAGTTTGTCTTAATCTCAATGAGTGCCAAAGCTCCCAAGCAGCTATTGTAGTTTCAGAGGGAGGGAAAATGCTGCTGTTCCAGCGTTGGTATATGCATTTCGTATTTATTTTCATTGGGAGGGAGGAACAAGATGGAGGGGATTTAGATTGCCATGGTCTCGCAATATTAGTTTCCTCTTATGAGTTGGCAGGTCCTCAGGCAGTTCTAGGAGAAGGTATGTTAATGGATTAAACGGTACTTTACAAGTAGTCGTATCAAGCACCATTATCTTTTTATGTCCTATAAGGGTTCAGCAATTTTTGGGGTTTGGTAGTCAGCTTTTCCCATTGTTTACGGGAGATTGCACATTGTAGGTCAGTTGACCATTGGGTTGCTTGTTTCAATTCAAAATATGGAGTAAATGCCTACCAGTAAGCTATAGCACACGGAGATCAATTTACATTTATAAGGCAATTTTTGCTTCATACCGATATCTTCCCAATGTCCTCTGCTCCTTGTGCTTCTCTTGGTACGTGCTTCCTTAAAAAGGAAGGCGTTGTAGGTGTAAGTATTGTGATGTGTCTTTTAGTTTGTATGTGGATGATAAGCCTGTTTTAGATGCGTAATCCCATAGTCCCTCCATGGTCTAGCATGGAATGTAGGCAGATTGAAGTTGCTTTAGAGAGGGGGGTGGTGTGGGATAGTTTAGTTCGGTTGAGGTCCCAGATCTGGATCGCTAGTTTCACTTGTGCAGGTGCAGAGTGGGTTTTTTTCATTGGTAATATGAAAAAAGGGTGAGAGCAATCCAGCTTGCAGGACCTGAGCAATGGGTTTTGCATATAGGGCGAAAATTTGTGTGATGATCTGTCTAGGAAACCCATACAACATCAGTGTCTGTGTCCGGAACGGCCAACCGAGGCAGTCAAGCGCTTTCTCTGCGTCTAGGGCCAGCAGGAGACAGCCCCGCCCGGCCACCATGAAGTGTTCCAACACTAGTGACAGCTTTCGTGTATTGTATTGTCGAGTCCCCGTCTCCCCCTGACTAAGCCTGTTTGGTCATCTTTAATAACAGAGGGTTGAATGGGGGTCAGCCTATTGGCTATTATCTTGTCGTAGATTTTGGCGTGTTGAATAGGGAAATAGGGCGGAAATTCTTGCATGTGTTAGGGGGCTGCCATGGCTTGGGTAGTGTGACAACTGTAGCAAGGAGCATCTCTGGTGGGAGAAAGCCCATCTCAGTGGTTTTATGATATACTGTTAGATGATGGGGTGCCAGTATATTAGCAAACTTTATTATAATAAGAATTTGACAGTCTGCCCGCCCCACGGCGATTTGTTGGATGGTAATTTCTGAATCACCTCTGTAATTTTCATCTAGGGTTATGGGGTTAAGCAAAGTGTCAGTTTGGGGTTGGGTGAGCTGAGGGGATTTAAATTTCTCAAGGTATTTTGAGATAGAGTGACGTACCTGGCTCAGTTTCCAAATTATAGAGTTGTGAATAGTATTTTGCTAATTCTTCGCTGATCTGTCAGGGTCTATCAGTTTGGTGCCTGCATTGTCATTAAGGTAAGCAATTTTTGAGGCCAAGCTTTTGTTCCGGAGCCTAGCTTCTAGGAAACTAGAAGCTTTGCCTCTGTTGTGGTAGGAATTGGCGCAAAGCTTATGTAGGAAAAATGTGGTCTTGGCAGGTTAGTTTGTCATACAATTGTTTAAGTTGTACAGCTAACTCCGGGGATGGTTTTAATTTGTTCTCTGTAGATATCAGGGCTATTTGTATGTAGCAGTCCTCTAGGGTAGTTTGGTGCTACCTTTTTAGAAAGGAGGAGCTTCTAATAAACAGTCCTCGGACTGCTGCCTTGTGGGCTGACCAAATCGTATTGGTAGAGGTGGTGCCATCATTGTTTTCGGTAAAGTAGTTTCGGAGCTTGTCCCCAATTGTGTTTGTAAAGGTTGCATCTGATAGGACTGACTCGTTAAGGCGCCAAGTACATTTGCCCCGGGAAACTGGACTTTGGTCAGACCATAAAATTACTCCTATGGCGCATGTGGAAAGTTGACCCAAAGCTATGCAATCTAGAATAAAATGTGCCAATGCAAGTGTAGGTATTGTGTACCTGGGAATGGAATGTATGATCTTGCTCTGTGGGGTGCAAGGTTCTCCACCCATCATTAGGCCGTGGAGTGCTAGAGAGTAGTTAAACATTTCTTTCTTTTACTTGTGGTGTCAGCTGTTGTGTCTTGTTGTAGGGACTGAATAGAATTAAAATCCCCGCTTATGATAAGGCCTCCCTGTCTATACAGGGAGTGCAGAATTATTAGGCAAATGAGTATTTTGACCACATCATCCTCTTTATGCATGTTGTCTTACTCCAAGCTGTATAGGCTCGAAAGCCTACTACCAATTAAGCATATTAGGTGATGTGCATCTCTGTAATGAGAAGGGGTGTGGTCTAATGACATCAACACCCTATATCAGGTGTGCATAATTATTAGGCAACTTCCTTTCCTTTGGCAAAATGGGTCAAAAGAAGGACTTGACAGGCTCAGAAAAGTCAAAAATAGTGAGATATCTTGCAGAGGGATGCAGCACTCTTAAAATTGCAAAGCTTCTGAAGCGTGATCATCGAACAATCAAGCGTTTCATTCAAAATAGTCAACAGGGTCGCAAGAAGCGTGTGGAAAAACCAAGGCGCAAAATAACTGCCCATGAACTGAGAAAAGTCAAGCGTGCAGCTGCCACGATGCCACTTGCCACCAGTTTGGCCATATTTCAGAGCTGCAACATCACTGGAGTGCCCAAAAGCACAAGGTGTGCAATACTCAGAGACATGGCCAAGGTAAGAAAGGCTGAAAGACGACCACCACTGAACAAGACACACAAGCTGAAATGTCAAGACTGGGCCAAGAAATATCTCAAGACTGATTTTTCTAAGGTTTTATGGACTGATGAAATGAGAGTGAGTCTTGATGGGCCAGATGGATGGGCCCGTGGCTGGATTGGTAAAGGGCAGAGAGCTCCAGTCCGACTCAGACGCCAGCAAGGTGGAGGTGGAGTACTGGTTTGGGCTGGTATCATCAAAGATGAGCTTGTGGGGCCTTTTCGGGTTGAGGATGGAGTCAAGCTCAACTCCCAGTCCTACTGCCAGTTCCTGGAAGACACCTTCTTCAAGCAGTGGTACAGGAAGAAGTCTGCATCCTTCAAGAAAAACATGATTTTCATGCAGGACAATGCTCCATCACACGCGTCCAAGTACTCCACAGCGTGGCTGGCAAGAAAGGGTATAAAAGAAGAAAATCTAATGACATGGCCTCCTTGTTCACCTGATCTGAACCCCATTGAGAACCTGTGGTCCATCATCAAATGTGAGATTTACAAGGAGGGAAAACAGTACACCTCTCTGAACAGTGTCTGGGAGGCTGTGGTTGCTGCTGCACGCAATGTTGATGGTGAACAGATCAAAACACTGACAGAATCCATGGATGGCAGGCTTTTGAGTGTCCTTGCAAAGAAAGGTGGCTATATTGGTCACTGATTTGTTTTTGTTTTGTTTTTGAATGTCAGAAATGTATATTTGTGAATGTTGAGATGTTATATTGGTTTCACTGGTAATAATAAATAATTGAAATGGGTATATATTTGTTTTTTGTTAAGTTGCCTAATAATTATGCACAGTAATAGTCACCTGCACACACAGATATCCCCCTAACATAGCTATAACTAAAAACAAACTAAAAACTACTTCCAAAAATATTCAGCTTTGATATTAGTGAGTTTTTTGGGTTCATTGAGAAGATGGTTGTTGTTCAATAATAAAATGAATCCTCAAAAATACAACTTGCCTAATAATTCTGCACTCCCTGTATTCCTCGATTTTGTGTAGCAGTGAACATAGGAAGGTATGTTGATCGGAAAATAGGCAGAGACTACCGTGTATTGTATATTGTTAAACGTGCCTGCAAGTATTCTAAATCTGCCTCTGGGATCTGTGAATGTCCTCTGTGGGATGAAGGCCACATTCTTATGGATGAGGATGCATAACCCTTTTGTTTTATTGTTAGAGAGAGCTTGGTACAGTATTGGGTAGCGTTTTGTCGACAACCTGTGTTTTTAGATCCTGATACAGTAGTCTTCGCTTTCATGGGGAATTAAGCCTCTTAACATTAGAAGATACTATCTTCATAGTGGGGGGAGGGCATAACTTTGAGTTGAGTTTGGAGGAGCCATGGGGTTTCCAAAGCGTGACTCCTGTGGCGGACCTTGCCACCTATTTTGTGTGTTTTACCCTCATTTCGCGTGTCTTACCCTTTTTCTGTTTGGGAGTACTTAATTTGAATAAGATTCATTCGTTCCCCGAACGAGGACCACCCCTAGGCCCCATTAGATTGTCCACAACAGCAACTTAAGTGCGAAACCGCAAGGGAAGTAATCAATGAATGCTACCCCTGGGTGGCCGCCATTTCGTATAACTGAACGCACGCGGTCGACAAAAGAATGGCGGCCATCTTGTCTCCCAAACGTGGGCAGCGGTACTTGGTCGTCGAGTGCCTGGAACTCTTTTCGGCTAGGCAGTCGCACGAACGCCGGTAAAACCTAGACCGCTGCCTCGTTCTACTTCCTCGTGGGCTCGTGTTTCTGCATGCCCGTACTATTTTCTCTTTGACATGGAAAAAGTGTACCCTGGTAATAACATCTCGTGGTGTCGATGTCAGTAGATGTTTAGGTCTTGGAGCCTATGGGCTCCATCGATTAGGAGCTGGTCGGGATGTATAACCGGTGTGATTGCCTGGAACATCTCCAATACGTAAGATTTCAGATCTGAGTTGGAGACCGACTCTGGGATGCCTCTAAGATGGTGGTTGTTCCTATGAGACAGGTCCTCTATATATGCCAGCTTTATCCTTTTGGCCTCCAATATGGCATCCAGCTCTTGCATCTTATCTGCTAAGCTGCCATGTGCTCCTGCATATTCATTCATCTTCTGTTCCATATGCAGTGTGTGCAGGCCAATGTCCTTGATTTCCTTCTGCAATTCCATGGTACAGGTATGTATTTGGCTTGTGATGCTGTTTTGGATTGAGGCTGAGAATTTGGACATCATTGCCCGCATGGCTGATGCGGTCAGGGGCCGCTAGTCTAGCTAGGAGCTTGGTGAGATTGTAAGTTATACTGAGCTTTCCTTGGAGCGCGGGTCGCCGTAATCTTGGCTAGGCGTAGGACCTTCCCTCGATTTCAGTGCATTTGCTTGCACCATAAATAAAAACTAAGCCTGATCCGCTTTGGCAGCCTTGTTTTTTTTGTCTCTGGGACATCCTGCAGGTATGTGCTAGTTTGTGGGTCCAATTCTGCTCAATTTTTTTTTTTATAGCTCACAGGAATCACGGGAGCTTCATGAGTGTGCGTTCATGCGGCTCGAACTCCAGACCACGCCCATAACGTGTTTTAATTAAATCTGCAGAGAAGTGCTGCAATTATCAGTTGGTCGCACATACCTTCAGATTGTTGTTTCCAAGTAGATGTACACGTTCTCGTACAGAATATATACATTCCTAATTAATGTGTTCTAGCTGAGTGGTCTATGTTGCAGCCTGTACATCCACTGCACTGATAAACAGCTAAAAATAGCTTCAGCCCCCATCTGTTTGTATACTCTGCCACCATGCTGTCTGCGTAGATGGCACCTTTGAGCAGGTTAATTGGAGCCTTGTAGCATCTGTGATTTAACTTGTGTGTGTGCTAGTCAAATCCTAATAAATGTATTATTCATTTCTATAGAATGGCCATGCTTGGGTACCTGTGTCTTAATATGAAGACTGTTAAATTCAGACATGTTTCTCTTATTTTAGTGTGCCCGTTTGCATGTCATGTTTCATGCAAAGACAGCTCCCCGCAAGTCTGCCCTATCCCAGCTGAACAAGCCAAACGGCCGCTTGGAGTTGATGTACAGAGAGGGATCGGAACGGCTTACAAGGGCTATGTGAGGGTAAGTAGATTTACTCAATGAGGTTGGTGAGTTTTCACAATAGTCATAATAAAAACAGATGTTCTTCTGTGGATCATCAGGTTTTCCAGAGCAGTTGTGTTTTTTTTTTTTTTTATTCTGGCAACATGCAGATTGCAATCCCAATGTTATAATATTATGGGTTGTAAGTTGCTGTTGGTTCTGAAAGTGATCTGTAAATTTAAATTGCTCACCATTCTTTTACTATATGTATGAACTAAAACATAACCTTACTGCGCTAGCCATATGTGTTTAAAAAATATTTAAAATATATTTGACAGATCCCGAAGCCAACAGGAGTGAAAAAAGGCTGGCAGAGAGCATACGCTGTAGTCTGTGACTGTAAGCTATTTTTGTATGATGTTCCAGAGGGAAAGTCTACGCAGCCTGGAGTGATTGCAAGCCAAGTTGTGGATCTTAGGTGTGTATGTTCTCTGATATCGGTAAAGTATTTTAAGTGGATGTAAAGCTTTGTATACAATCACTTTTGTCAGTCACTTTTACATGACAAAATTATTAGAAAACAGATAATGTGGCCATAGTACCACCTTTGTTGACTGCCGTAGAAGCCCCGGGGAGAAGAAAATGACAAATGGTTTAGTATATTTGGTATTCAGAGATTGTCTCTGCCATTGTATTACTGTTAGCATCCTGGTCCCACTGACACTCTGTTCAGATAAGGAGTGCTAATGTTAAAAATAATTCAACAGTGTGATCTGTCCTTCGTGCTCACTTTAGTGATTTGGCCCCCTTCTTCCTCTCACCCTTTCTGTTATTCCCTCCATCTTGCAGGATTGGTCCTCAGCATCAGCAACTAAATGTAACCTCTGCCATGTATCTGACCTGCCTCCAAATATCCCCAAACCTTGGTCAGATTCTATGTCTACCCCAGTCAATGTCCAGGTCACTAAACAATTCATAGACTCACAGAAACACCGGTCTGCTCTTGTTCTTTGGCATTTAGTTATTTTGATCGTGCACATCAGTCATAGGTATAATAAACAAGTATTTCTTGGCTGCTGACTGTGCTGCAAGCTGTAACGAGTTTGGATCTAAAGCCGTCTGCGTATAAAATGTTATTAATGTGTGTTCTGTTTGGCATGGGTTCCATATTCCACTAGCTATATCGCTCTTTACTAAACTTCTGATAGGATAAACCGGTTATCCACAAGTTTTTGTCAAAATACACCTCAGCTAATGTATATACCTAATTATACATGCACTGTTGCTTTTTTTTTCTCTCTAATTTCATGTGGTATGCACACATCTGTGAATTGTCCCAATACTGTGTAGGTAGGCGTCATGGGAGCTTGCACTTGTTACTTGTAGTTCTCACTGGCAGCACAGCGGTATACGTTAATCTTAAACATCCAAATATATTTATGTATGAATTTGTTAGACTTTTGGCTGTCTCAATATATAGAAGAAATGTTCTGGCTAACACTAGCTCTTACTTTCAATATGCATAAAGTGGAGTGGCACTCGCTAAGCAATTTCCATCCGTCGTGTCTCCAGACCAGGGCGGACCATTCCCAACATATCAAGAATCATGAAGATTTTACTGGAAAACCCTGCGTTTCGTCTCCCATAGGAGCCTTTATCAAACTAAAACAAACATAGAGTGAATTCCTTTAAATAGCCAATCACTTAAAGGACCACTATAGGCACCCAGACCACTTCAGCTTAATGAATTGGTCTGGGTGCCAGGTCCATCTAGGATTAACCCTTTCTGCTGTAAACATAGCAGTTTTTTTACCTATGGGTTAATCCAGCCTCTAGTGGCTGTCTCATTGACAGCCGCTAGAGGCGCTTCCAGCTTCTCACTGTGATTTTCACAGTGAGTAGACGCCAGTGTCCATAGGAAAGCATTGAGAATGCTTTCCTATGGACTGGCTGAATGCGCGCGGCTCTTGCCGCGCATTCAGCTGATGACTGGAAAGGAGGCGGAGAGTCCCCACCGCCGAGGGAGCCCGGCGGTGGAGAAGAGGTATGTGTTTAACCCCTTCCTCACCCTAGAGCCCAGCAGGAGGAAGACCCTAAGTGTGGGGGTACCTAAAGACCCTATAGTGCCAGGAAAACGAGAGTGTTTTTCTGGCACTATAGTGGTCCTTTAACCCCTTCAGGACGGAGTCAATAGTGCATGTTCTGATCAAAACATAAACAAAAACTGGAATTTGCGCTATATGTCTGTTCAACTGTAATTCACCGCTGTCACATTAAGTCACCCACACTTATTATATATCATTTTATTCAGGAGAAACAGGGCTTTACTTTATCATTAACTATTTATATATGGAACATAATTTATTATGAATAAAATTTAAAAAAATGTGAGAAAGTAAGATTTTTTTATTTGAGTTTCCGTCTAACATTTTAGCTGTGAATGTCATAATACTGTTATGTTTTACTGCCACAGGCTGCTCACTGTTTAGTGGACATGCCCCTACTTGCGGTATAGCGCGTAGGGGCATTGGAGAGATTTTAATCTCCCTTGTGCTATTATGGGGGTCATATTGACCCCGATAGAGTGAGGGGGGACCTGGGGCTTATGAAGTGGTGGGGAGCACTGCTCCCTGCCGCTTCTATCTTTACATATTACAAGGACGGAGCAGAGTGCCGGTAGCTCCCTCCTTGTAATAAACTGAACAAACAAACAAACACTGATACATAGTGTTTGTTTGTTCGGCTGATATTTCTATTCACTCATTCGTCTGTCTGATGAATGAATGAATAGATGAAATTCACGTTCGCATGTCCAGGTGTTTCACTGGGCATGTGCGGGAATCTCACAGCGCCATCTAGTGTGGGCAGATGACGTGTCCCAGAGGGACTTCATATACCCACACAAAGATGGTGGCGCCCTGAATAAAGATCGGGGCAGAAAATAAGGAATAAAAAATAAGTAATGTGGGGGGCTTAGGGGCATTTGGGGGTGACTAGGGTGTGTGTTAGATGTAGTGGAGGCCGGAGGGGGGTTAAAAAAAACAAAAAACAGGATTTGGCATGACAGTGGTTTTTGGAAAGTTACAGGGTCAAATATAGAACGTTCCATTTTCAAATTGAAATTTGCCAGATTAGTAATGTTACCTTTGAGACCGTGTGGTAGCCCAGGAATGAGAATTACCCCCATAAGGTCATACCATTTGAAAAAGTATTGAAAGTGGGGCATGTTTAGTCTTTTTAGTAGCCACTTAGTCACAAACACTGGCCAAAGTTAGCGTTCATATTTGTTTTTGTGTGAAAAAAGCAAAAAACTAATATTTGGCCAGTATTTGTGACTAAGTGGCTACTAAAAATGACTGGAGATACCCCATTTGCAATACTTTGGGTTGGGTTGTCTGGTTTTGCAAATGGTATGCCATCATGGGGGTAATTCTCATTCCTGGGCTACCATACGCTCTCAAAGACAACATAACCAATCTGGCAAATTTCAATGTAAAAAAAATGAAATGCAACTCTTATATGTGACTCTAACCTTCCAAAACACCATAAAACCTGTACATGGAGGGTACTGTTATTCTCGGGAGACTTCACTAAACACAAATATTAGTGTTTTAAAACGGTAAAATATATTACAACAATAATATAGTCCATAAAAGTGCCGTTCGTTATTAAAAAATGCAAAACTTGTCACTTTTACTTAAAATATCATCGTTGTAATACAATTTACCAGTTTGAAACACTAATATTTGAGTTCAGCAAAGTCTACTGAGTAAAACAGTACCCCCTATGTACAGGTTTTATGGTGTCTTGGAGAGTTACAGGGTCAAATATAGTGCTTGCGAATTAAATTCTCTGCACTTTCTCCCTGTGTTGTCAGGCATGTAAATCAAATTTGAATGAATCAAATCACATAATTATGTTAAAAGATTACTTAAATACACATGTAGAATTTTAATATATATGCATTTAAAATTCTAATATATATGCATTAAATTCTACGTGTGTACTAATGTACTTTTATGTAATTATATGTATATATATATATATATATATATATATATATATATATATATATATATATATATATATATATATATATATATATATGAATAACAAAATACAGTTAGAATAAAATTACATATGAATATATAATTTATATAAAATTTTGTTTCAATATTTTATTGTCAGGCAGCCCTCCAGAAGAGGATTGCGGCGGAGGGGAGTACCGCGGACCTCCAGGGGCTCAAAGCCGTTACGGCGTTCTATGCCGCCGCAACGGCTTTAAAGCCCACTTAATGCGGGACGGCATAGAACGCGTTAACGGGTTAAAGGGACACTGTAGTCACCAGAACTTGTAAAGCCTATTGCAGTTCTTCTGGTGTGTATAGTATGTCCCTGCGGGCTTTTTAATGTAAACACTGTCTTTTCAGAGAAAAAGCAGTGCTTACATTATTGCCTAGTAGCACCTCTAGTGGCAGTCACTCAGCCTCTATGGGCTTTGCATGGAGACGCTGAACTTTCACCATAAAGATGCATTGATTCAATGGATCTATTTGAGAAAATGCCGAATTGCACAGATCAGTGTGTTGCTCACATGAACAATAGCCTCCCAATGCGTTCCTATGGGAAAGCATTGGATGGCCTGAGATCATCAACTTTGACTATCTCAGCCATGGAGGTGGAGCCAGTTGAAGAAAGACCGTCGCGGTGTGCTAGAAAAAGTGAGTTTTAATTAACACATTTTTAGAGTGATTGAAGGGGGGTGGGGGGGGACAGAGCAGTTACATAAGTAGTCAGTTTAAGACGATAGTGTCAGGAAGACATGTTTGGGTTCCTGAAGCTATATTGTTCCTTTATTGTGCCGAGTGCAAATCAATAGTTGCATTATGACATCTTGCAGTGAAATACAAAAATATCATCATATCTTGTGCAAGTAATATAACATTGCTCTTCTATTTATTAAAATATTTCCCATATTATCAATCTGTTTAGTAAATGCCACATTGTTACATTAATGCTTTTTCCCATAAGTTTACTTAATTTTCACCTTGCACACATTACTGTCTGTGATTGTGCGTTAAGTAGCTGGCAATCTGTTACAGAGCTCTTCTTAATCCATTGTATTGATATCCACTAGATTCCCCCACTGTGTGCTCAGTGATTGCTAGTTTGTCTGTAGATACCAAACCAATAGCTGTTGTGACCTTTTCAATGTTCTACTTTATTTATTTTTAAATGTATTACTAATTCAGTAGGTGTCAAAACCTAACTCCTTATTATCTGTTAACTAATATTTACTCCCATTCTTCTCTTCGTTAATCAGAGATGAAGAATTTTCTGTGAGCTCTGTCTTGGCATCCGATGTGATACACGCCACACGCAAGGACATTCCATGCATATTTCGAGTAAGCCTTGTACAGAAGTGTTTTCTACTTGAATGATCAATGATGAAATCAAATTAGCAATAAAGTCAGTTTATAAAAGTGTTGAGAAATATTGTCATAACAGGGGAACCATACAATTAAGGATATATGTATGTAGGGGTTAGTGGGGTAGTGGGAATGAACAATTATTGATAAAAGCATAAATACGTCAAATATAATCGTAAAATCCAAATGGGTTAAAGTGGGGAAAAATTGTGATTGAATACCCCTTGCCCCGGAAGTCTGTGGATAGTTAATACAATGTTAAACAAAAATCTGCACATCAGTCAAGCCATAAGACTTGCTTCTTTGTTAAATTAATAAGAATGTGATTGTTTAACTAATTTGCATATACCCACCCAGAATCCTTTGCGGAAGTAACATCACTGCAGATTTGTGATTTCTGTGGGAAAAGCAAGTCTTATGGCTTGACTGGTGTGCAGATTTTTGTTTAACATTGTATTAATTATCAAATATAATATATATGTATATGTTGTACCCAAAATAGCACCCGTTTTTCTTTTTCTAAACCTCTCTGGTTATGAACCCTGGATTAAACAGAAATGAAAGGTACATGTGATAAATGGCAATCACCCATGTCAGATGGTCTGTAGCATTATCTTCAATCACAATTATACAGATAACCAGCCACTCATTTTATTTTTACTGTACCTTTACGGCATAACACCAGTACAGTGTTTTAGCTCTCTGTAGCCTTTCTGAATAAAGGTGCCTTAATACAATCAATGCATGTCTGCCATTCCCTATATGTTGGATATAGATTTCAATGCTGCAGATTTAAAATCCAAGCGTCTGATAGCAGCTTAGGCTTGGTGCAATTATACTTGTGTTTTTTTGCTGTCTAAAGGTTTTCTTATTGGCTGTATAGGTGACAGCCTCTTTTCTAGGTTCGCCTAAGACCACAAGCTCTTTATTGATCCTAACGGAGAATGAAGTTGAGAAGCGGAAGTGGGTTGGTATCTTGGAAGGCCTGCAGTCTATCTTACAAAAGAACAATCTTAAAAACCAGGTGGTGCATTGTCCACAGGAAGCATATGACAGCACCCTGCCCCTTATTAAAGCAGCATCGGCTGCCGCTATTGTAGGTATGAACGTCCTTATCTGATCATCTGTGAACCATCTTTTAATTGCATGTAATATACTGCTGTTTATATTTGTGATCTGTGATCTATTTGTGATCTGATGTTTGTTCAGCATTGTAAACATTCGATTTGTAATTTAATGTGATTAACGATTCACTGTCTTCTCCAACCTAGATAAAGATCGAATAGCTGTTGGCACAGAAGAGGGACTGTATGTAATAGAGGTGACGAGAGATGGTATGTTAACTTTGATTTACTAAGTCGTTTATAAAATAATTTATTGCATCTTGGGAAATAGTATCAAACTTGTAATAGCTGTTTGTTAGAATAATTGTTAATGATTTATGAATAACATGTATTTTGTTAATTGCTTAGTTGACCTGGAAAACCAGAGATTTTCCCAACATCTCTTTTCTGAGCATAAGATGTTTGGTATGTGTTGAGTGATAATTTGGATTCCACGGCAATTGTTACTTGTAGTTCACACTGGCAGCACAGCGGTATAAGTTAGTCTCATACATACCTTCCATTTCTGTGTTTCCTTGCTATGGAGCTTGTGGTGCTCAAATACACAGAATGTAGAGTGCGGTCTTAATCCTTTAGCTCTTTTAAATAAATTACAGACAGTGTAGCTCATGGAGTTGCCTAAAAATTCACTATGATACTGTCAGCTAAATGATGCTCACAGCTACACCACCCTCAAATAATTGTTCCTTGTTCATTTTAAATGTTGGGAGATATGACCATGTTAAAAAAAAAAAAAAAAAGATACAAGGGCAAATAAAACGTGTTAAATGCACTGTCAGTGTATGCAAGCACGTTTTTTTAATATATATATATATATTGTTCTAGCAGTATTAGTGGTATATGTATAACTAGATGCTACAGCCTGTTTAATTGGAAGACTGCCTTTTAATGTGAAGTAGATGTGTAGTAACTGATAACCTGATCTGTTGTTGCAGTCATTGTTCGAGCAGCTGACTGTAAAAAGGTCTACCAGATCGAACTAGTCCCAAAAGAGAAGATTGTTGTTCTTGTGTGTGGTCGTAACCATCACGTTCATCTGTTCCCTTGGACCTTGTTGGATGGCTCGGAGGGCACCTTTGACATCAAGCTACCAGAATCCAAAGGCTGCCAGTTCATTACCACTGGAACCATAAAGAAATCGCCCACTTCTTGCTTGTTTGTGGCTGTCAAAAGGCAGATCCTTTGTTATGAAATCCACAGAACTAAACCATTCCATAAGAAGTTTAATGAGATCTTGGCTCCAGGAAATGTACAGTGGTTGTCTGTATTTAAAGACCGGCTTTGCGTTGGATACCAGTCTGGGTTTTCTCTGTTAAACATTCATGGAGATGGACAAGGCATACATCTTGTAAACTCGAACGATCCCTCCCTTAGCTTCCTGTCCCAGCAGTCCTTCGATGCCCTGTGTGCGGTGGAGATAAGCAACAATGAGTACCTGCTTTGCTTTAGCCAAATGGGAATATATGTGGATTCTCAAGGTCGAAGGTCACGCTTGCAGGAGCTAATGTGGCCCACCACACCAGTTGCATGCAGTATGTATACATGTCTCATCACTGTGCAGACTGTAGTCTCCTGTATTAGAATTTAACACAAATGTTCATGAAACTAATGTTTTATAGGCAAGTCTTTATGCTGTTGGTGTTTTGGTCTGTTTCACTCCTGAAAAATACCAGGGAGGAAAACATTTGCTTTAACAAGCATGTAGTTGTAATGTGCTGTTAAAATGAAAGTTATTTGTAACACGTGGCTGAATGCATAATCCACTGTAAACAATCTAGCACTCAAAGCACCATAACTAGTTCAGCACTCTGTAGTGGTTATGGTGGCTGGAGTGCACTGGCGCCCTCTCATTGTAAATAGTACAATTGTTTGCTGCTCCCTGCTTGCACTTCTTCAGATCACGGTCAGACAACGAGCTATGCTCTCCACTACTGGGCTTAACTCAGACGCCCTCAGCCAATCGGCTAAACCCAAAGGTACTCAGGAAAGCTAATAAAGGTCCTGTTTTGGAGCTCCCAGCTTGCTGTTGGTAGTGGAGGTGGGCCACAGCACTCAGCAGACTCCTGCTAAGAAGTCAGACTGTTCTAAAACAGTGCGTTGTAGTGTTCCTTTAACAATATTACTGGACAGCCTTCTTATGTTGCATGGTTGTACATGCTGGTTTATACTTTCATGGTCCAAATGTGTGATGTAGTCCTTTATTTTTAATTTCTCTGGTGTTTCTATGTAGCTTTAAAAGATCCATAGCTTTTTTTTTTTTTACGTATATATTTTATCAGACGTGCAAAAATTACGTCTGGCTGGTTGGTCCGACTCAAATTTCTTTTAATTCACACCCAAACAAATCAATTAACCCAGGATTATTCATTGAGTAAGACTTCACAGGTAAATACCAGACGGATTGATTTGTTCGGGTGTGGATTCAAAGAATTTCAGTTGGAGGAACCAGCTGGAATTTTTGCACAAATCTAGTTATTATTTTGTAATACAGAATGCAGTTGGTTCTAATTGCATGTTAGTAGGAGAATAAAATAGTGTACGTGGTGTTAGATTGGCAACCCACTGTTCAAATGGAAAATTAGCTCAGAGTATAAAGGAACACAAACTTGCATACCTGACCCTATAGTGTTAAAAACATATGTAGGATCCCTGAACCCCCCCTTAAATAATAAGAAAATCTGTCTTATTTCCAGCGCCATGCTGGTCAGCTGGCGCTGGCCCCGCCCCATCTGCCTCCTTGGCTGGCATAATCAGAAATGACAATCTCAGACAATCACAATGCTTTCTAATAGAAAAGCATTGGATTGACTGAGATTGTCAATTCTGATGATCTCAGCCAAGGGGGCGGGGCTGAACGCCACTCTAGCAAATCACCTTCTCCTCATAGAGATGCATTGAGTCAATGCATCTCTTTAGGGAGCGTTAAGCTTCTCCATGCAGAGACAAAGCATAGTTTATATTTAAAAGGCTGCAGGGACTTGCTATACTCTCCAGAACAACTACATTAAGCTGTAGTTCTGATGACTATAATGTCCCTTTAAGTGAAATATCATTAACGTTAAGGAATTTTTTCAGAACATTATAAGATGATTTATTTCCATTGTCAGAGGGGTCTCTACTGCACAGGAGAAGTCAAAGCTGCTACAGTAAGCAACTTACTGTTTGCATTTGTCCCAGTGTCTATGGATTGTGAGATGGTCGTGTCTCAATCCAGGGGATAAGAGCCTCTGCATACCTGATTATTAAAATTATTTTTAGATCTTTAATTACAGTTCCAAAGGGCATCACTAGAATTTTATTCCTTTAACTCCTTCAGGAACTAGAACACAATAAGAATAATAAGGTGCCTATCCGTGTTCCTGACATGGTTAAAGTAGTATTAAGTGTATAATGTGCAGTTCCATTCACATTCAGGCTGTCATGTGACTGGGTATCCTTGTTCAGCCACATGTTGGAATTAAAGGACCACTATAGGCACCCAGACCACTTCAGCTTAATGAAGTGGTCTGGGTGCCAGGTCCATCTAGAGTTAACCCTGCCTGCTTTAAACATAGCAGTTTCAGAGAAACTGCTATGTTTATAATAGGGTTAATCCAGCCTCTAGTGGCTGTCTCATTGACAGCCGCTAGAGGCACTTCCGTGCTTCTCACTGTGATTTTCACAGTGAGAAGACGCCAGCGTCGATAGGAAAGCATTGTGAATGCTTTCCTATTAGACTGGCTGAATGCGCGCGCGGCTCGTGCCGCGCATGCGCATTCAGCCGAGGAGGAGGAGAGCTCCCAGCCCGGCGCTGGAGAAAGTAGTAAGTTTAACCCCTTCCTCACCCTAGAGCCCGGCGGGAGGAGGACCCTGATGGTGGGGGCACCCTCAGGGCACTATAGTGCCAGGAAAACAAGTGTTTTCCTGGCACTATAGTGGTCCTTTAAATATCCCTTTAACTATTTACAAACCTGAATTGTGGCAATAGATACCTGTTGTCACTGGGAATATCTTGCATCCCTGGTATATCTGCCATTATTTACTGATCACATTACAGCACTAAGCGTTTTTTTTCTGGGCATAAAAGCCGAAATCTCCCTGCAGTTAAACTGAATGAGCAATACTGAAATTACTATTTTTACTGTTTAAAGCAAAGTTTACCTACCCCATAATCAATAAATGCATTGCTCGTCAGTCAGGGTTAAAGCATTGTTAGCTCTGCGTAGGCAGCTGGCACGCTGTGACCGTACTTTGGGTCATCCCTCTCACAATTTCAAAAGCACGTTAACATGTGAATAAGACTTATTTACAGGTTTTTGGTTTTTTCCCTCACAGGTTGTAACTCCTCTTATGTAACCGTGTACAGTGAATATGGTATAGACGTGTTTGACGTGTCCACCATGGAATGGGTTCAGACAATTGGATTACGACGGGTAATTTGAAGACGCCAAAAAAATATATCATAATTCACACATTTTCTGTTGGCTTTTTCAATACTAATTTTTTATTTTTTAACTACAGATTAAGCCATTAAATGTGGATGGTACTCTGAACTTCTTGAATTCTGAGCCGCCTCGTCTTCTTTATTTGAAGAGTTCATATTCAGGTGTGTGTTCTCAGAATGTGCACGGCAATGACAATACTATAGCACAGATAATTTGCAATTTCTCCATCTCCGTTCCGTTTTTTAAGTTATTAGCTTCTACCACTGGCCACGTGGACATTCCGTGTGGCTCTGAGCAGGTGTAGATTCCAAAACATGATGGCTCAAGTTATACTATTAATATCATTCCTCTGAGGAATTTGGACAGAGGCAGATCATTTCCACCAAAATCTATTAAAACAGGACTGTCACATTAAGTATGAATGGGTCCTGTTGTAGTAATAATAATTATATGTTGTCATTTTTCAGAGGGTGCAATGCTCACTGTACCAGAGACATCTGATAACAGCAAAAAACAGATGGTTAGGACCAGGAGTAAGAGGAGATTTGTCTTCAAAGTGCCCGAAGAGGAGCGGTTACTGCAAAGGAGGTAAAACTTTTTTTTTATTTTTTTTTTTTATTGAATTGCATTAATTAGAAGATCATTTTAACAGGTTGAGGTCATTGAGGGTCATTTATTTAGTTTTATGTATTTCTCTTTATAAACAGGATGCTAAGCAAGCCTTCCCTTGCTACCAATTAAAGGGAAAACAATTTACCTCTTTCATTTGCTATTTTATATAGCATCTAAATAATGCACTGTCTATATGCGACAAATAATTCCAAAATACTGAATGGCTAACAACACATTTTGTTTGTTTCAGGGAAATGCTTAGAGATCCTGAACTTAGATCTAGAATGATTTCTAATCCCACCAATTTCAACCACGTTGCCCACATGGGGCCCGGAGATGGGATGCAAGTCCTCATGGATCTTCCACTGGTAAATGGCCTTCTTTAAAACTGGAAAAGATTAAAGACATGTTTGAGCACTGGTTCTAAATGAACTTCTTTCTTTTCTACTATATCCATAGTTACTTGGTCACTGTCCATTTCTCTTCTTTCCTGTAAAAATAACAGAGTGAATTTGCTTCCCTCTCATCCTCCCGCAACTCCGCTTTGATATCACCTCCGGCAAACTTTGAACACGTCTATCATATGAGTTCTGTCTCTGCAGACATCTTCCTTGAAAATGGCCAAGACCTCTCTCTATCCTCCTCTTCCTGTCTTTCTTCCACTGTCTTAGCAAGGGTAGGAATAGCCATTTAAAATGGCTTATTGAATGGTGTGCTGTGGTTTGTTGGAAGCACGGAAACTAATCACATTGCCTTAAAGCTTGTTAACAAAGAGTAACTTTTCTGTAGTGGTTTTGGTTTCTTTCACCATTTTCACAGTATCGTACAGATGTTTGGAGTTCATGTTTTTAAAAGGAATGCAGCGTCACAGATGACGACTTTTGTGCCTTTTTAAAAATTGTGTTATTTAAGATTATCTTGTTCAGGAATCCATGTTTGTCTGTTGACCCATTTCGCCTCTACGAGTCTCGTTTGTGGCCTGCACTTCACCACACATAGAGCCGCAATGTCAGCATCCTTCATTCAGTCAGTCAGGTCCTTTAACAATCTCACTCATTGAGAACAAATTGCTTGAAATGCTGCTCCATAATACTAGACATTATCATTATTTGTATAAATTTGACGTTTTCTCGTTTGTTTTACATTTGTTTTTTTTGGGGGGGGTTTGTGGCAATAAGTTGAATGTAATTACGGGTTGACACCCATAAATACATATTGGAATATCAAAGGAGAGGCGAGTAAGTGGTCTTCAGTGAATAGATCTAATTTGCCAGGTAGTGGAACAGGAGTGCAGCTTGTGGCTGAAGATATGTGATGGTGTTAGAGATAGACAGAGCCAAACCACAGCCGCGTATGCACAGAAAGATTGTCAATACGGTGCTTGTTATAGACCATGCTATCAGGTTACACTATACAGGGCTGCTTATAATGAAAATACCAAACCTTGGACGTCTTAGTAATGTCATATAGCCTTTAGATATAGCCATTTGTATTTCCATGAATACCAAACACCCTTTTAGAGGACATTTCTGTGTGTATGCTATGAACTGGACACCGGAGTCTTAACTAACATTTCAGAGAGAGAAATTGTTTGCTTTTTAGAAAAGAAGGGGGGGGGGGGAAAAAGTTTACTTTTTAAGTATTTACATCAAATGCATGAATGTCATCTGATGCTAAAGTCTCTTAGAATGCAACTAGTATGCAGGGAACTATGGGAACTGATGCCCAATCTGTAAGGCTGCCAGGAAGATGGTGATTATATGTATCTTGCAGTCGGGTGGAATGGGTTTATGACTCCTTTTCCTGCACCCTTCACTGCAGTAAGTGCGTCCGCATTTACTGAGATGAAGAAAAGAGGAACTGCCACCAAAACAGTCAAAGTAATGAAGCATGAGCGTAGCGATATTTTGGGAGAGCTGTCAGGGAGGCTGGGCTGAGGGGCAGAATTTGTTAGATAATAGAATTGTTTGTTTCCAGCATGGTCTCCAGCGGCAGTTTGCTTTAACTCTGTATGTGCAACACAGCACATACAGAGCCCAAGTACCATCACCACTTCAAAACACTACAGTGGTTGGAGAAATTCTTTAAGCATGCCTGCTGCTGTTCATTTTAATTTGGCCCATAATTTAGAGCTAATTTCTCCTATGTCTGCTATGATGTGAAATACCAAGTGTTCGTAGTTATAAGGTTGTGGTTATTCCTGGCAAGGTTCAATACAAGCAGCTGTTTTAACCCTCTCTCTCTCGCTCTCATATAACAAGTTGCATCTTTTTATTTGCAATATTTTTGTTTGTTTATTACTTTTTGTCTCTGTAGTACTTCATCCAAACCTGGTCCTTGTTTCATTTCTAACTTTGTGTGATTGCCTTGTTGCGGAGCATACTGTATTTTTCCAATGTTACTTGTGCAAAATGTTCTATTGAAGATTAGTTTTCAGTTTATGTTTCTCAATATTTTTGGTGTTATGTATTTTAGAATGTCCAGTAACGTCAGCCGTGTGTGTTCTATACATTCTGACTGATGAAACAATTTCTGATTTTCAAGCACGTTGGTTTGTTAAATGCATGTAGTGACAACTTTAGCTTTTATATCGGCTACTAGTGTTCAAATTACTACCACCCACTCAGCGGTGTTGGTATGTGGGATGAAGTAGCTATTTTTGGTATTTTTATGGGGGGTGCATATTTGTTCTCCTGTCGTCATACAAGAAGCTAGAATTTTTCAGCCTGTACAAATATGTGTAGAGCATGTGCACACCACAATGGGCCTTGCTAATTGTGACAGGTTAGATTTGGGGGAGCCAACAGAAGCATCACTAACACATGCTGAACTACATGTGCTCTGCTAAACAGAGGATTATGGGATAAAGCAGCCGTTGCAAACAATGGGAGTACAAACCCCATTTTGTTTTTTTTTGTTTTTTTGGTTGGTAGATGCAGATTAACATTCTAGTCGGAGGGTGGCAAAACTTCAGTGATGGTGGCAAGGCCATCACAATAACCTCCCAGCATGCACTGAATCATGTCATGGTTACATGTGCAATGGTAGGGGAAGACGGTGATTATATTATTTTATCTTTAAATTTGACAGAGGTTTTTGCCAGCACAGCATTTCCCAATCTGTTCCTTTTTGGATCACAGAAAGGTTAATGGAGAGAAAATGGTCCTAGTGACACTTATTTGATTCTTTCATTCGCTGCATATAAACACATTTTGTGTCTGCATTGCCTTGTGAGGGATTATGTGTTCAAGCTAAACCGATTTATTTGTTTAAATTGTTGCCAGATGAGGACCTCCATTTTAATGTAGACACTTACTGGGGGAAAATGCACATTTAAAGACTGCATTCAGCTTATTACAGGAGTTAAAGTGTTTATGGCCGAGTTTCAGGTGACTTCAGGTACACCAGTCCAAAAATCACTGGATTATCAATTAAATATATACCTACCTGAGGACCTTGGCAATCATATTGTGAGTGGAAGAATCTGAATCCTATTAAAGTGGAACCGTAACTTATAGGGTTTTTTTCACAACCAAGTAACTAAACTAAAAATTGACTATGGGGTTGTGTGTTTTTTTGTTTTTTGTTTTTTTTTTTCTTGGGTCTCGTTATATATTTTCTTTGATTACTTCTATATATTTCCATATACTTGGCTGTATCTTGTGGGCACTGCACCGTGAACGGAATGCTTGATCGCGCAAGTGCTTCATGGAAACTTAAATGAACATGTCTTCGTGTGCCCTTATGTGCTCAGAGCATCATGGGCTACTATACACTCTGTACTTCCTTCCACTCTGTTGGAAGAACGATCTGTCTCTGTTGGGAAATGTGATATTTCCCCCTTAAGACTCTTACTGTAACGCTCTGCCTTATGTCTTCATCCGATGACTTTCTAGTGCAGAGGTAGGCAACCTTCGGTACTTCAGATGTTGTGGAATACATGACACATAATGCTGAACCAGCATTATGGCTGTAAAAGCATTGAGAGTTGTAGTCCACAACATCTGACCTACCTCTATTCTAGTGCAATATCAGATTACTGGCTGTCTCCTAATGTGGTCACAGAACAATTTATTTTTCCTGGTAGATGTAAATCTGTGTGCACTCAGCTAATCCAACTTTATCTGATGTTCTTTATAAGGGTCGTTTTAATCTCTCAGGATAGTTTGTTCATCACATATTCAAATTTACTCTCAAAGTTTTGCAGAACTCTAAACTTTTACGGAGAGTAGATTGAAATGCATTGTGCAAAGCCTGCAGTGACTTTATATTCTGGTTTTTTACAGAGCATTGTGCCACCATCTCAGGATGAAATCCCAAAGGAAAGGACACGACCTTCGTCAACCAATCTTGCTCGGCAACAGCAACAAAGGAGTAAACCCTATGTATCTCGGCCCTCTTCAGGTAATTCCAAAAACCAGTGATCTGACTTTCGCTAAGTTTTGTTAACATCAAATGCAGTTTTCTGATTTGAAAAGAACTGTGTAACCATTTTGTGCAAATATTTTATTTTGATTAAATCAGAGTACACACAGTAAGAATATAGACCGTGCATGAGATGTAGAATGACATGTGAATTATGAATTGTTTGTATTTTTTACCCTAAGGTGCTGGTGAATTGTCCTCAAGGATTATTGGCGATGCCGACCAGGACATGGAAAGAGAGGTATGATATCTTCCAAATGTATCTATTAAAGTTATAAAAAAAAAAAAGTTATTAGCTCAGGGTTCTTAAACATTGTTACCCTGCAGTTTTTGGACCCCAGTTCCCCTAATTATGGAAAAGAAGAGTCCAGCACCAGAGGTTGATGTAAGATTTTCTAGAGATTATTTTAAAGGAACAATCCCACCCATATAGCAACTTCCGCTCATAGAACTAGCACATGATGTTTCTCTCATTGGGTGGCCAGTGATAGGCTTTTAACGCATTGGCTCATGCTCTCAGCCTTTCACTATGTGCCTGGCTAATCCTTCCTCATGCCGCGGAGACAGTGGTGTTAGAAAAAGCTGAAGGTAAGTAAGTGGGAGTGTTCCTTCCAACCTCTCTGGCAGCTAAATGATCAGGGTTATTCACGATAGTAAATTTCAAGTTTAAGGCCAGTGAGGCTGACATAGTATTTACGACTTCTGCAACTTTTACCATAAATTTGAAATTCACCTTGAGTAAATGCTTTCACGTTGCTCTTACCTAGAACTTGTGACCCAGGAAAAGACATTTCTGCATGGCAAAGTGTACAAAGCATGCTACACCATGACAATGTAATCTTATTTTATTTACAGCCGGATTCCGATTCCACAAAACATTCCACCCCGTCTAACAGTTCGAACCCAAGTGGTCCACCGAGTCCCAACTCCCCACATAGAAATCAGCTAACATTGGATGGTATGGACCAGTCAGCATGCGATGCATAGCATTCCGCACCGTGGGGACTTCATGTCGCGAGGTCCCACTTCTGACACAGAAGGAGGCATTTGTTCCAGAAGATCGTGCCAAGATAAGAAATCTCTAGTGTTGCACAAATCAACCCCCCATCTTGTAGATACATTTAAAAAAGAAAAAAAAAAAAGGGTTTAATATATGTGATCAAGCTTTTATATGCAAAAGAATTCACTGTTTCTAATATCATTTGTTTGTTTTACACCCGAGTGACAAAATAGGATTTTTCTTTTTGTTTGTTTTTAAATTTTACATCACCCTTCCTGTGATGCTGCTAGCTCTGTGGGAGAGAAAGAGGCTGCTACCGTTACTGCTAAACAGCATCCGATATACAAAGTCTCATTAGGAAAATGACGCAGACTCTTCTAAAGGAAATTTATTACGGAAGAATTTGAGGTCTTGCATAGGACTCTAGCACTGGCTTTATGTGCACAACTGTCTTTTTAACCAAGAGACAATTTATTCTAACCACGGAGCTAACGTATTAAGAGCAAATCTGGGGTAACTTGCAGGATGTGCCAATGGCGTCTATGGTGATTGCTACATACACAAAACACAACCATCCCAGAATTGCTATTTCTACTTGGCTTCCATAGTATTAATTCTCTTTTATACTAGGGTGATTAATCAGCCTGCTTCTCTCCAGCCGCTGATAAACATTTGCTCCCAGTTTCATGTGATCCTGTGAGTTGTGCAAGTATACACAGTTGAAAAGGAAAAAAAGGCTATGTTCGCCTTCGCTATTATAGAATGCATTTTCGCGCAAGAGCTGGTTTGTGCTGCAGCTTTGTGGGTTTTAAAGGTATAAACGTAAATCCGGTCCATTTAAAAAAAATATATAAAATTATTATAGTTGCACAAAGTTTGCAGAAAAACAAAACAAAAGTATTAACAAATCAGTATTTTAACGAAGAACAGACTTTTTCGTAATGATAAAAGGAGGTTAAACTTTTTTTGGTGTCTATCATATAAAAACAGCATCATGGCTGTTGTTTACCCCATTAGCTTTTATCTTTTAATAAAATTGTGAATGTGATATAAACAGTTGATCCTCTATCCTAAATGACTGTGCAGCTCTGTTCTTGAGTATAGCAGGCTAACTACAGTGAATTCAGTTTGTTTAAATGTCCCCTGTAGTTGGGTCTTTACAGTTTTCTAACTTTTTTGGAGTGCAAATTAAGTGCCCCCTGTGAACAAGTCGTGACAGGGGTTTGCATCTGCTCCAATTATGTTAAATTTTAGGAACACAGGGTGTTTAGTTTGAGTACCTGAGGCACAGAGATTGGCGTTCAACGTGTTGCTATGACACTCGGCCAGCCATAAAATCAAACCTTGTGTCATAAGCCATTGCACGTGTACTGCTGTTTTATACCAACCACTGCCATTGTGGTGTATTCATGTCATCTAGACACTTCAATTGTTTAATAAGTTGTCCAAACTGACCTGTGGTTTTAGCCTCCAGCTACCCACCAATACTTTCCCACCTCTGAGTCCGCTATTACCTCTGAACTAATGTACGTAGCCTTTTATTTTCGATTGTCATCAAGAAAACACTACATTTTATTTTATAGAATATCCAATATTTTAGGAAACTTTGGTCACTGTGAAGACACTCTTTATTTATCTAGATGTACTTCAGAAACAAAAGTAAAAGAAAGGAATTTCTATCATCATCATTTGAGCCATCAAAATGTTTTACCACCAAAGTGGTTCTTTAATTCTTTCACTTGCAGAAAAAGCTGAAATTATTATCTGGCCACTCTCGCATCAAAATGGGTTAAACATATGTATATGTGCTGCTTTATAATAAAAAAAAAAAAAAAAAAAGTACGAAAAAACTAACAAAAAATAGTTTTTCCACATTTCTCCGTGGTTGGAAAAGTAACTCTGACAAATTGTATGTACGCTTTGCATGAGAACCACGTGATTTTACCTGTTCGATTATGTAAAAGTAAAATTCTCATTACACATGTATATTTTGTTTCTGTCCATACAACTGTGTGGCTCTGTGTGTATATTTAATCTCACGCTTCCATGTCTTACAGATTTGGATTTTTTTTTTTTATTTGGCTGGCATATCCATTGTCACTAGGGTGCCTTTTTGTGCCAATTACATGACATTTGGATTGTCACTAGCTTAAATTTGGACTTATTGGGCTAATGATGTATACCAATGGCTAACTGTTCCTTTCTGAAACACTGTATAGGACTTGCACTTATTTTTAGTTGAGACAAGTGATATAGTCTTTTTTTTTTTTGTCCCCTTTTTCTGTTGTGTGAGTGCTCTTCAAATTTAATGAAAAGGCTTTGTTGGGACGACACACTACTGCCTATGGGGTTTATGATTTATACGTTTTTTGTTTTGTTTAAAAGTCGTCTCTGTAATTATAAATTGTAAGATTTCTTTTTTTATTTTATTTTAAAAAAAATTTATTAAACAAGTGACCTGTTAATAAGTCAGCAAAGGGCAGTTTTGAAGTTCATTCTGGTCTGTTTTCACAAATTAAAACATTTTACATGAATGCAAAATTGTCCTTTGGTTGCGGTCAAATTATTTCATAAATGTGGATTAAGACTATACATACACATCTCATTTGTGAAATACTGTTCTAGAAAATTAATAAAATGAACACTTGCAACATCTCTACTTTTTTGGAATATTTAAATGACTCCATCAGCTTATATTAATAGGCTACGGTTGGACACCTATACTAGAAACAAACTTTGGAGGGGCACGGTAGGTCACCCTGCTGTTCAAGCCTACAAGATTATACATAATAAAATGGTTAATCGGTTTTGAGCATATGTTTAAATCTACCTGCCTTGGAACTCATTTACAGATCAATTCTTGAACCAGTGATCAAAACATACAAATCAGTGTATGAACATTTGAATGTTGCTAAACAATTTTAATTGATGCCTCCAACAATGGTAAGGGGATCCACGAAGCAAAAATTTCTTCAAATCTGCTAAACGTTTTAAAACAAATGATCTTCATAAGTTCTGTAGCTTTCTATGTTTTGACTTGTGGATAGATAAAGTGTCATCATTCTTGTATTCTACTTCTTGTCCTTTGTTCCATGCACTAGGTAAACTTACAAAATATGGATTTTATCTTTTAGTAATAATTGTTAAAATTACTATGAAGGGAAATTGACAAACCTGTTTTCTTAAACAGGAGCCCATGACCCTTTGCAGGGGGTTAAAAGGTAAGGTTTATTTACCTTACATCACGTGATGTGCTGCTTCCCTGGGTGAGATTATCAATGTTTATGATCGCAGCCATTGTATGTTTTCACATAGGGAGCATTGGGAGGCTGGTGCATATGTGCAGCAAAATGTCATGCTGCACCAATTAAATGTTCTTAATCTGTTCTTTGAGTTATGATCGTTTAACCCTGCTAAACCTGTGGTAGCGCCTATAGTGGATGTCTTCCTGACAGCCACTCGTGACTTGTTAACCTTGCAATGAAAACATTGCTATTCCTGCAAAACGGCAATTATTTCAGTTGAAGGGTTAAAACGACGCGGCACCCAGACTACTTCATTGAGATGGGGTTCTGGGTGCCTCTCTATAAAATAAAAAAAATAGATCCAATTGTAAAAGTACCCACATAGAGCAGGGGTTCCCAACCCAGTCCTCAGGTACTCCCCAGCAGTTCAGGATTTACTGATTACCCTGTTGTGTCTAAAGGGTGCAGGTTGTTTTTTCTTCTTTCTTTCTAAAAACACATTGGACCCAACTGGGTAATCCCTAAATCCTGAACTGCCAGGACGTACTTGAGGACTGGGTTGGGAACCACTGATATAGAGCATCATATTGTAGCCAGTGAATGAGCCCAACAGGAAGTTCATCAACTTCAGTCTTCTCTCGACAGAGAAACCTTGTGAATTGTGTGGTGGTGATTTACTAAAAAGCGAAAATTCAAAGTGAATTTCAAATTTAAGGTCAGAGAAGCCGATCTGATGGTTGACTGAGATTTCTTTTTCCAGGTGAACTATTTGACCTTTATTTTTTAATTCACTTTCTAGTTAAGTAAATATTCCTGAAAGCTCTGAAAATCCCCATAGAAACACATTTCATTAAAGGACCACTCTAGGCACCCAGACCACTTCAGCTTAATGAAGTGGTCTGGGTGCCAAGTCCCTCTAGGATTAACCCCTTTTTTTTTTTTTTTTTTATAAACATAGTTTCAGAGAAACTATGTTTAGAGGCTGGATTGACCCATTTATAAAGCCTCTAGTGGCTGTCTCATTGACAGCCGCTAGAGGCGTTTGTGTGCTTCTCACTGTGAAAATCAGTGAGAAGACACCAGCGTCCATAGGAAAGCATTATGAATGCTTTCCTATGAAACTGGCTGAATGCGTGCGCAGCTCCTGAGGGGCACCCCCAGGGCACTATAGTACCAGGAAAACAAGTGTTTTCCTGGCACTATAGCGGTCCTTTAAAGATGTGCTGACTGCCTGCTGTAGTAATGATGGTGCTAGGGGTGCCATTGTGTCATTCCAAAATAAGGGTGCTTACCTTAATCCAGCGCCAGGCTTCCTCAGCGCTGGTGACCTCTCCTCCCCTGCCATCAGCGGAGCTGCATGCGCATTCAAAGTGTCCATAGGAAAGCATTTTTCAATGCTTTCCTATGGACTCTTTGCGCGATGGAGGCAAAATGTGCCTCCAGCGTAGCAGATGCGCCACTAGAGGCTGGCTTAACCCCAAATGTAAACATAGCAGTTTCTCTGAAAGGTGGGTCCACAGATGTGGTATAACTACAACTCCCATGAAGCTTTGCATGTTTTTAGAATGACAAAGGATCTTGGAAAATGTAATTTTAAAACATCTGGCTTAGAGCATCAGCTGACTGCTCAGCAACGATCCCCGCTGGATGCCGCTGATGGCAACCGTTGGGGTTAAACTGTTTGAGAATGGTTTAATCCATTCAGGTAAGAAGGTGCCCAGGGGAATACTGGCACCATAACACTGTAAACACCAGTAATAACAAATACATTTCAAATGCAATTATGCATAATCAAGAAAGTTGAAAAAAATCAAACTTCCAAACTCACTGACACCCCCCAAAAAAGATTAATTGGGATGCCCGAATAGGCTGTTTAAATTGAGCTGTAGTGGGTATATTGCCTAAATGTCAAATTTCTCTTCACCGTATTAAGATAGCCTTATGGTCTGATTTACTGATGTGGACAACATTTCCCATAATGCCTGGCCTGGCAGCTGTAACTTACGATACCTAACCTGTCTCCCTAAACAATGCATGTTAACCGTTTCAAGAATAGAATGTTGTGAGGACACATTGTAAACCAATCGCTTGTCTATAAGATTTACATTGTATATCTAGCACAAACAGTACTTATTGTGAAATTGCTAGCTGAATAATACCTGAAAATAAAAATGAGTTGATTTTAGTTACTAACCAAGTAATTGATGAGGTCTCAGTCGTCACATTGGGAGGCTTCATATAGAGGATTTGAATACTGAAAACTGCTTTTATCTGGTGTAATCTCTTTTAATACTTCCTCTCCGGAATATAGACCAGAGACATCCTACAAAGAAAAAAAAAAACCAAAACAACTTTCAGCGTAGTTTGTTATACTATCTTTATAGTATCAGTCTACCACTGTATAAACGGACACAAACAGAAATGTGTGCTTGGATGAGCACCAATATATTTAATATTATATATGTAGTGTATTTGGTTAACGCTGGTGTGCTTTTAAATATAATGTGAATTGTAGAAAATTGACAAGGCAATAGCTCCTCACTAACGTAAGAATTTAATGTGAATAACATTTAGGGCTAAAATAGCCAAATTGGGAAAACACACTAATTCAGCTATAATTCCAGTTCGACTATTTAGGTATTAAAGGGACACTATAGTCACCAGAACAACTCCGGCTTATTGAATTTGTTCTGGTGAGTAGAATCATTACCTTCAGGCTTTTTTTCTGTAAACACTGTCTTTTTGGAGAAAATGCAGTGTTTACATTACACCTAGTGATAACTCCTCATATGGCTGATAAAGGTGCTTAGCTTGAATTTGTTGTTTCCAAAAGTGCTCACTATATTGAATAACAATGTTAGTATTTGGAATTATATTTGTAAGTTCTTATTGGATTGTGTGTTCCTGTGCTTGGCACAGGGAAAACAGATCTGGTAAACCGTTTACATGCAGGGTTAAGACTGCTATGTTATGGTGCCAGGAGGCCCTTAGACGCACTTTTACCTCAAAGGGTTAAACTGCTCTCACAGTTTTACCCTAAAGTTGCCTCCAGTGCTGATCCCCAGGTACCCATTTGCGGCACCCGGGTTCTGAAATCTCAGTTGATTGGCTCAGAGCAGTCAGCTGATGCTCTCAGACAAACTTGATAGCCAGTTTTGTGAATGGGAAGTCACTGATTGTCTGAGAGCATCAGCTGACTGCTCTAAGCCAATCCGCAGAGGCACTCCACACATTCTGATACTGAGATTTCACAAGCCGGACGCCGCAAGGATCAGCGCTGGAGGCAACTTTTCAAGAACCGTTTAACCCTTTGAGGTAAGAGTGCACACAGGGGGCTCCTGTCACCATAAGTTCATTTAGATGAAGTTGTTATGGTGACTGGGGTGTTCTTTTTAAAACTCCTCCAAAAGCATATGTGACACAGCTTACATTTCCCATTTGGAGCTATACTGCTAGGCATGACAGAGGGAAAAAAATAAAACCATACATACTGGGGTCTGTGAGACCATGGCATATACTGTACAAAACAATCACCCCTCTCATACACATTAAAATAAAATAACATTAGTTTACCAGTGAGTTCTTACCTGAGATCTGCATCATCTGAGGGCAGAAGCTCTCTGCCTGATCTGTCTATGGTTGGAGGTGCAGGGCTTAGCTTGTTAGCGGAGAACAATTAGCTGACATTCTCAGCCAATAAGCTAGAAGGATAAAGGCAGGCAGCAGAGCCTTAGCACTTGGCCACCATAACTGCTACAGCACACTGGTTATGGTGCAAGAGAGCTGGATATCTAATTGCAAGACCAAAGCAATCAGAGAGGTACTGTGATCCTCAATAAGACCTCAAATGCTTGGATTATTTTCTTTTTGGAAATCGTTAATCTTCCAACTCCCCTAAACATTCAAAGCTGTAAACTTTACCCAAAGATATTTCCAGTTAAATGCTTACCGGAACGTCCTCTGCAATTCCTTCAAATATAGGGTTGGTGAATCCTATGGGCTGTGTGTCAGTTTGCACTTCAAAGTTATTCCTCCTGAATAAGACTATCTGAGAAGGTAATCTACAATCAAACAAAAACATTCTTACACTGATAATATAAACACAGCCATTATTGTGCATCACGGTTTGTTTTCTTGATTACCTTAAAGTTCCTACTCTATGAAGGTAATAGAGACCACCTAGAATAGACAGGAAAATGGCAAGTACTCCGATGACAATCCCCGTGATAATCCCCGCTGTGTTTGGAGCGGATTGACTGCTGGTAGATGTTATTACGGTCGCTTTAGAAATGCCGAATGAAATACCTAAAATTATAAATGAACAACAAAAAAAAAAGAAAACTCAGAACTTAATCATTCTGACTAATTACCTAAATAATAAAAAATTAAAAATAACGCTGACATTTCACCTACATTTTCTAGTTTTGTTCTTCATGGACTTTGGGGGATATGATGTTGGACTTTTAAAGTAATTGTGTGATTCTGTGACTACAGTTAGCAATCTGGTTCTCAATTCAGTGTTTAGTTAATCACATCATTCTAAACAGCATTAATTACCAAATATCTCCTTTAAAAGGACAATGGTCATCACAATATTCACTACTTTAAAAAAAAAAAAAAAAAAGTTTAAAAGTTTATTTAATAAAATGTAATTAAATATATTTTTAAAAGATGTATATTGATGATTTCGTTATATCTGGCAGAGCAGCCATGTTGGATCAGAACCTGCGATTATCGGACCTGCTGCTCAATTTAACTTGTCTGATGCTGTAGGTTCACACACAGCAGTCACAACAGCAGGCAAGTTAGACTCAGCAGCAGTTGGTCAGATAAGCGTAAAAACTGACTGAACATGGCTGCTCAGCCAGATTAAAGTTTTTTTTTTAAATCTATACATCCATTAAAAAAAATAAAAGGTTAATTAAGTTTCTTTAAATGTAAGAAATGTAAAAAGGAATAGGAAAAATAATCATAAGTGAAAATTTGATGCCATTTGTCTTTCAACATCAACTGGCAATTAGCAACTGCCAAAAGTCTGACGCTACACATGTGGAAATGTAAGTATTCCGTGTTCTCATTGTCAAAGATGATTGGCTGAGAATACTGGACTTACCAGCCCAAAGCACCAATCATTGCCGTATTGGATGTTAAACCATATATAAAAAAGGCAGCGATAAAACAATATAATGTGCAACAAACTTGCAGTTTATTAATAACTCTAAAAACTTTGACAATAAAACCAGCAATTTGGATGGAATTATTATAAAGAGACACGGTAGTCATCCAGCAATGTCCTTATCCTTCTAAATTATTATTTTTTCAGAAACCGCAATGGTTACACTATATGTTTCAGTAGGTCAGCCATTAGAGGTGCTTCCACGGCACTGACCAAGTAAAACTCTGTTACATGATACGGAAGCCCCCATAGGAGAGCATTGATTCAATGCTTTCCTATTGGAAAATCTGATTGGACCATAGCGGACATTCGTCCTCCGTGACACAGTGGGAGCATTCGCGCTGTTAAAAGGTAAGTAACACAAGTATCAATATGGGGGTCAACCTCTGGGGATCAAGGACTGTAAGTTCGTTTGAGCAGGGTCCTCTGCAGCCTATCATTCCTGTAAGTTTTTTTTTTTATTGTCCTATTTATAGTTAATTCCTCCCTCTCTTATAATATTGTAAAGCGCTACAAAATATGTTGGCGCTATATAAATGGCAATGTTAAGGAAAGCACTGTTATGTTTTGGTTTTTTTATTAAACCATTGCTAAATTGTTTATCGCTTACTAGGGATTGTCCCAACATACCAAGTAACAAAACCTCTACACTGAAATGTAGTGATTCTGTTGCTTAGAGTATACCTTTAATGATTCTGTTAGCACATCTGTAAAATGTGTGTTTACCTTTAAGTGTCTAGGCATATGCAGTGTTTAAAATGTACTCATACATTACTGAAATTAAATCTGGTTTGCTTACAAAATCCTATTTAAATTATGAACTTGCAAACTATGACAGCGATTTGATTTCAGTTTTGGGGAACGTTCCCTTTGGCAGTTTCCTTTTGTAAGATCAAAGGGAATCGTTGCAAGCCTTTTGTGGCACTGTGCAACCATTAAAAAGGCAGATTTATTCAAATATTGCTTGATGAATATGGAGGTGACAACATGAAACTACATTAAACGTACACTATAACAAATATTATTTTCAAATAATTATTAGTTATAATGTATTTCACAACAAATAATAACAAATAGTCAAACATACTATTCGGGGAAAGAAAGGGACACTTGGAAATAGGAAAGGGGATCCATAGTAGTAAACTTATGGAATATTGTACGAAACATTAGTTATACATCCTTGAACTTAAAAAAATATATATATATTCTATAAGCAGTAAGTTGTTTTTAATATCTTCTTCCCATTTATCACAAATATGTTGAAGGTTTGCAAATAAATGATTATTCTTTCTATAAGACAATTTGTTTGCTTTACTATCTAAAACCATGATCAAAATTTCTTTACGTGTAGGCACATTTTTACACTCCCAGTATCGAGGTAGACATGTTGTAGCTGCCATTAGGATGTGGCCTATTATTATTTTGTCACTTTTTCGCAACAGACTCCGGGAATTCCTTAAATAGTGCTAGTTCTGATATCGAGATACTTATTTCCTTGTCCACTTTAATAATCAAATCATGAATCATTTCCCAATATCTGGCTAATTTTGGACAAAACCGCCATATGTCCTGTATCTCCACAATCCCTCCAACACCGGTCTGAATACGCATTATTCATGTTGTGTAGTCTAGATGGAACCAGGTACCAACGATATAAAAACTTATAATGGTTTTCAAAATGGTCGGTACAGTGCAAAAACCAAACCATTCTTTCAAACTCCGTCTCCCACGACAAGATATGCCTCAACTTGTCTGAAGGTTTAACATTATAAACAGAGTAACTTAGAGAAATGCCTTTTCTTCCTGGATCGTGCAGGAAAACCTTTTCCAGGCTGAAAGTTTTGAGTGTCTTATAATTTTTTTTATGTTTCTGCAATGCTGAATTATTATTTTAGCTTGTTTACAACCACTGAACAGTTAAATTTAGATTCGTCCGGTAAACTGTACTTAAATTTTAATTTATCAAAAAACAGTATGGCATTGCCATGAAAAAAGTTATCTAAATAAGCTATGGAATAAGAATCCCAGAAATCTATGTCTAAAGATGGCACATATTCCTTCAGCAATGTGAGTGGCATTGCTCTATATAAACCTCTGGCATGATTATTATTTCTAAAAATAAGGTCCCAAGCTTTAAACGTTGTTTTGGTTGAAAATAATAACTTGGTAGTTTTAGGTCTCTTTTCCGGGCCTACTCAAAGAGCCTCTGAGTATAAATGGAAAAGTCTTAACCTCCTCCATTTCTATCCATCTTGGTTTATTAATATTGTTATTAAAAACTGACAGTGCGGCATTGGTAGCAAAATAATATTTATGAATATCAGGTACACCAATACCCCCATTGGATTTATTATGTTGCAAAGTAGTTAGTTTGATTCTGCTTGGCTTCTTGTTCCAAATAAACTTCAAAATTGCTGAGTTAATTTTTTTAAAGAATTAACGGGATAGACCGGGGTATGGTCTTAAAATAGTACAACATTTTTGGGAGGACTGTCATCTTAATAGACGCAATCCTACCCAACCACGAGAGCTCCATCTCCTTCTGTAAAACGGGCCATTCCTTGCTCAAATTATAAGTCTGCATTTTTGTTAAATTTTTACATAAGCTAATGCCTAAGTAGTCTATAAAGTCGTTTCTCCAATCATATAAATATAAACTCGTTAGAGCCATAAGATCTAAGTGACTAACGTGAAAGGGAAGAGCCTGTGTTTTAGATTTAAGTTTGTAAAAGGATACCTCTCCAAACTAATGTCTGCAAACAATCCTATCTTGTGTATTGATTCACCAAACCTTATACATTCTATTTCTGGGTTTGGTCTGATGAGCTCGGCCAAGGGTTCAATAGCAAGGACAAATAAAAGTGGGGATAAGGGCACCCCTGTCTGGTTCCAATAGACAGAGAAAAAGTCTCGGACCTGAAACCAGAAGCATTTACATGAGCTGCGGGTTGCTATACAGTGCTGCAATTGCATTTATAAAAGATGAAGGAACATTAAATTTGCTTAGTGTCTTCCACAAGTACCCCCAGTGAATTCTATCGGCCGCCTTATCTGCGTCTAAAAAGATAGAAGCAAAGAAGGCGTCTTAAACGAATTAATGTGTTGAATCAAATTGATAAACCTCCTCGTTCCGTCTGGTGCATGTCCACCCTGTACAAAACCTACTTAATCATTATTGTTAATCAGCGGAATCAATTTAGCCAATCTATTTGCTAACACCTTATAATATATCGTTGAATCATTGTTAATAAGAGAAATAGGTTTGAAATTAGGACACCTATCTGGAGTTTTACCCGGTTTTGGTAAGACAACTATGTGTACACACAAGGACTCCACCGGCATCTTCCCCGGTCTAATAGGAATTAAATAATTTTGCCATATGGGTAATTAAAATTTCAGCAAAAGTTTTATAATATAAGATGGTAAATCCATCAGGACTATCACATTCCAAACTCTCCAATTTTTCTGTAGTTATCAAAGGCAATGTAACCCTATTCATGAACTGATCAATTTTTTCTTCTGTGGGCTGATATATATCCGAATTTGATCTAAAATTGTGTAATTTGCTATAATCTTCAGCGAACAAATTGCCCATTTTTCTTGGGTGAAAAACTTTTCCCCCCCGATCATTAATCAAATAGGCTATTTTGGATTGAGCATATAACACATATTCTACATATCGTTTCATTTTTTTTGTTTAGAGAATACAATCTAACTTATGTCTGATGCACCGGGAACAAAATGGTATTGTACATTAACATCAGAGCTTGAAGCCATGAATATTTACCATTGTTGTTTATTTCGTTTATGATGTCATTGGCCAGACCTATTGCATCACTTCCTGTCGCTGACTCCTCCAAGTTATCTGTTATCATAATCTGAATTTCTGCAGTGAGATCATTTTTCTTCAGTCTAGTCCGTTGATTCTGCACTTTGGAAATTGCCAGTTTAACTCTGGAATATTTTTCCTGTTTATGGAAACATTAATAAAAATACAATAAATGTACAAACTGTAGGTGATGTGTATGGTTCATGAAAAACATGAAATACTGTTTGATAATCGCCAATCCAAGACAAAGCTGGAGAGATTACTAATAGATTTATTATTGAAATATACTCTAGAATGTGACGTTTACTACGGATTGTGCCAAAAGACACAAAGTTTTAACATAATCTCAACACTTAGCTGCAGTTGTTATGTTTGTACAGAAGTCTAATATACTCAATGTCACTTTTATTTATATATTGGCAATCTATATGCTCAATCGACGATATAACAAAACAATGCAGTCTAATGTACTGATAATGCAGGCAGGACATTTTCACATCTAACACTACCATCCAGATTGGATGACATCACACTGGATAATGATGCAATTCAGTTTCCTCCACTTTGACTGAAGAGGACGTGGTCTGGTAGTGGCAGTGAAAGTTCCACCACTACTAAACCGTTAAAAGAAACAAAAAAACAAAAACACACTACAACATAGAGTGGCGTCCACCTGTACAATGAGCCGTGCTGTTATGGTACTTTAACATCTCAGTGAAGCTTCCAGTGCATTTTGCTATGAGCTTGATGGGTACAAAGCGATCAAGGAACCATGCTAATTAAGCCCTATACTGGCTCTAATAGAACTATGGTTTGATAATTTCAACCTGAAGCTGTTTTTATCGAATTGCATTAAAATCTGTTTTACTGCCTATTTTTAGGATTACTCAGCCATAGGTATAATGTCAATCCACCATAGTATTTTGATTTTAACACAATTGTTTCAACGTTGATCTATCATGGTTTTTGTTTTGCTCATTTTGCGCACCTTTATCATTTTATTTCTAAACTTCATTGAACACAGACGCTCACAACATACTAACATACACTGAATCCAGCAGAGTTTTACTTGGGTTTAAATTCTGAGATAATGACCTGCCTTATATAACATCATTATCATTGCGAGAGTAAACTGTGGTTCTCTAAACACATGGTCTGTGGGCTGGAGCAAGGCTGAGAAATGTTAAATATGTTAAAATACGATACTGGGAAGTGGCCACTTGTCACAGATACCCAATAACTTCCTATCCGTAGCAATTTTACCGTCGCACATTTCCTTAATGCTGTGCTTAATCCTCTGTGGTTAAGAAGAAAAGGGAAGTTTCAGAAAATGTGAGTTTGCATTAATCTTACCAGAAATATATATTTTTTTTTATTTCCAAGCGTTTCAGAAGCAGAGCTCAGACCAATCAATCATAGCACTAAGTCCATTGGGACCTGTGGTCCAGAACTTCCATCCTATAACTTTATAAATCCACAAGCAGTATAGTAACACAATCTCTCGTGTTTGTACGGGATTCTTTCTTAATGAATGCAGCATTGCTGTCTTACGGAATACATTCTCATTTACTTATTTTTTTTCATGAAAATAAGTCTACAGATAAACATTCAAAAAAAGATATTAAAGGATCACACAAAGCACCGTAGCCGTTACAGCCCAATGAAGTGGTTTTGGTGGAAGGTGTGTCCTGGCGTAATTTGTTAGAATGGCTTAACAACTTGCGTTGGTCAACTGGGCGCATGCGCCCACACAGTGTGTTCTGCAGGAGAAGGAAGTCGTTTTTACAGAGCGAAGCATCACGTTTCTAATACAGTTTGGCAAATAATTCTGGGAAGGTTTCAGAGCACTCCTGGCACTATAACCACTACAGGAAAAATATCAACTTTTTATTTGTTTATCCCTTTTCTTAACAATGTAAATGGAACAACTGTGCCATTACCTATACCACACCATATACATATAATACTGACAATTATATTCAATGTTCCATTATTATATATTATGAAATATATTCTATTTTAGGCTCCAAAAGAACTTTAGCTACTGAACTAGTTTTAGTGCATAGCTAGGCATCCTTCAGTGCTTCAGATGTTGTGGACTACAGCTCACTTGTTGCTTTTCCTGTCTGTGACTCACAGACTTCATGAAAAAAAAAATTGTTTCTTTTTCAATCAGATTTGATAGCACTGTGTGTTTACTTTAGACATTATTATCTCCTGCTCTGTTAATTGAACTTTATTAATACATGTGAGGCTCCTGCAGAGTCTGGAAGGCTATTAACAGAGCAGGAGATAAATTAAACAAACTGTGCATTAAGGGAACATTAGATCTGACGGGAAAGTGTAGGGAGACTGTGTAGATCACATGCAGAGGAGGTGTAGCTAGGGCTGAATAAACAAAGTGATGTAACTTCTTACATGGCAGAGAATTAAGCAATTAGATCTAGACACCAAAACCAGTCAATTAACCCCTTAAGGACACATGCCATGTGTGACATGTAATGATTCTCTTTTTTTCCAGAAGTTTGGTCCTTAAGGGGTTAAGCTGAAGTTGTTTTGGTGTTTATACTGTCTTTCGAAGATTCATAGGAATGCAAAGAAAGCTATGACCGCTACAAATTATTCCTTGATTGATGCAAAAACAGAAAAGGAAACCATATTGCACTCTTTTCTTTGTTTAGCAGTAAATGGGTAAATAAAATGTTATCATACCAGGTTAAGGTAGGTCTGGACAAGATGAGTGCGATAATCTTCAAAGTTAAATGTAGACATGTGCTCCAGATTTATTATGGCTCCTACAATCAAAAGAGGCAGAAAGATTTGCATCACTTATTACATAATGTAGGCCACCTGCATGCATCATGTAGCTCCTCAGCTGCTGAGGAACTACAGTTCCCATAATCCTATGCTGAAAACTATCTTCACATCTAAGTTATCCCATTTGTACTTTTTAGGATGTCAAGTCATAGTTTTTGCTGTCAGATGTCGCCCCAGATTACCTATATGACATGACTGCTCAGACTCCTGTGATGTCATTGTTGTACGTCACTACAGCCATCAATGGCACTCACCACATATTTGACAGCAACGTCCAGCTGGAAGCAGAGGCAGTGGGCATGGTAGATTGGGACATATCCCCTCCGTACGCTGAAGAGCAGAACAGATTTCTCGAAGCACCTTTAAAAGAAATATAAAAAAATTGTAGTTTGCATGAAAACACGCTGATAAGATTAAAGATCCTGTTTCAGGGATCGAGTGACATTCATTCATTCATTATTTTCTAATAAACAGACAATTCTCACCGCAGTGTTGCCACATTCACAGCCGGTCTGGTCTCCACACGGTGTGTTTGTGATGTGCATCCGGGGAGATCCAGGGAACTGCAGTTTTCCAGTGTTTGACTGAAGGTGATAAGAAAACTCCTCATCAGTGGTAAATGTCTAACGTACAATGAAAAGATGACAAAAAAAACAAACATTCAAAGTTAAACATCAAGCCACGGTGGACAGACTTTGGAGAGCAATTTGACGGCCTATGCAAACATATTGCTCTGAGCAATTAAGAGTTTCTGTTTGTCCAGACATTAATTTTGTGTGAAGTCACCGTTTTCACTTTGATGATATGATGCCTATGTATGGTTACAGGATAAAGGTACAAAGGCATCAGCTGGAAAGGATGTATTGAGCAAATAAAAACCCATTTTTAGGTGTGAGGCTTGAAAGTAATTTATATGCACATACTACGGGGACGGGAGACCCTGCTTGCATTAGTAACTAGGGGCTGGTATTGGAGGGATCTTTCTGTAATTAATGAAGGGGACATATAGCCCCTCAATGCTCCATATGTTCACGCAGCAACAATGCCTACATTACAAGTTACATCTAATAATAATATCAGTGCCTACGTTACAAGTTACATTTAATAATAATATCTGCACAAAGAAAAGCCTCAAAATGGGGAAACAGACCTTCTATGGGCATGTTTCTACATGGAGAAGGCGCACTTACACAAGTTTAATTTAATTAAAAAATGGGTGGAGTTGTACAAGTGATGTAATCATTACGAGAGCCAACAGAATTCATATAATTTTGTTTCCATGGTAACTGCGCCACTTTTTACAGTTTTGCTTCATTTTATTTTGTTAGCATCTACAGAACACATTTATAACTCCACCCCCTCTACCTTCTCAAACGGAGTTAGTGGTTTCCACCTGTCGAAACAAGACTACTGTCGGTTTTGTTTTTCCACGAGTTACAATTGTTAGCAAGTATGTCTCGAATTTGTTCTAATTGTTTGGAAGGCTGCCATTTGATTACCTATCCTCTGAGTTACTGTATATATTTTCTACCTGTGTTGACTTGTCTACGTCTCACAGGTGAGTCATGAAATCAGTCGCGCAAAAACACGCTTTGGGTTTCTGGGTGATGCCGTGCACTGGGACAGTGATTATGGATCTCGTTTCACATACTGTTAACATAACTGTCATTTTTATGGTTTTTTTTTTTAATACTAATTAACTCATTACACGCCAGTGTAACACAGTGTAATAACATTATCAGGATGTTTATGCTCATAAATAAAAATGATTTCACTTAACTACCATGACTGGAGAACATGGGTGTGCCAAGGGCCTGCCCAGTCACCCTAGTGCGAGGTCAAACCATCCTCCTTTGCCCATTTTGGATCTCTATCAGAACATTTTGTCAATATAAATTATGTCATCCTCTCTCCTAAAATAACACACACTTTGTTATCACTAAATAAATAACTGCCGTGTTGTCATATATTTTAATTTAGCATTTTTTACATTTTTATGTTTGCATTAAGTTTAGAAGGTAGGCACACCCCTTGCGCATGCCTATGTTCCCCAGTCATAGATAATTCAGTGAAATTATAGATTTTTATTTATGAGATTGAACATCCAGGGAATAATACACTCCTCATTATTTACGCCCTGCGTATACCGTGCATCCTTATGGTGGAAAAATCGTTTAGAAAAGATATAGGCGAAAGGAGAATTAGTCCGAATAACGGGACTTGAAAATAAGGTGAAAAAAAGTTGGTTTTAGTTTGCAGAAGATGGTGAATAGGAAAGAAATGGAACTGGAGACGGTTATTAACATGTAACTTTTGTTTTGTTTATTGCTAAATATTTAGAAGCAAAGTTATCACTTTGAAATGAATGGAGTTGTATTGTACATTTACAGTATTTCTGAAAGGAGATTTGCAGCAGTGGGTTGTTTCCTCTTTTAGAAGATAACCTGCATCGGAGGCAACAACATTCCACATAAAACTTTTTATGGAAGGGATCCTAGGTAGGTTGTCAAACTGTTTTAAAATAGTTTGACAGATTGCTCCAGGAGGATGCCAGGTCCCTTCTAACACCATAACCAAAGCCTGTACTGTTCATTTAATGATCAACAAGCCCCATATGTTGAATACTGCTCTGACATTCTCTTAATGGAACACTCCAGGCACCATAATAAATTCATTGGAATTAAGTAGTTTTGATGCCAGGAGGTCCCAGGCGACGTCTTACCTCAAGGGGTTAAAACCATTAACAGTTTAAAGGGACTCTCCGGTGCCCGTTTTCCTGCAGTGTCCCTCTTCCTCCCACCCCCATCCAATGTTGCTTAAGGAGTTAAAACCCCATTCAGTGACTTACCTGAATCCAGCACCGATGTCCCTCGGCGCTGGGTCAGGCTCCACCCACGCTCTTCCCCTGCCAACGTCAGCTGGAGGGGGAGACTTATTGCGCATGCGCTGGAGGTCCTCATGCATAGCGTGAGGACGTTCAGCGTCGTTTTAAACACTTTTTGTGTTTTAAGAACCCGGACGTCCCTCTAGGAGGACTTAACACTGCAAGGTAATTATTGCAGTTTATAAAAACTGCAATAATTACACTTGCAGGGTTAAGGGTGATGGAAGTTGGCACCTAGACCACTCCAATGGGCAGAAGTTGTCTGGGTGCCTGGAGGGTCCCTTTAACCTCAAACTTTCTAAGACAGCACCCATTTGCTCTGCTTCAGTCGGGAAGACTCGGACTGGGCGCTGTCAGCCATTGCTCTCATCCTTTCAGTGTCGCAAAGACCTCTTAAAAAAAGTTAATTGGAACAGTGACTGGCCCCCCGAAATGTTAGGGGTTAAACTGTTTGTTAATGTTTTAACCTCTTAAGGTAAGATGGCACCAGTGACCTCCTGGCACCATAACAACTATATTAAAATTATATTTTTAGATATTCATTTGCAGGATGGTGAGCCACTAAATTTCAGCTCTGCAACATATGAGTACACATTGCAAATTAAATGCATGTTATTAGCCTAAAGTAGAAGTAATAGACTATTTTTTTAATTTGTCTTATTGTCTCACTGTTATGGAATGCCCTGTTTGACATTAAGTGCTGCCATTTATTTACAACCAAACCTGCCGTGTACACAAATGTTAATGATATAATGTATAAATTAACCTGATATTCTACTCCCTCTAACGTTCAAAAGCTGGAACTACATTTTAAATTTTCACACTTCATAAACAACCTGTTTTTCGTTCAGTCGGCAGATAGAGAAGGCTCTGCCCTACAAGGAAAAAAACAATCCCTTAGCTTTACATCTATTAAGGGGTTAAGCAGCTGTTTTTAATGCTGAAACAGTTCAGAACCAAGGCTTTTTTGAACAGCATTGTGCTTGAACGCTTGGCAAAAATAACAAAAATGCCTTGGTCACATTGTACCACGATTTCTCTGTTTCTGTTTAAGAGCAACCGTACATATTATCTATCATTTAAAGGAGAAACAGGGCTTTCTTTTGATACCCTATATGTATACATAACACAAAATATTAAAGGGACACCATAGTCACCAGAACAACTACAGCTTATTGCACGGTACACAGCTTATTGTATTTGTTCTGGTGAGTATAGTCAGTCCCTGCAGCAAATACGTCTTTTCAGAGAAAATGCAGTGTTTACATTACAGTCTAGAGATACCACTGGCCACTCCTCGTATGGCTGCTAGAGGTGCTTCCTGGGGCAGTGCTGCACAATGTGCAGTACTGCCATTCAGCGTCTCCTCCCTCTGCATGCAGACACTGAACTTTCCTCATAGAGATACATTGAGTCAATACATCTCTATGAGGAGATGCTGATAGGCCAGGCCTGTGTTTGGCTTGTGCCCCTGATCTGCCTCCTTCACAGTCTCAGCCAATCTTATGGGGACGCATTGTGATTGGCTCAGACCACCACTTCTGATGATGTCTTTCAAGCAGGCAGATCAGGAGCAGAGCCAGCAGCAGCAGACTGGTAAAGGTAAAAGTAGGATTTTAGTATATTTAGGCAGCCTGTGGGGCTAGATGGTGGTTTTAACACTATAGGGTCAGGAATACATGTTTGTGTTTCTGACCCTATAGTGTTCATTTAAATAGGAATAATATATTTTTAAAAATGAAGAATGAGGGGATGGGACAGCTCCTCCCACAAAATAACAAAACACCTTTTTCTTCTCAGTTTACATGTAATAATTTCTACACACCAAGTGTAAAAAACAAACAAAAAAAAAAACGATGTATAGTATATCAATTCATTTTTAGAAGTTCTAAAACAAATACTGCAAGGAGTGAATATACGGTTTTAAAGCTAAAACTTTGCCAAATTTGGCACACTGAGATTACAACTTCAATAATAATCACAGATTCTAAAACTGCTACAAACAGTTTATATTTGTAGAAAGTACATCTTGCAGGTATGTAACAAAGTATTTTGACACTTTTTATTTAACCATTTTTTCACCCCCCCTCAGAAGTTGTATTTTGGGAAAATTTACAGACTACATCTGATACCACTAGGGCAAACACCTCATATTTAAATGGTTAAATCAGGTGAGAAAAAAGACAGTGTTATTTGCTAAAATGAGAATCCAGTCAATTTCAAATTTAAGGCCAGAGGAGCCAAATCGAAAGCATAGCTGACTTAGAAATTGTAGCAGTTTCTGCGATTTTGGCCTTAAATTTTAAATTCATTTTGAAATCTCACTTTAGTGACTAACCGTACTTTAATCTCCAAATTATAAGGATTGAACATTGAAATGTCAACCTGTAGACAAACATGGGCTACTTGCATGGTCACTAGATATAATTCAGTTTCTTCATACCTTTCCAAGTACAGAAATACTTTTCAGGTTAATTGTTGCTTCTGTTGCCATGGCGTTGACTTTGAACGATGTTTCGGGGGAAAAGATAACATCATCGTACTGACACGGGACGCGTTCAGAATCCACCGAAAACAGGGATTTATCATTGTCAGAAAGAGATGAATACCACAACGTAGGGTCAAACCACTGGTATTGATCTGGGTCACGGAAATGGATTTCTGAACCTGTAAAAAAAAAAAGCAACAACTTTGGTTATGTCTACTTCATTTTGTCTGTACGTTTAAAAGCCATTTAGTTTGATAAAGTTTCTAGTCCAGAAGACAGAATTTTCCTGTTTGTCTGGTGGAGGTTGAGAAGGATCCCTAGAGGTCTAGTGAGGGCACATTGTGCTCTGCACCTGGTTATCGTGTGCAGACTGCTTTAAGAGCTCCCTTGTGGTCCGGCACTCTGTCAATGCCACAGAGAGCTGGCTGTGGCTCCTGGGTCATTGAGAAGCGTCCGGGAACCCGGACGAGATCTTAAAGTGGCCTACACCAGATATTGGTTCAGACCACAATGCTCCTTCGAGGTAGTGAGGGGGCACAGAGCCAACTAGAGAGGTCTATTGATCATTCTGCCAGCTTAGGGAGGGCCTCTTTACAGCCAGAGTTAGGAGGCCCCTGTCTGAGCCTGGGCCCTACATGGCCTCCTTAATCTGGCTCTACTCCTAAACAGAGTTTGCAGGTGGGCAGAAAAGAAACACTAAGCTGTGGGGGTTTAAAGGGACAGTTTAGGCACTGTAATCACCATAACAACCTAATCTAAATAAAGTTGTTATGGTGCCAGGAGGCCACCAGGAACACTCTTACCTCAAGGGGTTAAACTGGCTTGGAAAAGGTAAGTTTCTTCCCAGGCCAGTTTTGTGAATGGGGGAGTCACTGATCGGCTTAGTAAATAATAAAATCACAATACATCCTTTAATGCTTTCTTCTAAATGTCAGCCTCTCGTACCATTTGTACACTGTTGCATTTTATATACAATTCTGTACATCGTCCCACACACGGTGAGAGGACATGACTTAATACATGTTTAGCTGTACTGTATTCATTTTATTGTTTTTGTGATACGGATTCCTTCTCTTTCACATTCCATCAATTACAAAAACCTCTAGTAGTTACTAGCCAAAGTCCCCCTAGGTCTAGATTAACGTTTACAGTCTTTGGCGTTCCTGTGTTCTTTGGAACTCAAATACGAGTAGTCCGTTTGCAGCAGCAAGTTTTCTTAAATCATTACTCATTTGAAAAGGAAGCTAAAAGGCCATCCGCTTTAACCCCTTAAGGACACGACATGCGGGACATGTCACGATTCCCTTTTATTCCAGAAGTTTGGCCCTTAAGAAAAACGCACCCTGCTATACCCTATGTAAAGAGTTCAGCATGATGACGTGCTCACCTGGATCACACTCCGGGTCTTCTTTAGAGGAAGCAGAAAATCCAGCACCAGTTGCCAAAATAAACTCTCCATCCCACGGTAAGTTCTATAGAAAGATACCAATCGAGTGTAAGCAAACATCTCTTTAACATTCAGCTGGGTATGCATGTACCCACTCCTTAGCAGTAATAAGGAAACATTAATATATTCCAGATAATGTAATGACTGTGCAAATTATTATTTTATTATGCATATAGCGCCAACAAATTCCGTAGCGCTGTACAATGGGTGGACTAACAGACACATAATTGAGATCAGACCACTGACGTACAGGAACAGAGGGGGTTGAGGACCCTGCTCGATGAGCTTACATGCTAGAGGGAGTGGGGTATAGTGACACAAAGGGTTAAAGTAGGGGAATTAAATAGTTTGTTACCGAAGGGTTTATTGAGTGCTTGGTAGGTCAAATTGCAATGGTTCTGCAGTAAAACAAGCAATCATCATTTCATTTGATTTGAATGGTGATGGAACTTATCGTAGGATCTCTAATGGTTTGAAACATTGTCACGTTACATCCTCCAGCTCAGATTACACTGCGCAGACTGCATTTCCAAGCCTTTCTAAATGACACTTTGCTGTTGAGTTATATGGACCACCAACAGACCATCATTGCTATCAAAGTTGGACACACTATTACAGAAGCCCCCTTCTGCAGTAACCAGGCCGCAGCACAGAGGGCAGACTCCAGGCGCTGGATAACACGCTTGTTTGTTTTGTCAAATGGCTTGAAAACTCATAGCATGCCCCTCACCCACACACACAGACCCCCACCCCCAACACACAATACTTCCAAACATATGTATATATACTACAGAATCCCTCACACACATACTGCACCCTTAAACACATTACATTCCAGACACACACTAGATCCCCTACCCAACTCTGGATCATCTACACACATACACACACTAGGTCCCTATATACACTCTGAATCCTCTACACAGACACACACTTACTAGATCTCCTATATACACTCTGGATCATATATATATATATATAGATATAGATATAGATATATATAGAGAGAGAGAGAGAGAGAGATACACACACACACACACACTGCACCACCTACACACACACATTACATTCCTGACATTCATACTCTGGATCCCCTGTGCACACACTAGATTCCTTGTAAGCAAACACATACTACATTCCCTAAACACACACACTCTACAACCCCTACACACACTACAGCCTGTATGCACACACTCCTTACATCCTCTATACACATACACACACACACACACACTCTCTCTACAGCACCTAGACACACTTTACACCAAAAACTCAACACGACTGAAACCAACCTATTAACACTATACCACACCACAATCAGCTCACTCTACACACACACACACAATACCACAAGACGGCTCCAAACACATGCACAATACACTTTCTTGGCCCTTTTGTCTCCTGGTCCCCCATTTATGGAGACACCAGAGACAAGTTTCAAGGAAACACAGTGTAAGTATGTTATTAAATTTGCTTGCACTGTGCAGAACAAATACAGGGCTTTTTCCTCATGCTAGAGCTCTTCAGTAGAGCTCTACGCATGGTCTGCCCTGGAAGAGCATTGAACCAACATGCTCACTTTGAGAGGGGGCATGGTTGTCAGTGGGCCACTGTGATTAAAAAAATGACTGGGCCGAATTTTTTTTCCCAGTCCGGCCCTGACTAAAGCTATGGTCGAAATGTTTGAGTGATTGGTGTTTTCAATATCTTTTCGTTTAGAATAAAGACAGCCCTTTAATTGTGTTATCCACCATGGTGCCCTCCGAATTTGTTCTCTTGTATGTCTACTGGTTAGAGAGTGTCAATTATCAGGAGTTTCTAAATTGTTTTAGTAGATTATTCAGTCACATATTGTAATCTGGGCATTGCTAAACTGTAACTCAATAATTAGGCTAGTGGGTCACTTGTGTGAACTGAAGGGTAATAAGAGTAGTCCAATTCCTGTTTGTGGTTTATTCCGTAAATTAAGTCTCTTTTCCTTGAAGAGTGGTTGCGTTAATGATTTCTCATAAAATAATGCAGAATTTCTTTCAATTTCAAATTGAAATTCTTAAGCAGGCACTTCCTTTTCTCTGAGTTTCAATCCACGCGTCTATTCTAACATCCCTAAACACATTTCCCAGACAAGATTATTCATCTGATTGAGAGAATTTACCATGGAAATACCTAACTGACTACAGGAAACCGAACGTGATGATAAAATCCTGACGCTGTCTTGTGTTTTTCCATGCTAAAGTGCCTTTTCAAGTAATATTTGTGTTCATTTATAGACTCATTTTTTTAATAAAATAATCATTTTTATTAAAATAAAATTTATGTTAATAAAATAATAAAATAGGATATATTCTGTATTGCTCTCCTCGATGTGCATTCATTCATAAAATGCAAAAATAATTGAAGCAGTACATGCGCGCAAAATGTAGAAGAAAGCAGAGTTGAAAGAAAATAATTCCAAAAGCGGGGCGGAGCCTGACAGCCAAGATGGCCGGTGGCACTTCCTAAGAGCTCCAGCAACAACGGGCACAAGCGAGCCAAAACCGAGCAACATGCTCATATAAGCGGCACAGAGTAACCGGGAACAGACTCAGAACAACATGCTGAATAAAATGGTACTAGTCCGGCACAGGTACACTGCCGAAAAAACGCTACCGGCCATGCGGCCTACTTCTGAGCAAAGCCTGAGGTCCGGGGGAGTCGGCCGCTCTCCTGACACGGGACGAGCTCATAAACAAGAGCCCACTACAGCCCTGCTACCCCCCACCCCCCCTCTGGACCGGTGGGGGACATCCCGGTCCTCGCTGGGGACGATCATCCCCATACTATCGCCTGACCAAGCGACAAAATCTCCAGCCAAACGGGACAAACAAGGCCTAGCTAAGATGGCGGCTCAGACGCAACCTCTGGCCAAACGAATATCTCCTAAGCCACCCATGCACACGTCGGAGTTCGTTAGCCGGCTAAGCACCTACTTCTGGGCGAAGTTCAAAGCCCGAAGACGAATCTACATGCTAGCACTGAGGGAGGCGAAGACGTGGATCCGCCCAGCTACCCGGCGTCTCCTACAGGGGATCCTACCCTGTAACTCCCAAGCGGCTACCCGTTGGAAGCAAAGCCAAAGCTCATCATGGCGGGAACCAGCGCCGGGGCCCTCAGATAACCACACTCTTGATTACAAACCCCAGAGGAGGGCCTGCCGACACACCCGACCAACCTCCCACCAAGCCACTCCACCAACCCTCAATCAGCAAAGTGCAGCCCCGCGAGGGGATGCTCATAAAGCCTGCTGTGTGACTGACCAGGTCACGGCAAAAGCATCTGCAGGTGGAAGAAACCGGTGGATGGCCCTTTTGCAACCCACCGAGGAAGAGACCCCGATGGGGCGCAGGCCCTGCCACGCAGGCAAAAACCACTAGGAAAGGCATCGGGTGAGGCGAACCAGATTGCTACGCTCAGAGGCCCAAGGCCTGAGACCCTGCCAGGGGCACAGGGATCGTTACCTCACTCTGCCGGAGATATAAAACATTTTCGTTGCTACTTCACTATGGACTGTGGACTATGGATAATGCCAGGCTAACACAAAGACAAGCACAGACCATCATGTGCACGGACTCAGCAAGAGACATCTCACAGGTTACCGTAAGACATCTTAGCCCCACGCAGCAGCTGCCATGCTTGTCTGGACGGTCTCTATCACAAACCGATCACGCATAGACTATGATAAAACACCTTACCGACACTAGCGTAGATAATCTAAAACTGTTAAGCGTTTTATTATCCTCACTTGTCTTAGTCACCTCTATTCGATAACATACTAGCCGCAGCGTAGAAAGCCAGAATAACGAATGCATGTCTGATAATCCTGTTTCTGCTTCACTGTGCTTCCAGCCGGGTATATTCCTGTGGAAAAATCACACTGCAGCAGAATAATATTAGGGACGCAAGGGACAAGGGACCTTCAATATTACTCTTACCGTGCCATGATCTGGCGGTTTTATCCTAACCCAGATCCCGCCTAGCAAATAATATGACTCACGGAAATCTCTGTGTATACACACATTATGGAAACACCCAGAACGTAGGTTTAGACCGAAATGTTTTGTTTTCGTTTAGGCTTGTTGCCCATCTACGTTACTCCTTAACTGTAATAACCTGTAAACGCATAGCAAGCGAATGCAAAGTCAGCACTTAGAACTAGCCTGTAGTGCACACTGGAATGTTCATATATACACGATTGGTGACGCCAGCAACTAGTTAATATTCCGAACAAGCCTACTTAAAGCTTGAACACTCTCTCAAGTTGCTTATTTAAGCTGATTGTGTTACTTAACATTGTACTCAAAATAAGTGCAGTTAAACGACAACCTTTATACTTAAAAATTTGGGCACTGTTATTGCATACCCCATTGTTATAATTGTAATGGAACTAGCGTGCGGAATGCCGTTGGGGTACCACACGCATATCTGTTCAACCCATATGCACTGCAAAAATAAAGAATTGAGAAAAAAATAAAAAAAATAAATAATAATTCCAAAACTCGATTTTTCAACTCAAATATATAGTCCTACATTCTACAACTCACTTGTCATTGTTCCATAACTCATTATTTTATGGATAAATCCTTTAATAACGTACAGTAATGAAGAATATATTTCTTATTCAATTTAACATACAGAAAGCACACATTTGTGACAGACCACCCAGTCACCCTGGACTGGTACATTTCCCCAACCACCACCTCCTTCTAAAAAGGACTATAATCCCCACATTAACCTTTCCAGCCCATGCCTCAAAGCCCAGCGACCTTTCCAGTGGACCAGGAGCCGTTACAGACCGGCATGAAAATCAGAGGCACGGCGAGCCTGACCGGGAGCAACCCACAAACCCTCTGGAAATAATGATCGGATTTCGGAGTTGGCGAAGTCTGGTAAAAATTTGTCGAGGGCGCTCCTGGTCCCAGAGTCACCTATCAGAGCGCTATTTGGAGGGGTAATAGAGGGGGTGTTATCAATAAGCTACATGTTATGAGCTATATTCACTGACGGAAACGGAGTCCTTGGCAAGTAAGCCGCCACAACCTTGTTTTATGTCGAAAATCCAAACCTTTAAGACAAAAGTAAGTATTTCGTCTTTAAGGATGATTCTGATGTTGCATTATTTCATGAATCCATAGGTGGCGCTGTTCTCTAGCCTGTCATTTGCTCAAAATCTTTAAGTCTGTTCCCATATGACCAACATTTAAATTACCAAGGAGGTGGTTAAAAAGCATTCCTGGAATGGCAATAAAAATGTGTCTGATGGCATTTTGTGAAATTAAATCAAAATGTTCTCATTTGAGAATCTACCTCTCCAGTTTTTCTCTGATCCCAATTAATGCGATTCTCCAAGCACTATAACAATTAACGCTAATTGCTTAGAATGTGAGGCAAAGAGGTCCACTGTCTCTCTGCAAATGGGGCCAAAATGTATCAAACAAAAAATGGTGCGTTTGGAGGCAAAGTAGTACATTAAGAAAATTACCATTCAAATAAATAAAAAGAGCCAACATTTAGCAGTTATCCCCCATAATAGCAGCTGTATTGGCTTGCTTAGTATGCCCACAACTATCTGATAACGGCAGAGGAGCAGACCCAAACTTGGGCTTCTGTTTGTTCGCTGGTGTCCCACTCACAATTGCCCGAGCAGGCTTGTCCCCTCACCGCGTCACCGAAACATCACCGGTATGCCCTTCATTTGGCCTACCCCACCTCCACTGTTGGAAGGCATATCATAAGGCCCTGCCACTAGCAGGCGTGGGCAAGTCAAAATGGTAAAATAATGCAGTTGATAAAAAACAGCACAGGCTGCAAGGTCAGAATCTATATCCTAAAATCCGTCCAATGACATCAATTAATGTGGGTACTTAGGCTGTCCCTTTAAGGAATTTGGTGTGTTTCAAAGGGCGGATCAGGTTTTGGAATCCTACACTGCAGTGATAGTGACCGTATCTTCCCTGAGCTGAATGATGCTGCTTGGGAGTATAACTGCCACTAATCTTGGGCAGCACCGAGGCCTGTATTTCCTAATACAGAACTAACGAACACCTCCTCTTAAACCCCACACTATCCTAACAAACAACCCCAAGGACAAACCCTCACATACAAATCCTAGCATTAAATTATCATGTAATGTAAAACGATACACAATGGGTAAACATGTATTAAAAAGACATTGTGGGGGCGGGGCCTGACCTTCATGGAAAGAAGTCGCATGTCGGCTGAGCTCCGAGCTGAAAGCGGCAAATAACCTAGCTAACGACTACAAAATAGACGGTGCACCGCCGAAAACTAAGCATACCCCTGCACAACAATATGGGGAAACGATCAAAGAAGCTGAAAGCATCCTCGGACGACGGCACGCGTCGAATAGGAGACATATTCCTGGCGAGGCCTAAAACCAAAATGGCGGCAGCGCCAGACTCCCCAGGCCTATCCTCGGACGAAGACCCACTGGACTCCCCAGATGCCATACCTGAGGCAGATGACCCTTTCTCCGCCGTGCAATTAGGGGACCTGGGGGCTCCCGCAACGAAGGGAGACATCCTGGGCCTTCTGAAACACCTGCGCACATGGTTCCGTACGGATATGGCGCTGCTCCGTGAGGAGGTAACAGCCGTGACGGACAGGGTGAAGGCCACAGAGGAGGATATCACCTCCATGGCACAATGCCAGACAGACGCAACAGAGCGACTACAACAACTCCAAGGCTCACACCAGGCCCTGCAGGCCAGAGTCAATGCGATGGACGACTCTAGGAGACGAATCAACATAAAAGTAAGAGGCATCACAGAAGCTGTCAACGACACGGAGCTACCCCACTTTATTAGGCGCCTCCTGTCGGAGACCCTGCACCCCAAACAGGCGAAGAACCTGCAACTAGATGGAATACTCAGACTCCCCAAGTCCGCAAGGGCTCCAGCAGACGCTCCCCGCGATGTCCTCCTGAGGTTCCAGTCCCTACGCGACAAACAAGCACTGATGGACGCCATCAAGAACAAGAGCCCGCTCAAATTTGAGGGCTCCCAACTAACCTTTCTCCAGGATCTCTGCAGGGCAACGTTGGAGTGGAGACGTTCTATCAGCCAGGTCACCAAGACCCTTCGAGAAGCAGGCATCCAGTACAGATGGGGCCCTTCCCACACACTCGTAGCCACACAGGGCGAGACCACCCGCCGACTCACCTCAGCTGCTGACGCCGACCCATTCCTCCACAGCCTGGGGCTCAACCGGCACAAGCCCGACACTGCCAAACCTGGACATTCCTGGGACATATCCAACATAGTCCCCTTTGTACCTCGCAATGAAGCCGACACAGGATGAGACGCCCCAACCAGACCCGGGCTCACAATACCCCTCTGGTAGAGGGAAGTGCCGAAGGACTGGCAGGCGATAATACCCCTTAATGTTGACATAGTCATAAAGTTAAAATTTTATGTAGGCATGTTCAGTCAAAGCCATCCGGCTACTATAACCTACTAACGTCCCCACACCACTTCTTGCCAGACACACCACCCGACTACCCCCCCCCCACCAACTCAGGGGCCCTAGAGCGATTCAATAGCTACTCCACCCAAACGGGAACGATAAACCAGCTCCCAAATCCAAGCAGCACACCCCCCCTTCACAGCAATAGTCACAGCACACGAACCAGCATGCATCCTCACCAAACATCTATAACACAACGCTGCTATCACGGCACACCAAGAGGGCTACTCTCTAGGTGACACACTCGAAAGCTGCGACAACCTACCTGCTGGAGCACTAGCCCAATAGAACCTAATGCCTGCAGTAGCCCGCACCTTGGGACAATTGACTAGCTAGCTAACTCCCTGCCCCCCCCGCCACACTGACCGGCCATACACTTATATATTGTGCCCCAGTGGCATACCGAATATGTACCGTAACTCCACCTGATAGGGCTAGGAACGCACCGCGCAACACACGGTGAACAAACTAAATCTAACCTATCCAAGGGACAAGACGGATAGCCTGCTCACTTACACATTGGACCACCCACCTCAAAACCACAGTACACTTATAGTACAGTCAGTGTGGACTAACAACAGGGCATAGCTGAGCACACTCCAATCACACCACATATTCTAGCAACTGTAGGCCTAGACTGTTTTTTCTTGTTCTGCAATGTAGTAATTTTAACAAAAATGTGCAGTAATATCACGTGCCATTCATATGTATATTAATGTCTTAATCTGTTTGCCCAAGCTGTTGTGGCACGGCAAGCCTGATTGTCATATTCATGCACAATAAAATAAAGAATTAAAAAAAAAAAAAAGAAGACATTGTAGGCACCCAGGCACAGTGGTCTGAGTACAGTCTCCCTATTGCACTTAGTGCTGCAATGTTAAACATTGAGGTTCCAGAGAATGTTTACATTGCAGCACTAAGTCTGCCTCCAGTGGCTGTCTATCAGACAGCCACTGGAGGTGCTTCCTGGTTTGAAATGGACCTTTAGTTCGGTATCTGACACTAGACATCTTCACACTCTGCATGAGGACCTCCAGCGTCAGATTTTTTCCCATAGAAAATCATTGATTCAATGCTTTCCTATGGGGAGTTCTAATACGGGCACAGCATTTGCTGGGCATGCACTTTAGAGACTGTTCGTCGCGTTACGGGAGAGGAGCAGGAGGAGGAGCTTCGACCCAGCGCCAAGGGATATCGGTGCTGGGATCAGGCAAGTAAATAAAAGGTTTTAATCCTTTATTCACTGGAGCGGGGGGTGCAAGACGGAGGGGGGACACAGGGGGAGCAATAGTGCAATGAATACAGCTTTGTAGGGGAAATAATCCAAAGGTTCTGGAGACATTTGCAGTCCCTCCGAACAGTACCAATTTCAGAGGAGCAGTCCACCTGACCCGATTTTGTTCCCTGGTGTCCTGCATCGTAGGACACCAGGAAAGTGTCATCACGCGGAATGCGCAAGAGAATTATTATAAGTGCTTGCGCTGAGAATGGGCAGTAGGAGAGAGAGATTGTCAAAATGTGCATTGAGAAAAATAATACCATTTGAGAGGTTTTGGTCGGAGACATAAAAATAAAGCACTTTAAAAAGGGTGCAGTTCAAGATTAGTGAGTTACATTGAGAGGCAGCGGATACTTCAGCATTTGTTAGAATGGCAGCTGATACGCCCCTCGGGAGTGTAACTCCTACTATTCTCAGACAGACAAGGATATTATATATCTATTCCTACCTATATACACAGATATCAATGTACTATGAGGTTCCATTCCTACCTATAAACACACAGATATCTATGTACTATGAGGTTCCATTCCTACCTATAAACACATATATATATATATATATATATATATAATCAAGAGTGAAGGGAGCACACTAGGACTGCTTCTGAGTGGCAAAAAATAGTCTTTACTGTATTATAAAATAATACATGTCCTGTGCAAATACAGACAATCGACGTTTCGACCCTCCTGGGGTCTTTATCAAGATATATATATATATATATATATATATACACACACACACATACACACACACACTATGAGGTTCCATTCCTACCTATACACACGATATATTTGTACTATGAGGTTCCATTCCTACCTACACACACACACAGAGATATTTGTACTATGAGGTTACCTCCACTAAGGTAATTACCGTAAACATTTAACAGGTCAGCCTGCAATGGTAAGCACTACAGTGCCAGCTCTGAAAGAGTTAAAAATGAAGCGAACATTCTAAAATTCATCTTGAAACGGCAAAGTGATGTTAACAGAGTCTGGTACCCTTTATATACTGGATGTACACAGGATATATTTAATGCGGACGCGAATGCGAAAAGAACGAGAGTTGCCATGGAAACGTTTTGACAGTGTCAGCATACAGAGAGAGGTTTCAACCATCCCTGCAGTGTGAGGAAGTGGATAAAATACCTTGTTTCCACAATGTGGATCCTATTGACTCAAACAGTAGATGTAAGTTCTGATGCTAAAAAAAGAAATTAGAATCATATAAACAGCTCAGTTACAGTTAGTATCACTTTGGCCAGCTTTCTTTTCCCGTAAAACCATAGATGGTCAGATTTTGGCAAGAATCGTTCGCCAGAATCGTGCGATGATGTTTAGGTTGCTAAATTTAAAGGACAGTCGAATACTTCAAACGGCCAAAAAGGGAGACTTTTCTGCAACAATGTAGACAATAACTTCATGACCCACTGCTCAAGAGTACTACAACATACAGAAAATGTCAAAACATAAATCCTCAATTTAAAGGGACAACATAGTCACTGGATCAACGACAGCTTAATGTAGATCTGGTGTCTATAGTCTGTGCCTGCAGGCTTTTTAATGTAAACACTGCTTTTTCAGAGAAACATTGGTGCCTAGTATAACACTGCTAGGTGCAGTACCTCAGGTGGCCACTAGAGTGCTTCCTAGTCCAGGGCTGCACTGTGTGCAACACCTACATTCAGCATCTCCACAAGCTTTATAGAGATACTGAATGTTCATTTTATTCCAATGATTCAGTGCATCTCTTTGAGGAGTCGCTGATTGGTGCAATAGTCTCCCAATGGTCAAGACTGCTTATCTCAGGGAGCCAAAGCCAGACTGGGCTATTCGCGTTAAGACCGGCGAGGGAGAAAAGGTGTGTAAATTCAACTTTTTCCAGGGCAATCAGAGAGGAACGGTAACCTAAACAGCCACACCAACACTATAGTGTATTCCTGACATCATAGTGTTACCTTAAAGCAGGTACGTCAAATTATGCATTATGGCAATGCGAGTATAATAACACCTACATAAATTGCCATCTATAATTAGCACACATTATTTATGCTTTTATTTTACTTACCTCGGCAATTGCTGACAGACCTAGAAAGCCTGCCTTAACAAAATTAAAATAGAACCCCCTATTCTTTTGATTTATGTAAGAATTCCTTTATCATTTTATAGAATAGATTTTACAAAAAACAAAAAAACAAAGCCCTAAGAGTTAATGTGTATATGTTCTATCTCTCTGATTAGCACAATACATAATACATTTTTCTACCTTATTAACAGAGGACGGTTGGCTCTCTCCCCTGAAGCTTATTTGGCAATCTCTGAAATAGCTCAAAAGGTAATGAGAATTACAAAAAATAAAACTCATTTATTATTGCTAGCAAAATAATGTTGACTCCTGAGCAAACCTATCTGACCTCTAAGTGCGCAAGAGACTCATTAAAGGAGCCTTCCACCCCCCATTCCCCCACAAAACAAAAAAAAAAAACACATGGCCTAGCAATATTCTACATGGGTGCGAAAAATGATTTTGTTTCAGATTGTATAGCTAAAGTCCAACATTGTTATAGCTTTAAAGTACTTTCATTGGTATGGACAAAAGATTACGACTGTTTACTGTGTAACCTGATCTCCAGGACTTCTAGAATACTGGAGAGCTGTGCTTGTCCTTATACTTGTTGGACATTGCCCTGAAGTCGAACAAGTGATGCGGGTTAACTTTTTCAGTACCAGCAAGCACTACATAGCTGGACGACTGGGAATAGTTTATGCAGCCAAATGGGCTGAAAGCCAAGTCCAAAGTATCCTCCATCAAAACAGCCTTTACTGCCCTTCCTTGACACCCTGGTAGATAATGTTTAGCAAAGGTAAATAATTTGGCTTCTGAGAGATCTACAGTGGGACCTCGGTTTACGAATTTAATGCGTTCTCCGGGACGTTTCTTATTGCGAAAAATAAACGGTTTCCCATAGAAATGCATTGAAAACCAATTAATCCGTTCTGGAGGTCAGAAAAAAGTCAAAATGAGCTGGCATGGAAACCAACCCACAATGCAGAACACATGCAAACGACGAAGCTCAGCTCCAAATGCCCCAAAAGGTCCCAAAACCACTGCAAACAATTTCCAGAATGGCTCCAAAACTCGATGCAAAAGCCGCTCCAACACCTCCATAACTCGACGCCACGTGCTACCCACAGACTCCAGCATGCACGGGGCGGTGCTATAAACCTCCCAGGCACAATGCATCCTGGGGAAACTTGCTTTGTATTGCGAAAAAAGTTTGTAAACCAAGGCATTATTTTCAATGGATTTTCATTCGTAAACCGAAAATTATGTTAACCGAGGCATTTGTAAACCGAGGTCCCACTGTACTTGGAAAATGCATGCTGCAAAATTGTTGGTGCTGGGAGACATGCCTATGGATATTTTGTCCGGATGAATGAACTGTATACATTTTCACGTTTATTAACTTTAAAGTGACAGTGCCCAAACAAGAAAAATAATTGTTTAGTAGATATAAACCCTATGAAAATATGTATGGGTGTACTTAGGGATTTTATTTTCAATGGGGATATTTTAACTCCTTAAGGACACATGACATGTGTGACATGTCATGATTCCCTTTTATTCCAGAAGTTTGGTCCTTAAGGGGTTAAAAAACAAGTTGTAAAATTTGCAGTTCTCTTGTCTGCAGCCAATGCAAACCCTCCCCTTCTAGCCCCGCCCAGACTTTCTGTGTCTGTCCAATCACAGACTTCCCAATGCAGCTAATGAGAAGTCATTGCAAGGCAGGTGCTCTGGGCAGTTGCTGCCTCTTGAGTTTAGCTCCACTCAGCTAACCAAACCAGGAAGTAAGAGGACCTGATGTCCGCTTGAAAAGCCAGGTGGTGTTACCAGTTTAATCTGCACGATTTTGAAAATGAAAAGAAAAAAGACACAATCTTAACACATAAAGCTTTTCAGCAAGCTAAAGTGCTTTAGGTTTCTGGAGTGTTCCTTTAAGTTCGAGGTTTTCAGTACAATCCTCCATGGGAGTAGCTTTGTTCTCTATTTCCGAGCACATTTTGACTTATTAAACTGGTCAAGGCGTTCATTTTCTCTATGCTAGGTTTACACAATAGGGGTAGTGGATAATGGCTAAAGGAATGTGGACATTCTGGAGGACTTAAGAGAGTGGCAGTGAAGCCCTTTCATGCTGATGTGGAAAGCCCTATCCCGAGCACGAGAGGCATGGCCTACAGGAAGCCCACTGAAAGGAATTGGAAAGTGCTTAGGTGGACATTAAATACAGTGTGTGTAGAATGTACACAGTGTCCAGTTAAACCTATATGGACGAGAGGTCAGAGAGGAGTCTAAGGAAGAAAGAGTGTAAATTGAGTGGGGTGTGTAAATTGAGGTATTATCCCAACAGCAACCTTCATCCCCAGGTCAAGTGATTGGATTAATATTGGTTGCTGAAACTTGGCTGAAGACTGATACACCAAGCACATTCAGTAAATCAAATAGATATAAATCTCAAAGGATCCTTGAATACATTCAAACGTTCACTCCTATATTACTTATTAACAGCGGCAAAATCGGTAATAGCTGGACATTGGAAAACAAACAAAAGACCCTCTAGAAGGGAATGGTATAAGAAAATAGACAACATTCATAAAATGGAAGAACTTAGAATGTCCGCACTGGGCAAATCAAACCAATACTTGGACACTTGGGAACCTTGGGTGTCATTCCTCAAATCTAAACAGGGTTCATAAAGGGCAGTAGAGGGAGTCAGTAGAGGGGCTGGGAGGAGATAAGTGAAACGAGTATACCAAACTAAAATGAACTCAACATGAGGATGACAGGGAGTCTACATAGTGTAATCAAGCAAGAGACTAGCGAGAAAAAATAGAAGGAAACTAAATCGGTTCTTGCAACTTAGATTAACCCAAGTAATAAACAAAATTAGAGAATGAAAAGTGACAAGACCAGTACAAGAAACTGTTAAATACACCTTTGTTTAGATCCAGTGACGTGTAAAAATGCATAACCTATGTGCTGTTTCTTATGACAAAATTTTATTTTCCATGATGTATGTTACACATTATTCATGTTTTCATCTATCTATTGTTAACCTTCTAAGAAGTTTTACTTGTAAAAGCAAAATAAATTAAAATAAATAAATAAATAAATAAATCTCAAAGCAGAACCAGGCAGGTTCAGCAACACGGATCCCAAAACAGAGATCAGGCAAAAAGGAGGAACGGTCTACTTCAGCAACTGAAAGACGAGAGTGAGTAGAGTAGTGGATTGAGGAATGGGCTGGATCAACAAGTAGAATCTCAATCCGGGATCAGTCAGTGTAGTCAAGGTGGGCAGGAAACCAGACGGAATATCAACATCAAGCATGTCAAACTTGTGGCGCAGGGATTACATTTGCCGCCCGCCTCCCCTGGGGGAAGGAAGGAGCACTGTATTAATTTGGGGAAGGGAGGTAGCTGGCCAGTGTATTAAATTGAGGAAGGGAGAGGGCAGTGTATTAATTTGTGGGGAAGGAGGGGGCAGTGTATTAATTTGTGGGGAAGGAGGGGGCAGTGTATTAATTTGTGGGGAAGGAGGGGGCAGTGTATTAATTTGCTTAGTTATGTCTCCTCTTTTTTTGCCTATTATATCTTGTCTTGTTTTATTTTGTAATCCCAGTTCATGTACAGTCCTGTCCTGCCCCTGTTCTTGTTTTCCTCATGTCTTGTGTAGATGTTCTGGGTTCTGCTTTCTATCCTGCTCTGGTTCTGGGTTCTATTAGTTCTGTCTTGTTTTCATGTTTGGTGACTATCCTAGCCTTGCCTTGTTTCTGTACTGGATACATGTCTGCTGCAGAGCACCCCTATCCAGTTCCTGGGAGGTCTTCATATCAAGCTCCTAGTTCCTGGGATCCGCTGTAGCTGCATCAGGGTTCTGGTATGTGGCCGCGCAAGCGCTGGTGCTCAACGCCAGAGGACGTGTGGTTACCCTGCACCAGGCCCTGATAATCCACTTCCACGCTGGAGACTCCTCAGGCACTCAGGGGTCCCGGTTTCCATACCGCCACTCGTGACAATAACCCTTAGGTCCCCCCTACCCTTAGGGTCCCCCTCCCGCTGGGTTTAAAACCCTTCAGCTACTTACTTAAATCCAGTGCCGGGCTCCCTCGGTGCTGGTGACCCGCTGACGTCCGATCCCGAGTGGAACGGAATGCGCGGCCAGAGCCGCGCGCATTAAAAACGCCCATAGGAAAGCATTTCTCAATGCTTTCCTATGGACGTTCTGCACGCCGAATGCAGTAATTTTGAGTGATTAGCAAGAAAGTCAGATTGGGGCGGGACTAACCTGCATGGCGGCTGGACGCCTTCTGTGAGGGTTCCTCTCCCAGCCACCGACTTTCCTGGGCTTATGGCCTCTCAGAGCCCTAGTTTGGCAGGGTTTGAGACTTACTTTTCTCCTGCCTTGCAGAGTCTATCCTAAAGCGTGTGAATAAGACATGTTACATCGCAATCCAGAGGGCATGGTGAGGCCTATTGCTTATGCTGGACCGAAGAGACAACCACTCTCCTGAGGTGCCAGGCACTGGACCCTCCTGCTGCTCGTTCCCTCCCCCCCCCACTCTGAACTGGCGGTGACCCCCCCCATACTCATACTGAGAGCTATGGCGGTGCTAAGGGTGAGTTCACTAGAATAAGTGCAACACTCCAATAAAAAGACAATGGCCACTTTGATGCATATAAAATGGCGGACGCAACATGTACCTCTGATTTATGCGGAGAAAAGCATGATATTCTGCACAAACTGGACAGACTCTTCGAGTCCTTCTGGGCAAAGCTTAATATCTGACTGAGATCTGCAGCTCCCAGTGACCAAAGTAAAATCTCACCAGAGATTCCATGGTGTTAGGCTGTCTGAAAGGTGGTAGAACCCTCTCTCAACCAGCCCAGACCGACACGACGGCGGTGTAAAAGCTTCATCCTGATGACAGCGATATGTAGTCCGCTGAGGTTCCACAGTCCGCTGACTCTATACTCTACTGCACACTGTGTCTTGAAAGCAGCAGGGGAGACTCTGTTGACCCTGCAGGATCTACCAGCTTGCCACACGGAGATCCAACGCCTCTACATACTCAACATACTACAGGGCTCTGGGGCCTGACACAGGTATCCATAGCGGGAATTTGCTCGGTTTCTGCATTAACTTTTAGCCTATTTAAGGGGCTTTATAGGGGTTATACTCCTTACTAAACTGTTGAAAATCTTTTGCAGTAATTCACTGTTTATTATTCACTTGATTACCACATGGCTATTAGCGTGTCCGGTCTAATGTGCAGGTACCTATATAGCAAATTATAGCAAATTCTTCATTGCCTAAACACTGAAGCCTATAAATGTGCCTACAATTCTCTCCTGATTATGGGACGATATGACCAACGTTAAATATTATCATGTTTTTATTACAAAAAAAAATGATTGGCACTAAGTCCGTACTATGAGCTTTTACCTACTTGTGTTTACATGCTTGGAATAAGTACGTAACCATATCCGCTTGTACTGTGATTTCTCCACTCAATAAAACAAAAACTTTAATTTTAAAGAAAGAAAGACAGATCGAAAAGAAGACTCTCCTGTTAGTGAACCAGGAAGTTGCACATCAAAGAAAGAAGCTATTGAAAGTTTTAACGCCTGGCACAGTTTTGTTATCCACTAAAATAAAATAAGGTTGCATTTAAGCTAGTTATGGTAAGTTGGCATATGTGGGTGCAGTATTCGTGGACTGACAGCTTAATTGGCTGGCTGTATAATGTTTCTAGACCCATAAAGGTGGTGGTTTTTGAACATGAGTGCTCCTGCAAAAAGTAACTAGTTCCAGGAATATTCTATAACAGTAGAGATATAAATATGCAACATTACTATGTCCCTGGTCCCGTTTAAGCTTTTGGGCCACACTTTATTTTAAAAAATAAAAAAAATAAAATGATATTCTAGACTGCTTGTATATGTTTAGGTAAACTAAATTTTCACAATAAAATAGCTAGCGTGATGTGGCACACACAGAGTATCATTCAAAACATTTGTATTCAGCCAGTAGAGCTATTTCCATTCCTTTCGCAGTTTCAATAAAGAAATCAGTAACTTTTTACCTAAAGCATGTGTGTTTTTCTCCCCCTTATACTTGGTAAGGGATTTTCCACATTGGGTTATTTGATAACCCCCTCATTGTTTTTGGAGAATGCCTGTGTGTGAAGTCACCAACAGTTTTTCGTGGCTTGGCATTTTTGTTTCCCAAACGGTTTCAATCAGACTCCTAGGGAATTCCCTCTGAGGGGAGTTATGGAATGACAGGGATAGGCTTTGTTTCCTCAAATTATATATAATTCCAAAGCAGGTCTCAGTTGACAAAACAAATGGTCTACACCTTAAGCAAGTCATGGGTTATTTTGGTAATCTAATGTAAGGGCAATCAGTATATGTATCAGATTGATTAATGAGAGCATGTGATTTTAATCTGCATTACGTAATGTTAAACACAGACGTCTGGGCATGTCACACTACCCACCCCGTTAGTTTGTAGCGAAACACAGGACTGTACATAAAACGCTAAATGTCAAAAGAGAAGCCCATTTCTGTAGAATAACAACATTCATACCAGTTAAAGTTCTTGTGCCCTCCGTGCCAAGGTTGGGCAAAATTTAGATCCCCAGCTTCTCGAGGAGAACTACAAAATTTTATTCTGCTTTGCCAGCCTCCTTTGAGGTCATAAGCAGGAGACGCAGCTTTAGGACTGCAGAGATTTTTGTAAATTGACGCAATTATGAGCAACTGTGCAAGAAGTCAAGTACAGGGGAACTTCTTGTAATGTCTGCTATGAAATTAACATAGACTAAACTTCTATGAGTCGATAGTTTGACTTGTTTTACCCCATTCTTTCATGCTGCTAAATCAATTACCGTAACAGGGAGCGTTTTTACAACCTCAAGCAATGGCTAATTTATTTTAAGAAAAAAAAAAAAAGAACAGAATGCCCAATTGAACTGGATTTAGACAACTGAGTGATGACTACTTTCTACTCCAAGGAAGCAGCACAGTTGTATGGTATAAAAGGTCTCGCTAAGGAGAACTAGAAATATTTTGACAGGTGTTGCCTGTCCACCGTTGGATATAACCTATTCAGTATCACTGCATTCTGTATACATTTTATTTGTAAAGTTTATGTCGTTTTGATTTATCATCTTTAGTTAATTTTTAACTTATAGATAAATTATGGGTTAAATATACTGGTTTTCTACTAGAGAACTTAAAGTACCAAAAAAGCTTTAGATTTTTTAAAGGGACACTATAGTCACCAGAACAACTACAGCTTAATATAGTAGTTCTGGTGAGTATAATAGTTCCCTTCGGGCTTTTCTTCATGCAAATACTGCCTTTTTAGAGAAAAGGCAGTGTCTACATTGCGCCTATGGACACCTCCAAGTGGCTCTCCTTAGATAGCCACTAGAGGTGCTTCCCAGGTCAGTGCTGCCAAAAAAGCAGCCATGCCGTTCAGCATCTCCACGCTCTCCATGGAGACGCTGAATTTTCCTCATACAGATGCATTTCCCTATGTGAAAGCATTAGATTGGCTAGAAATCGTAACTTTTTATGATGTCACAAGGGGGCGGAGCCAGAGTCGACAGACCCGCGTGGCGCTGGAAATAAGGTGAGATTTAAACTTTTATGGGGGGGCAAGCCACCTAAATAGTGGGTTAAACACTATAGGGACAGAAATACAGGTTTGTGTTCCTGACCCTATAGTGATCCTTTAAGTGTTTTTGGTGTACAGACCATGCCCCTGCAATGTCACTGCTCAATTTTCACACAGCCTCTCTACACACTTCCTGAAAAAGAGGTCTGATGTTTAAAATACCCTTATTGCAATAGGTTTTGTTTTGATCAAAACTTGTACAACAGCCTCAGTTCTTAAGGGGTTAAGTGACTAAATAAATTTAACCCCTGATGGTAAAAAAAATAAAAAAAATAACAGTTAACCCTCTTTAAGAAAAAAAAAATCAGATCATATTGAAATACTGTGATCTGTATTTTGATCACGGCAGACAGTGATCAAAAGGGCAGGGAAGGGGTTACATTTTATTTGAAAGAGGTGAGGTGGGGTGAGATTTTATTACTAACACTTTTTTTTTTTTACAGCCAGAGACAGATCAGCAGTGATCGGTCTCTCTGCACTTCACAGCTCACATGGAGGTGCAGGGAGGCAGATTGGGTTTCACTGCAGCACGTGTGATTGCTCTGACTCCTGGTCAGAGCGATCACAGCGGCTGAATCGGCGAGATTGCTTACAGCAGTGTGCCACAGACACGGGGGCACACTGCAAGAACATTAACCCCACGATTGCGGAAATCTAGGCTTAATTTTATTATTGGCCGGAAATTTTCCATCATGCGTCTTTAAGGGGTACAAATGCCTGCAGGGACATGTGATACTCACCAGAACAACTACAATAAGCTGTAGTTATTCTAGTGCCTATAGTGTCCTATTAACAAGAGATATAAACTTCTAAAGTAAACACACTGTGCTGTAAGAGATGTTTGAAAACAAAACCATTGTTTTCAAGTAGGCAGTGTAAGTAACAGCCTGGGGAGGTGTGGCTATCTTAATAAACAAAGTGATTTAACTCCTCAAGCGATGTTCTAAATATCTACATGCTGTTGTAGGTTAAAAGGTTTCCTTCCTGCTAGAGTGACAGTTTCATTTATCAAGATTTGTGTTTCTTTTCCTGACAATGTATGCTTTTATCGTTCTCCCCACCGCGCCTCCTTGGGGAGTATATTTTTACTATACATGTTTGCTCCACACCTGATTCACAATGTTTACTGTACTCTCTTTTACAGGGTGTGTTTTCTTACTAAGGTACTTTAAAAAAATAAAAAAAAATTAAACAAATAAATAAATCTCAAAATAAACACTAATTTGTGAAATAAATTAATTGGAAAAAAACCCTTACCATCTCTGCCAAGGAGTGGGCTGATTGTACATAGATTGAAACTCTCTGTAAAAAAAATAAAATGAAATAAGGTATTAATAAGGTGTAAAGACGATATAATCATTTGTTGCACGAAGGAGAATAACCATATATTAGCGATCACACAGAGCCATTCCTAAAAAGTGTTACGATTGTGTTATTCTGTGTACTTAGTCATATAAAATAATAAGTGAACTAAACAAGGTCTGACATTGGGATTGTTGTGAAAATATTTGTGGTTACAACATTTTATTTTAACGTAGAAATCTACAGTTTTTCAGTAATCAAACCGTGCTCGGCAGCACAGCTCAAAGTATGAAAATCAAATGTAAATGTATCCAAACTGTGAACGACTTCTTCAATCGTCAGGTTCTAAAATGGTCTGACTACAGTGCCCTCCTCGCACCATAACAGCACACTGTAGTGGTTATGGTGTGTTATGGAGTGTTCTTATAAGCTGCATGGCCAAGTCTTAGTTGTTTATTGCTGCTATGAGATCAAGGAGTGGAAATCCCTTAATAAATCACCTGGAACACCTGTTACACTTGAGGACTCAGGTGTGTTCCCAGCAACGGTTAAAGATTCCCCATTGACAGCTTGTAATACCTGGCCACTTGGGAAAATCACTTTATCCTGAGAGCAGGGGACTCTCCTTTCATTCCAGTTTGAAGCATTCTCAAAATTCGTATTAGGAATCCATTTTTTATAGGCAGCGTCGGTCAAGGCAACTGAAAGAGGAAAAAACAAACAAACAAAAAAATAATCGAGAGGCTACTGTAACCGTTGGTGTTCTATACATGGACGGAGATGCTATAAAGTTACCACTAGTACAAAATAAATACATAATAAATGGAACTCTTAATAGAACAAACACAATGCCATTAATATGTCCAGTATTTACTTAATAAGATTAGCAACACTGTGTAATAATGCCGGGGTGTATAAACAGTAGTGTTTTGTAAAATGCTGCTGCTTAAAGGGACACTATAGTCACCAGAACAACCTCAGCTCAATGTAGTAGTTCTGGTGAGTATAGTCAGTCCCTGCAGGCTTTTTAATGTAAATGCTGCCTTTTCAGGGAAAAGGCAGTGTTTACATTACTGCCTAGTAACACCTCTAGTGGCAGTCACTCAGACGGCTACTAGAGGTGCTTCCTGGGTCAGTCCTTCACAGTGTGCATGGAAACGCTAAACTCTTACCATAGAGATGCACTGATTACAAAATCTAATGCTTACATGGAGGTCACCATGCAAGTGGGACCAGTGTGGCAATCTTCCAAATAAATGGTGAAAATGCTGCAGCACCCTCATGATACTACATGACATAACTCATTTGGTATGTGCACCCTAGAGGTTACAACTCGCAGTGTACAACTTTGGTGTCCAGGTTACCTGAAAATGACTATGCATCATCATATTAAATAATGAATACTTATAACTGGCCAGTTAGGCCAGTCAAACGATTTTGGAGCGGTTTTACCGGGACCAGGGGTCCCCAAGGCAGGTGCAGCCCAGCTCCCTGCTCACCAGTTGCTAGCAATTTCATCAGTATGTGCATGGCATTGATTGCATGAAAGTGTCTACTGACCCACTCAAACAATCTTTGCCGTTCGACGGTCAACCAAAAAGGCTCGCAAATGGTTTGGCCCAGGATTAGCAAAAAGCACCCACACCCTAACAGCTTTAAAACTGCTGCACTACGCATGCACATTAAAAGAAAAACGGTCAAATCTTTGGTTAAATAGAATATTAATCTGTTGGAAATATTGCTTTAAGAGGAATTGTGTAACGGGAGCGCGACTGTAAAACACCAAAACAGATTTATTATAGGTCAGAGTTCACATATTTTTGAGAGTATTTTAGGGCACCTTAATGACTGATTGGCTCCTCCGTGCACACACTATCCTTGCACTCACCACTAGACCCCAAGCATAAAAAAAAAAACAGGTACATCTCATAAAAGGAGATATGCTCATAATTCAGAAATGCATTCCATGCAATTTACTAGGTTAGCAAACATTTAGATAAAAATGGTGAATCCAGCCACCTCACATATAAGTGAAGTTCAGGTGGAGGTCTGGTAAATTCACGTTCTAGAAACATGCGCCAATGTAACTTGCATGCGACAGGATGAGATTAAAAGAAGCAGCTCTTCAAACATCACCAATCAAATTCCTTCAGAAGGTTATGGGAGAGCGACACATTCACCAAAATAGAATGTTTACACATTACGCTTATTGTATACCTGACCAGTGTGAACATAAGTGAACAGAAAGCAACAGTAGCAACATTACAAGTGTGGTATTGAGAGGTAATATGAAATTGGCACACAGGGAGAGGAGACAGGAGAATGACGGGGTTCCTCCTTGGGGACGAAGCTAGAGATAGGGAGAAAAGCTGCTAGGTCACACAAGAATAAGCAGAAGAAGGGAAATGGAGCAAGGTTCGAGGACTATACACCTACAAAGTCTGAGTCTAATTTCGCTTACAATGAAAAGGTTACCATGGCAAAGAATGGAAAATGAAGCAATCAATGAGGCACAGAGAAGATGAAACAGGGGACATGGTTTGGAACTGAATCAAGATGGCTGTTTAGGCTTGGAGCTCATTCCAGCCTGGAGAAAAAACCAGCATCAAAGAAGCAACAGTGGGACCATGACAGGTACCAAGCTGAAGAGGGCACAATTCAAAACGAATATATACATTCATTCATTCCGACCGCCTACATTTAATTTCGGCTGGTGCTGTGCCCGGATCCATGACGCTGAGGCAGGAAGAGCAGGCCACAGAGGCACCAATTACTGTTACAGTACTACTGAACTCAGAGGCCTTTACAGAAAAGATGAAGACAATACTGCAAGATATCCATATGGATATTCAGTCTTATGTCAACCACCACATCGGAAATTTCTGCCACAATTCACAAAACTGGTGAACACACAGACAAGCTAGAGGTCAAGATGGACGACATAATAGAGTCACATAACGCATCAGTGGGTACACATAGGACTCAGAAGATAGGTCACAAGCAATAATATCATGATTAGGGGCATCCCAGATACCATAACTCCTTTGGAGTTGGGAATTTATAGAATGATATTATTTTAAAGAATATGTGTCACACCTACTGGCTAAGTTTCATATGTCACAGTTTATAAGCGATAGGATTCACTAACTGCCTAAAGTTAGTGCACCTCCTAATTTACCACAAGACACTATACTGAGGATGCGCTTCTTCATTTACAAAACAAATTTACTGTGAACAGCAAGAACCCCTCCAAAACTCTCAAATCAGATTTGCGGACATACAGCTCTACCCGGTTTTCTCACCATTCATGATGCAGTGGAAGAGAAATCTCCTACCGGTGCGCACAATTCTCAGGTTTAACCTTATACTATACCGTTGGGGATAACCTAGTTGACAATAAGTGGGGCAAAAAGTTACTACACCAATGGGGCTGTGACGGTAGTCACCATCACTGAGAGTATATAAACTCTGCCCTGCTCTCTCGCAGCTATTTTAGTAACTGTTGGCCTCCATTTTCCCCAGAGTTGCTTCACCTTGGGCATGGATTAAAGGTGACTGGGTTTGCTGTTGGGGGTTATGGAACCATAACCACTACAAGGGCCAGTGTCCTAAAGCTAGGATTTGCACAAGTTGGACATTATACAGTGGTATAGACCAATTTCCAGAATACAATGAAACTCAAACTGTAGCAAAAAAAGCCCGACAAGAAAACTTAAAAAAAAAACAAAAAACCCTTTAATGTGGAACAACACTACAAAATACATCCGAGACTGCTAGAGTTATAACAATGTAAGGATTTAGATTAAACCCTAGGGAACTAAATTAATAACTCAAACTTGCAAAATGGAGCCACTTCGACGGAGTTTCACTGTGACTTTATCCAGATGCTTTCATAGATATTCCACCAAGGTAGTCTCCATTTTGGTAAGTAACGGTTAATTAATAAACAAATGGGGCGAGTGTAATTACAGCTATTATTATTATATTGTATCTGATCTCTCTTTATTTCAGCCCGTTCTGAAACGGTAAAATGATATTTATTCCGCGAGCAGCATTAACACTTCCTTACTTTCGAAATCTATTTTTACTTCCCAGCCTGACTCACTGCAGACGAATATCCTGACGCAGTGATATCTCATGGTTCTTTTCAAAAGACAAACCAGTCAAGTTACCAACATGGGGAATTCGTGTTCTAAGCACTTCCTTACATTCTCCCAATAGTCAGTGATTCATATTTTTGCAGACTGGCATTCTGTTACATGTATTCTGCACAAAATTCAGACAATGACATTCTAAATGTAGCAATGTTACTGACAGCTTGCTACGGGCGATTCTAAAACAGGTTCAGCATGGGAGTTCTGGACAAGACCAGGATTTATCGCGTCTGTGAAGTATATATATATATATTTCTATCCTATCGTTAACAGCTCAGTTATTCGCTTGTTACTTGGATTAAGATATTTAACCCCTTAAGGACACATGAAACGTGTGACATGTCATGGTTTCCCTCTATTTCAGAAGTTTGGTCCTTAAGAGGTTAAAGAAATGTGTTAATAAAGATGTTTGTAGCGGAGAGCTGGTCTCCCACAGCCTATTTCCGCTGGTATCCTAGAATAGCTCAGGAACAAGTAGTAAATCCAATAGAGTAGCAGGCACAATCAGCGATATAATCCGAGAATATCCCATCACTTTTCCCAATAACTGGACGACACACAATATCAGGAGCAGAACTGATCTTTTATGCAATCCTCTCATGCAAGGGAGACACCCACCATAATTATTACAATAACCAAATCGGGTACAAGGTACAACTCACACATCTCCTCCCCTCAGATAAACATTTAACATAATTAAAAAGGTACACAATTTTTCCCAAGTTCTAGATGTACCCCAAATACATAAGGTACACCCCTATGGTATCCCCTGATAGCCCTGATCTGGGTGAGCAACATACTCAAAAATCACCCAGATCGGACCAGGGGTTCGGAAGTTATGGAGGTCTAAAGTTTTGACCTACCGCACAGGCAACAGTAGCCGAAAACAGTTCCATGAGTTTTGGCCTTGCGGTCGGTCTCTTTTTTGTGGCTAAAAAGTCCCGAACTCAATGCCATCCAGAGTTGTGTTTGCATTGGGATGAATCCCCTTGTTCGTGGGATTCAAACTACCGAATGGCCTGAGTTTCTATCAGTCTCTTCCACAGCTCTGCAGGTCTCAGCGGTGTTCGCTTAGTCGAGTGTCCGATTTTATTTCCAGACACTTGATGGCAAAACACCGCTGTTCGGGAGTTTAAGATGGCCGCCGCCACGTGTTCTGCTCCCTAAATGGCGGCCACCCAGGGACTTTAACAACAAGTTTGTGCTTTTCAATGGGGAATTCAATGAAGCGAACAGGGAGGTTAATTGAAGTCACACTTATGCGGCCCGGTGTTCGGTAGTTTGTGTTCGTATGGTGAATAACGTATTTCAGTACAGTTTATGGGAACAATTAGACAAACGTTTTAATTCGCACGAAAGACTATGGGGAAAACAATGGAAGTGAAATATGCTGGACAGCCAGGTGGATTTTGCTACAATGTTATTAATAAAACATGAGTATATATGCATAATAATAATAATATTTGGTATAACCACCACAACCATGCTGAAGTGGCTATGGTTCCAGGAGTCTCATGGCGCCATCCTATGCCAAGTAGTTAAACGGACACTCTGGTCCAGCCTCTTTTTCTCAGATGAGTGAAGTCAATCTAACCTGTTTTTTAGACTCTCAATGAACCAGGTTGACTGCTCACTCTGAGATGGCAGTCAAAGTTATGGGGCCTAGACTGAACCTTTAAGATTCTATACAACCCTTTATTTTATATTATTAATGTAGCTACAACCACCCATCCTACAGTGCAGATAGCGACTGCCTACATATGTACATCGTACAGATAATGGAGTCGTAAGTCAAGAATCAGATAATATATTATAAAGAGCGCAATAAATGCAATGCAGTACTTTTCAATGGCAGACCTTTTAGGAAATGTTTTTTTCTAACTAGATTTATAGTGATCTGAAATCTGAATTTAAGCTAAAACAGACAAAACCTTAAGCTAAACTAACCAACTATGACTATAACTACGAATTGTTAAAAATCATCACTTTTTACCCAAATTAAGGGTTTTCAATGCACAACAATAGAACGTTCAGTTAACCTTCTAAATGCACCTTGAGGCTGATGGTAGCGTGATATATGAAATCATGAAAGACCAGGGACTGTCCCTTCAGCAGATTCGGATGCAAATGAGATTATTAATGCTCGTAACTGCAATTTGATTAGATTATTTTGGTTTTTTTAAAGTTAGGTTTGTGCCACACCTAACATTCATCGGTTTCCGCAAACTTTTTTTTTTATAAATAGTATTTAGCACAAAATATTTACAGTAACTGTTACCCAGTTCTTCATTTTAGGCAGGACCGTGTGAAACTGGCAGCCTATTAAGTCACCCAGGCAAATTGATAGGAAGTTTGGCTTGAGAATATAAGGGTAGCAAGAAAAGGCACAGGGCGATCGTTTGTGGGAACTCTTAATAATGAATCAGTGCCTCCAAGATATTCCTCAGTATTGCTCATCACTAAACTAACACTCACTATATTCATAAAGAAGGACCAATAAACCTGCAAATAACAGAACTGGTTTAACCCTGTGACTGCCAGATGTGTTTTTTACATAAAATGACAAAAAATAATATTAATATAGAAGGTCTCTTTTTAACTGATACAACATTTCACCACACAGTAAATCATTTTAAAAGTGGCACTGTCACTATCTGGGGACTTTGCCAAATTCGCAAAGACCCCCGATGGGGACATCGCCGCTGGGGTCCTGTGCCAGGAGGGGGAAAGAGAGAGGGGGGTGGGGTACAGATAAAGTTGAGATTTACTGATCTGAACCTGTTCCTTACTGGTGCTGCTATCTAGCTCTGTCTGCTCCTCTTCAGCCCCTGCGCATGCACGTAAGTAAAAAATTGCTGTCTACGGAGGATTCTGCTAGACCGGCTGTCAGAATTTACACTCCGCCCTGAGTCTAGGAAAGTCAGGCAGAGGTAATATACAGAGTCAAAGTAGTCCCTAATTAATCTCTGCACATCTCTTAACTGGGTTGGAATTTCAGTGAAATTCAAACACAGTTAAAACGAGTATTTGATAAAGAGGTTATCTTCATGAAATACCAATTTTCCAGAAGGGAGGAGGAGATGGGGTTACAGTGCTGTTTTAATATACCCCCTCTGAAACCAAGTGTAGCTTACAGAATGATTGTATGCCTGTTTTCTATTTCCCAGCCCAGCAGAGTCTGCACCATGGCTGGCCAAGGCCTTGTATCTGTAGTTGAGACATCTCATTTTCTTATTTTCAATCTTCAGATGGACAGAGTCTACATGCAAGAGTGAGGGCCCATCCATGGTTCATGGAAGATATCACACATTCTTAATTCATACTAAAGCAAATGAGATCATAATCCAGACAAGGCAAGACCAGGGCACACAATGCAAAATATGAGGAGCAATAGAAACATTGTTTCATTCCTCCCTATGCTTTCTATATGCTGACTGTTCGGTTCAAAGGTGTCAGGATTACAGTATGATCCAGCACGTAGAATTGTGTAACACAGAGGACTGATAGGTAACGTGTACCGGACCTTAGAATGGCCGGACTAACGTACCAAAGAATAGTCAGGAATAGCCGAGGTCAAGGGAAACAGAAGGAGACACAACGATAAGAGAAAGCCAGGAGTCAGGGATGCCAGAAAACAGGGAAGTCAAAAACAATGCCAAAGTCAAATAACCAGAATCAATAACGTGCTCTCGGACAACCACAAGGGAAACCATGGCAGGGCACTGAGCAGGATGACACCTGGGCCTAAATACCCCTCCTCTAGATCTGATAGGTTGTAACCGGCCTTTGACCCCAAAGGCAGTTACCAGGTTCCCATTTGCATAATTGCTGCTTAGCACAAACCCTGCTGTGGATTTGATTTCTGCTCGGCACAACTTTTCCTGTGTGGACAGTAAATTCCATTAATCACATTTTTATAAGTGGATGAATACGTGACAAAATGACAGTGAGCTAAAATGGAGGCGCCCAGTTGTAGGATGAACAGACTTCTACTTTTTATTTTATTTTTTACACTTCACTAATACGCATTTGTTCAATACAGGGATACACATTAAAGTGACAGTTCCCCTTTAATATACAACTACATGAAGGATTGATGGGTTTCTCATTTTTCAGGGACCGTCTATAACGTACATCACTCTTCTCATGAGCAACCCCCATGCCCAATTAATGCCCACACTCCGGGACAGGCTTCTGATTGGTACACATTCCTTTTAAAGTCACCATTATCACAATTTCAATACATTTTAATTTAAGACTTGAATGTCAAACACTTGATTCTAATACATTTTTTCATTATACTTATACCTGTCATCTGACTTGGATTATTGGAAACAGTCCTACTACCAACAGGAACTCAAATTTGAACTTTAAAGCCTTCCTATATAGTGTGAGAGGTGTTAGGAAGCGCACCCCATTGCAGTAAACCTTATTATTTCCCAAGAGACTCGGTCTGATCCTAAGCTATCAGAGAATTAGGAGATTTCCAGTTCAACATAATGGTTAGAGCCAAAAGTTAACAATCACAGCCGTATAATCGTTATAGACCTCACCATGGTATATGTTGGAGCTTTATTAATGAAATCTGAATGTTGTGTTTTCTGCTCAGTAAACAATTTTTATTAACGTTATTTTATGCTAAACTCTGAATCGTAGTGACCAGAAAGTCAAACGGCAAATTTAAGGCTAAACTAGCCAAGCTCCGACTGTAGCAGAGTTTGAAAATGTTTCTGAATCATTACTTCCTAGCTCAGTTTAGTAATTTTGTTTAAAGTTTGTTGTTTAGTGGATTAACCCCAGCAGCACATAGTTCCTGGAAATGATGTGTAAGAGAGATGCACATATGAGCACACATGGAGGGGTTCTTAAAAATCCTTACTTACTGCAGACAAGAAGCCAGAGAAGGAACAACGCTGGTGTCTTCATTGTTCAATGTCTCCCACTATGTTAACACAGTACTCTGCCCTTTAAACTTTGCTGGGTCATGTGACAAATGCAAATTACTGTCAAGATTCCATCCATAGCCAGCAAGCCTTAATAAGAGTGTAGCAATCACTTAATGGAATGCGGTCACCTTAAAACTATTTTTTTATGTAATGAACCTTTTGTTAAGTTTTAAAAGGAAATATATATTTTTTAAATGAAGTATATGAAGAAGAAAAAAAAAAAAAGGATATAGAGAAAAACTTCGTCCCTACCTTTAGTATATGACAGGTTCCTGCAGCCATATACATACACCTTGGGTCAGTCAGTCTCTACGGTCTTCACTGCTTTATAGAGACTAACCATAGAGACTAACTGCAAACATGCAAAATTTAATGCCCAACATTACGATTGCTGACACAAAAGGTAGTTAAGGCAACAAAGAGATTCCCAGGCACTCGGAGTGTTAAAGCCGCAGGCAGATTTAATGGAACAAAAAGGCAGAAACGTTTCGACGTACTAAGAGGTCTTTTTCAAGCTTAGTAGGTCGAAACGTTGCTGCCTTTTTGTTTCATTAAATCTGCCTGAGGCTTTAACACTGAGTGCCAGGGAATCTCTTTGTTGCCTTAACGTGTTGGGATTGCTGGTCCTGTTCCAGAGCACCGGTGGCTGCTGGGATTGATTGCAGTTCCTATAATCACCTTTACACAGGTGGCACAGTTGTTTCTACAGTGCATTCTAACACCTGTCACATTATGAGCATGCGGGAAGTGTGGGAGTTGAATGTCAAGGTAAAACAGAAAAGTAAGGTTATATTCGAACAAAAAATAAAAATGACAATCACATAGAATGCGAACATTACTATGCGCGATTCCTGCTAACAGTTAAATATCCCTTCTGCTCTGTCATCAAGAGATCAGTCTCACTCAAAGTAAATTCTACTCCTTGGTGGACATCTGATCCACAGATCTACCAATATCTCCAGGCATGATGTCATAATCCCCAGGCTGGATAAAGGTGTTGCAAGTAATTGAAAATTCGATTGTTATAGCAATAGCCTTTCTCGAGGAACATTCTGTTACAATGTCTTTGGCTTGAAACAAATCCTTACAGAGCTCTTGCAAAAATGACATTTAGCCTAACCCGTTCTAGTACACTCAGTATCAACTTTTAGCATGGCAGATGAAATTCAATGTTGAAAAATGCAAAGTTATGCACTTCGGCGTAAAGAATACACAAGCAACGTATACCCTTAATGGAAGCGAATTAGGGATAACAACACATGAAAAGGACTTGGGAATTGTTATAGACAACAAACTATGCAACAATGTGCAATGTCAATCAGCAGTGGCCAAGGCCAGTAAGGTATTGTCATGCATGAAAAAGGGCATTCATTCTCGGGACAAGAATATAATTTTGCCTCTTTATAAATCACTGGTAAGACCCCATATTGAATATGCTGTGCAATTTTGGGCACCTGTTCTAAAGAAGGATATTATGGCACTAGAAAAAGTGCAGAGGCGGGCTACAAAATTAATAAAAGGAATGGAACATATTGGCTATGAAGAAAGGTTAACAAATTTAAACCTATTTAGTTTAGAAAAACGTCGCCTGAGAGGGGATATGATAACATTATACAAATATATTCGTGGCCAATACAAACCATTGTGTGGAAATCTATTCACAAACCGGACTTTACATAGGACACGAGGCCATGAGTTTAGACTGGAAGAAAGAAGATTTCGTCTAAGGCAAAGGAAAGGTTTTTTTACTGTAAGAACAATCAGGATGTGGAATTCTCTGCCTGAGGAAGTGGTTTTATCAGAGTCCATACAGATGTTCAAACGGCTACTAGATGCATACTTGCAAGAACAGAATATTCAAGGATATAATCTTTCAATGTAGGGTAATAACTGCTTGATCCAAGGATAAATCTGACTGCCATTCTGGGGTCAAGAAGGAATTTTTTTCCTAGTTTGTTGCAAAATTGTGCTTCAAACTGGGTTTTTTTGCCTTCTTTTGGCTCAACAGCAAAAAACAAATGTGAGGTAGGCTGAACTTGATGGACGCAAGTCTCTTTTCAGCTATGTAACTATGTAACTATATGCTTTCTAATAGCCTTGTTTCCCCCCCGGCACCTGTTTTGCACTTCCCAATCAGTGAAAGAACTTAATCAGCTAAATACTGAGTTACGGTTTGTATACAGCTCTAGAAAACAATCTGCATAATTTTGTTCTCTACTTGACATCTCTTAAAATATAGCAAGAGCCACTCCAGTCACCTAGTCCCCGTCCTCAAACTTTGTAATAATGCCAAAAACAGGATCTCCTGAACTCAACACTGCACACATTCTCTTGTGAAATTGCCAACACAACCGACTTCGCAAGGTCGAGATCTAGTTTTCCAGAAAAGTTATTCTACAGCAGTGATGGCGAACCTTTTTGAGCCCAAGTGCCCAAACAGCAATACATGCCAACTTTTTTTCCCCTCAAAGTGCCACACACAAGACTGCTGAATACAGAGACTGATGAATATACACACACACACACACACACAACTGCTGAATACATACACACACAGTCCGCTGAATACATACACACACAGTCCGCTGAATACACACACACACAGTCCGCTGAATACACACACACACAGTCCGTTGAATACACACACACACAGTCCGTTGAATACACACACACACAGTCCGCTGAATACACACACACACA